CTCCATAATCCGCCGGAGACCGGGTTAGATCAAGGACCAAGTCCTCAGCCTAAGAACCACTTAGTTTAGCTGCTCCCCACCCCCCATCCGTCCATCCTAGAGGATACACATGCAAGTACCTCTCTCGGACAGAAGTAGTCCGCGGGGCGTTAGGGAAAAGCAGGAGGTGAATGGAAATCTAAAATAACCGTTGGTTTCAAACTGGAGGAGTTCTACATTCTCCTTCCTAGCATTGGGTATTAGTTGATCAGAGAGTAGGATGAGTCCATCGACGAAGACGATCGATCGACCGTTACTAGCCGGGTCCGCTGTCAACCACGCTCGGGTGCACGCCCACCCCATGGCTGGGTGCGCGAAAAAAAGACAGAACCGGCCGTATACGTAGGAGTGGTACGTACAGCTTCTCGTACTATGCTAGCCAGAGGGCCACCAAATGGAGCAGCAGGTAAGACCACCATGCCTATCTCAGTATAGCTCGAGAGATAGCCAGGGTTTGCGGAGAAAATGAAGAATGTTTCCGAGTTTCGAGCCTCCTGCGGCCGAAAAGAGAGTGCTATTGAAGACGAGTGCAGGAAAGCTCAGGGAACGGACCATGCACTGGGCGACCTGAACGGCCTCTGAACCGAGCGTGACGCTAAAAATCGTGCAGTCAACGGTTGACTCGGTTGAGTGGCGGCCTCATGTGCTCTCTCCACTTGGAAGAGGGGGACAAATTGGCTGGGAGAGACTAAACGCTTCCATTGGCTCCACCGAGACAACTTGCATGAAACAGTTCAGGGAAATGAGACTGGAGGGAAGTGGATAGAGAAGAAGATGAGGACCAATGTATTGTTTTGACGGGCCAAAGCAAATTAAAGGTAGCATACGTGAATATTAGATAAGATGTCGGAAACCGAAATAAGATTTACGGGAGAACAAGTAAAAGAAGCAAGAGAGCCAGAAAACTTGAACGAAAAACAAGGGGAAAAAAAAAAATCTCTGAAGATAGGGGAACCGACAGGTGGAAACAACGACAGTGGGGCATTTATCCAGCAATGAGAGTCAGGAGCAGGACTTAACTTTTTAGGTATTTAGGGTTAATCGACGTTGAAAGTTAGCCCAAGGTAGACACTCAATGAAGGTCGGGTGTATGCGCTATGCACTATGAACCTATGGGAGAGCGTATATACTTCGTATATAGTCATGGAGGTAAGTCTGTCAGTCTATCAGTCTGTCCTAAACTGTAAGGGAGGATATGATATGCATTTAAATATGATCAATAATAAGCCGCCATATTATTACACGCTGTGATTAATATCAACACAACTACCGAGGATGCAGAAGTGGCTGCCACTAATTGATTCAGGTCAGTTGGCATGAATGTACTCCGTGATTTATTCATAAATTGCATGAGTCGTGTACTCCGTAAGTCGGTACGGTAACGCCGTATGGTACCTTAATATCCCCTGACTATACTACTACCTAGTAGAGACTGGTAGGGTGCCCAGTATGTATATGCCAAAGCCACGGAGTCTTACTCGTATGACGGGGTCTTAATCGGATTAGCTTACTAGTAGCTACAGACAGCACTGGATGTACCTAGGCAGTTCTGTGCCTTAACGCAGAAGGTATTGTGTACTAGGAGTCTCAACACAACTGATAAGTTGTAACCTCGTAGGACACTAAGAAAAAAGAAGAGGGTGAGAAAATCAGGCTTCGGATAGTTCCAGGACCGCTTACCACTTAGGCCGGAGTTTAATCCCCATCCGATGCTGGCCATAACGCTCAACTAGTCAGAAACCTATGGAAGGGACCAAAACGGCGTAATGGTTCCTCGGTTTGTCTTGGCTCTCTTTTGTCCCTGTCTTCTTCCTCTGTCACTTAAACTTTTTTCCTTTTTTACTTTTTTTTTTTTTTTTCTTCTTTTTTTTTTTTTTTTTTTTTTTTTTTTTTTTTTTTTTTTTTTTTTTTTTTTTTTTTTTTTTTTTTTTTTTTTTTTTTTTAAAAACAATAGACGGGACGCACCGGATGATTCCTGATCGAGGAATCAGGGGAGGCAGCTCCGTACTCTGTATGGATTAGTAATTTATAGTAGATGATGGCTGACTGCACCTGGCAGTAGTCCGGTCAACTCCTGACTACCTTTCACTGAGTAAATACCCGACTGGATCTTCCAGGCAGAATCTCGGGACTGATTAACTCTCAATTGAGATGCTGACTCCAAGGGATGTGCCGTTTGATCGATGATTTTTTCTCTCTCTCTTTCTCTTTTCGATTCCCACTTCCATTTCATCTCTTTTCCCCCTTAACCCCTAAGTCCCCTTTCCACCGGAAAAAGCTGAAAAGGGCTTTCTCTAGAGATACTTTTTCGGCACACCCGACAAGTGGGGGAGGATGGGAATCGCTTACATCGATGTGGATATATGGAGATGAGAGGTGGCATGACTCTCAGCTGGATTGCAAGAGCCACATTGTGAAAAAAGCAAGCGTCGAGTGGATCATCCTCTGAGGGTTTGAGGACGATCACAGCTGAAGAGGGTAATCAAACATTCATTCTCATCGTGTGGGTGCGGGGAAGGAGATCCCAGGAATCGCGGTCGATCGAAGGTGAGTGGGTGAGAAGGATGGAGAGGAGCAACTTTAATCTCTTTCAAGACTTCTCGTGGATGCCAAGAAGACTGGCGGCCCCTTCTAATTTCATTCGGTCCGTACGGACTGCGGTTTGAATTGAGAGATAACTTACATCATCTCTCAGGACTCTTACTGCTTCTGTTGGACGGTGGAAACAACTCCCGCTAACAGGTGGATACTGCTCTCGATCCCATTACGCAAGCCAACAATTGGCGCTGCGCTTCGGGTGCCAGATTTCGGCCAAATTGTTCCGAGTCCAATGAAGTTACAACAGAACTAAACGAGGCCGAGTAGGGGGGGAGGGCGGGTAAAAAGGGAAAAGAAAACGCAAAAAAGAAAAAAAAAAAAAAAAAGAAAAAAAAAAAAAAAAAGAAAAAAAAAAAAAAGAAGCGAAAGGGAAGAGCAAAAAGAGGGAAATAATAATACTAATAACATGCATGTGTACATACATACATACATCCACATACATCCACATACCTATGTCATACACACACCTCCAAAGTTTATCATGGTTAGGGCCTCATATTTTTCCACGGCGGTACCCCTGTCGGAGTAAAATCAATTGCGCGATTGGTATTATCTCCGATGCAGGTTCCTGCGGGAACCATTGTGGAAAAAGTGTCTGTGCGGGTCGGTTGGTAACAGTGAAACGTCGTTTAGCCCTGACAAGGTTTTCAATGGACCTCTTACTCCTTTGGGGCGAATAGAGAACTACCTCTATCCTTGATCTACGAATCAGAAGCTTCGCATCTATACCTACATCCAGGTACTACGGAGTACCGACTCTGTCGTATATTCCATAGGTTCTGTACTTTACAAGTTTACATACCTCTGTGTAGGTAGGTATGTACAGAACCTTGGGCTCTCCCCGTTATGTTAATCTCTACCTAGGTCCAGTACATTCGTTTATTAATGTTTAAATGGATCTGATACGGCCAGACTATATGAAGAGCCCCTATCGAAAAAATAAAATAAAATAAAATAAAATAAAATAATAATAATAATAATAATAATAATAATAATAAATAAATAATAATAATAATACGTACGAAAGAAAAAAGAAAACCTAGAGAAGCACAACCAAACGAAGACATGCGAACATTAAAGGTGGACTTGCTTCACCAAAGTTTCCTTTTTCGGCTGGGATCCTTCTCGCTTCGAAAGATACCATTTAGCTAATATACAGGTCACTTCCACCGTGTATGGGACCTGAACGAGTCATGGCACTCTCCGTAATCATTGCCCCAAAGACGGCCCAGGCAGAAGTGTAAGAGGTGAACTGAGACGAAACCGGCGCAAACCGAAAGATGAATGATATACCCGATGTTGATACGAATAGGCACTTCGCCCCCCGAAGTATGTATATACAGTAGATAATTGCAGAAACTCTCAAGCGACAACTGCTCCCTCGGTTGCAAGTACATACGTAGGGTTGTCACTTAATTTTACTTGAAAGCTAGGTTGACAGAGGGATCAAGCGTCTATCAGGTGAGGATGGTGAAACGTGGCGTATCAGATCATCCGGATTCCTTTGGGCCCAGCAATCACACTGTAATCTCGCATGACAGTTATCAAGGGGCAATCTTAAAGTAAGGAGTGAGAAATCATTCCGCCGGTTCGGGTGATATACCTACGATCCTTACGTAGCAGGTAGATAGATAGTACAAATGAGATCCACGGTTATGCAGGTACGTCCATGTAATATTAGAGTTGGTGATCCCCGAGACATTCGGACCCTCGCCCGTAGCTTATCCGTCCGCGTTGCCAAAGAAGCGGCGTGCTCTCTGAGGCAGTCTCAGTAACCGTGGGTACTGACAAGTTTATCCTCACACCTCAGACTACCCCGAGGAATGAATCCCCCCTCTGGGTCACAAAGTGGATTATCAGGGAGCCTCCAATTTCCGGTCAGCGGTACCCTTACTATGTCCCTACCCCTCTCATTATTCCTTTGTCGCCTCCCTGTCGGTCCCCATGAGCTCCTAAAAGTTGCTCCTGCTCACAGAGTATCTAATGGGGCGGGAGAAACTTCGGGTGTTGCCACAGCTGAGGACTAAACTGCACGCCAAAATGAGGGTCATCAAAATGAGGCCAATCAAAAGGACCAAGATCCCCCCGCCGTAATCTCCCATTTCAAGTCCTTCGTCATCATGAACACGCCCCAACTCTTCCCGGAAAACTCAGTCCACATACTAATGTCCGTGTCATATTATTTACGGCACTGCAGGACTCCCGCATAGCGTTGTGACAGTGATGCATACAAGCACATGAAATCATCAAACGGTGTACCGAATCAGTATCCATCAGGATCGTACCTAGGTAGGGGTTCGTTCTTCGGCGCCAATGAGAGCCAATCATGACAATGCGTTCTCTGGCCACCTGTGTGGCGTTCTTCATGTGTCTGCTGGTGCTGCTGCATCCTTCGAATCAGCTGAACTTTTCTCGGTGGCAACGGTGGCATTCCCTTGTTCGGAACTGGTAGGCCCATGATCATGCCCCGAACCACCAGACTCGCCCTCGGTTGAGGCTTTCATCATTGTATCATGAGCCTGAGGGGTGCCTTCAAGAACCTGGGGAGTTCCTTCGGAAGGCTGCGGAGCCTCAAAAAGCAGCTTCAAGTTTTTGCCATCGTCAATCTTGTCGAACGCAGCGAGCTTGCTTTTTGCGGAAAGCCTTAATATACGCCATGTCTTGCTCGCTTTGGCGCGTGTCGCATTCTCTTTATCCTCCTTTGTCTGTGCAGTATCCCTATCTAATTCATCGTCCATTATACCCATCATAAACGAATCAGAGGAAGGCACCGTGAATCTGCGATATTGTCAACTGCCAAATAATCAGATTTACGATGATGATCCACGGGTGCTTACCTTTGAGCTTCCTTAAGCCTCTCAAGACCGGCTCGTGATTCGCCCTCGGAGAGGAAGTTCAGATTTAGCGAGCCCATGGGTGAAGACCGAAGGCGCTTGTTGGCGTAGACTTTAGTTGCATGCTCACGAGCACCAAGGTAGTCCGCTACGGAAACAGGGGGTCTCTCGATTAATGGACAGCCTTCAGCTTTCCAGCGAACCCAATTCTTGTCTCTCGACAAAACGGTGTCCACCATTCGGTAGTAGAATTTTCCACCGACACCGTCCTGAAGATACTCTTCTATTGCCTTTCTCATCTTGACTGCCCATTTAGCCTGCAACTGTTAACAAAGGCCATGAGTCTAAGTATCCGTGGGTGGTTCCTACATCGTCCTCATTCAATACAAACCCGTAGAGCACAGATTTGTTAGTCAACTCGGCTAGCTTTGCCTTCGCCTTAGGAGTAAGTGAGAGCATGAAATCCAGGAGAATAAGCGCCTGGACCAGAACATGCCTCCGAAACGCTGTGTCATTGACCTGCATTTGAGAGTTGGCACAAGCCACCGAAAGGGGGCCAGACAAAAAAGAAAAAACTTACTTCAAGGTCAAATAAATCCCTGCTTGTCAAGTACTTCGGGTTGAAACTGCTTGCAATTTCTTGGCCGTCTGCAGTTCTCTTCCGTTTGTTGGATTTTCGAAGCTCTTCGGACGTCTTGCTCGTGCCGGAACTTTCAAGGTCTGTGTTAACCGATTTGAAGGCAGAAAGAGTAGCTTCAAGTCCCGTCCTGAATGTGGTGAAATGTTGGGGATCGAATATCCTGGTTGGAGCAGAGAAATATGCCTGGAGGCCCCAGAACATAGGATATAGTGTGTTTAAGTCGTTCGCTTTCTCATCAACACCTTCGTCTTGCGAAATAATGACTTTCGGGGCCGTCGATTGATCTTGAATAGAGGCCTGAGGATCCGAGAGAGACGGTGAATCAGTATTGTTGTCTTCCTGTTGGTTTTCAACAATAGTCGTTGGTGGTTCATGCTCGTCAGACATTACTACATCCGCCTCATCTGGCACTCTGGTGTCGGGTTTAAGAATTTCATCGTAGGTGGTGACATTCTCGGTATGATATTCGCCCCGAAGGTTGACGGCGCTCTTGTCCCCTAGCGGAAAACTCTGGAAGAGGAAGATAAAGACACGTCCGCAAAAGACAGTATCTTCGGCTCGCGAAAGCCTCCGCAGGAGTTCGTTGCAGGATCTCAGAATGATTAAACTTTTCTGCTTAAAGTGTTTCTTCGGCGGTGTCAATAGTTGCGCTAGAGAGGATTCTGAGTTGTACATACTTTAGTATTCCGTTCTCTTCGAGACTCAAGATAGTCAAAAACTTTGCGACAGCCATCAATAGTTTGGCTATCAAGTAATTCCTCCATCAGCCAAAATATAAGACCAGGCTCACACTGTTCTGTTGATTCGTCAGGATACTATCGAGGCCGCGAGACTAAATTCCAAACGAACCATTATCCGAGAAGATTGAGATTATGTCGAGCAGATTCCATATTTGTATGAATGCCGGCTCTTCAATGGATGTAGTGGCCTTCGTTAAGAGTCGGTTAGCGATCCCTGAACTCCATGGATAGACAAGAAGGATTGCAATAATAAAGCCACTTACAAGCAAACTATAAAACCTCTCCCTGAATGTGATTTCCACTGCGGCAAACTGTGTCTGTTGGCTAAGCCGATTTGCAACCTTCTCATCATCGCCTTCCACTTTCCAGATCGCTTCTCCAAGGTGTGCTTCAGTCAACGGAGGTTCGATTTGCTTGTCCGGTTTGACTAGTTCGGCTCGAGCGAGGAGTCTATCAACTAATCTCCTATAGATATGTATCGATTCAACATCCTCGTCGGCCATCCTTGCGAGCAACAATTCCAAGTAAAGATGGGATGAAGGAGATGCGAGAATTGTGTCGTAAGGAGCTCCCGATACAATAAAGGATCACGAGGCCATTGTTGCGGCTCTGCGGGTTCTAGCCGCTGGAAGCAACTTCCTTAGCCGCGCGCCAGAAGCTTTCCCATCCCGCCGCGACGGACCACTTGCGCAGATATATCCGACGAGGGCGCGGAGTCCTTTTTTTGTTTTTTTACAAACCTAACGTCAAGGAATGGGCCTACAATCACGTCAGGCAATGGCGCACGGGCTTGATTCCAGGCCCACCGTTGAGGATTTTCGCGAAGACAGCGCGTGGGTGCAGTTAGCCAAAACTCATTGGCTTGAGACATCCAAGGTCCGGAAAGTCAAGCAGGATGTCATCAAGAAGGATATATGGGACCCTCTCGAAGCGGATAATTTCAGCTTTCGCTCGCTTCTAACGTTGGAAAATTTGAATATTTTAGAGAAGTACACATTGATACAGTACTCTTTGCGATGTAATGCCTCGACTAACCAGTTATAAGGTTTCTCTGGCCGACCTACACAGAAGATGCTTCGAACTACCATGTATTGCTGCTGGCGCTTATTGTCACTGTCAAACAGCGAGAACATCTGCCGATATGGGGTGAGTCTACCTTCCTCCTGCATATGGTCAATCCTGTGTGAGGTACTTACAGAACACCAGACATCTTCTCTGATCGGCCGGATGACTTTTCCAACCTTTTCCATCGAATTCTCTCCATGAGCATCGACCAGTCCCTTTCTACATCGTCGCACCTGTCCATAGTATCCTTTATAATCAGCTCCTTCCAATCCCTCGAGAATGTTTCGATACGGAAGGAATGTGCACCTCTGGTTTCCATTTCGATTTGGCACAATCTCTCGAGTGACGATGCCCGAGAACAGCTGCTGGGAAAGGGCCCCACGCTGAAGAAAACGTGGAGAGCTGCCGCGAAGCGATATGATGCAGCAGACGAAGTAACCAAAGCGAAAATGAGGTTTGACCGGTCATGGCTCTACACGATGCTTCTCGATTTTTTTCGGAGATTGAACGGCGCCGAGAAAGACCAGGTGGATAACCTGCGTTATTGTGAAAGGTTTCTTGAATTCCTAGTGGATCTGGAAAGTCAACTTCCCACGAGACGATATGTCAACACATTGCTGAAAGATCTCAACATTCTACCAGTCGTTCGTTTATCGGAACTCTACCGGTCTTCAGAGAATGAGCTATTCCGTGACTTGTATAATCTCTTAAAGCATTTTGCTACATTCTCAATTGACGATTATACAGGCGAGAGCCTGTCACCCCAGGCAGTGTATGATACCCACTGCCAGGAACTAGCGCACTTGCAGCGAACTTCCATGAAATACTTTAAGGACAAATTAATGATCCTAGCTTTGTCGAATTACGGTTCAATTGAGCAACGTCCGGAGCTGGAAGGGCAGCTATCTTCTTTAGATGACTCTGAGCTCCGAAGCCTTTGTTCTCACCTCGGATTTCGGACAGACTATCCGAAACAGTGTCACATCACGCCTGATCGCCATCTATATCTAGAAATACTCTTATCCTTTTACGAGCGCAAGGCACCATTTCAAGATGTGGTATCACGCCTAAGTGTTGTTCCGACAGAAGAAAACCTCTATGACCCAGCTTTACTGCGGAATGAAACCTATGACGGATCTAGGCCACTTGCAATTCCAAAATTGAACCTTCAATACTTGAGCCTAGGAGACTTTCTATGGCGCTCATTCCTCTTGTATCGATCCGAAGCCTTCTTCCAAATTCGCAAAGATATGGAAACGATCGTCAAGCGAATGCAGCCCCGAGCCAGTCGAGACGGCAAAAGCCTGACTTTTGATGGGTTCTCCCGGATGGCTATCCCTATTTCGAAACCTGCTATCATAGAGGTTGCGCCCCCGAAGGTTGGCTTCACAAACCCAGCTTTCGTGCGAGCCGAGATCGTGATTGAGGTTGGCAGGCTGGCAGACCACGTCCGGATGGAATGGGAGTCCCTCCGCCCCGACGACGTGGTTTTCCTTCTGGCTGTGCAGCCTGGCGCTGCAAACAAACTGGCGTTCCAGGACCCCACCTCAATTGATACCCCTAGCCTAACGCACCTCAGAACAGCGGAAATTGTGCAGGTCCTTGATGAAAATGGCCGTCCATTGCGCGAACCCGTTTCGGGGCAGACCAATGGCCATCGGTCGAGACCACGCATCAGGAGACTTTTGGTTAATCTTGACCCTGATGCCTTCAAAACGGACAAAGATCGCAGCATGCAGGGAAAGCCAGATATTTATCCGCTGGTCAACGTAGTCGCAAGGAGAAAGGGAAGGGAAAACAATTTCAAATCGATACTGGAGACTATGCAAAGGCTCATTGTCTCCGATATCACTCTTCCCTCTTGGCTGCAAGACATTTTTTTGGGTTATGGGGATCCTGCAGGGGCCCATTACACAGAATTGCCGAACAGACTTAAGTCGGTCGATTTTCGCGATACGTTCTTGGACTGGCAGCATCTGGTCGAAAGCTTCCCGGGGACAACAATTGAACCTTCTGGCGAGGAGACATCAAGCTTTGGACCGCCTTATGTGCTCGAATATGTTGAAGATTCCCAAAAAACGCCTTCGGCGAATGCCTCCAAGAAGCGGCGGAGGGATCAAACCGAGAAGGAAAAATCACCCTCATACTCACTTCGTGTTTCGACATATAAGCCACCTAACCCAGGCCCGTATCCTGTCGATGCGCCTAAACTAAACTCTGTCCGCTTCACACCAGCTCAGGTGGAAGCTATCGCATCTGGGACACAGCCTGGGTTAACTATTATCGTCGGACCTCCTGGAACTGGAAAGACGGATGTTGCAACGCAAATCATTAATAACATTTACCATGATTTCCCTAATGAGCGCACGCTGTTGGTTGCGCACAGCAACCAGGCGTTAAACCAACTTTTCCAGAAGATAGTTGCACTGGATATCGACGAACGCCACCTTTTGCGCCTTGGTCACGGCGAAGAAGAGTTGGAGACCGAGTCAAGCTATAGCAAATATGGCCGGGTTGAATCATTCCTCGATAACCGTAACTATTATCTCTCTGAAGTTACACGGTTAGCATCATCGATTGGAGCACAGGGCGCTCATGGAAGCACCTGCGAGACCGCCGGGTACTTCAACACTGTATACATTCAGCCTGCATGGGCAAAATTTTGGGATCAGGCCCGCACCGAAAATATCTCTATCGAAGAGATCATTGCAGCTTTCCCATTCCATGCTTACTTTTCCAATGCCCCACAGCCCGTATTCGACCCTTCAGGTCCTAAAGAGGCAGTGCTAGATGTAGCAGAAGGTTGCCAGCGGCACATTGACAAGATATTCTTTGAGCTAGAAGATATTCGACCATTTGAGATTTTACGGCAACCAAAAGACAAGGCTAATTACCTCCTAGTGAAAGAGGCCAGGATCATCGCAATGACATCCACACATGCAGCAATGCGCCGCCAGGAGATTGCCGATCTTGGCTTCCACTATGACAATGTTGTGATGGAAGAAGCCGCACAGATCACAGAGATTGAAAGCTTCATTCCCTCCGCCTTGCAAACAATGAAGGGTGGCCAGCTCCCATTGAAACGCGTGGTGCTCTGCGGTGACCATCTCCAGAATTCCCCAATCATCCAAAACCTTGCGTTCCGGCAATACGCACATTTTGAACAAAGTCTCTTCCTTCGCCTGGTAAGATTGGGTGTCCCTGTAATTACGCTTGATCAGCAGGGTCGTTCGAGACGTAGCATCGCAGAACTATTTCGCTGGCGTTACAAGCAACTGGGAGACCTATCAGTTGTTGAGACAGCCGATGAGTTCAAGCAGGCAAATGCTGGGTTCCAGTTCGATTACCAATTCATCAACGTTCCTGATTACCAGGGCACGGGTGAACGGGAACCTGCACCTCATTTCATTCAAAACCTGGGCGAAGCAGAATACGCCGTAGCCCTCTATCAATACATGCGGTTACTTGGCTACCCAGCGTCGAAGATATCCATTCTTGCTACCTATGCGGGACAAACAGCGCTGATAAAGGATGTCTTGAACCACCGCTGCGCCAAGAATGCCTTGTTCGGCATGCCGAAGATCGTGACTACCGTGGACAAGTATCAAGGCGAACAAAACGACTGTAAGTCGATTCCCATTTATCTCTTAACCAAATTGTCTGTGAAATCCTTTACTGACTTGGAGCTACAGATGTAATTCTCTCACTCACACGAACTCGTACGGTTGGTTACCTACGTGATGTCCGTCGTCTAACGGTTGCACTTTCTCGTGCCCGTCTTGGTCTCTACATACTCGGTCGGCGCGAGGTATTCGAGTCGTGCTATGAGCTTAAGCCAGCATTTGACATATTATTCCAACGCCCTGATAAGCTCATGCTTGCTCCAGGCGAAATGTTCCCAACTGCACGAGCGCTGGGCGATGAGGTTCAAGGCACACCGATGGAAGGAGTGGAACATCTTGGCCAGTATGTGTTCGAAATGACTCAGGCTAAGCTCAAGGCAATAGGAGAGCAAGACATCATGGTTGAGGACGCGATGCCGAATGGTGAGGAGGGTCTAATGGATGAGGACGAGGTCATGCTTGGTGCAGGTGAAGAACAAGATGAAGACCCTCTACACGAGCATGTCTTCACTGGAGCGTAGAAATTCTGCGGCCCAACTAGTACAAGTGCCGTCTGGTCTTGTTCACAGGGCTACAGAATTGAGGATTGTGAGACCATGGACTCAGAATAGCTGTAAAATGCTCAAGGACGGTGGCGTTGTATCGCGTGTGTCTTCATTTTATCAGGATCATTGGTATAAGAATAAAAATTATGGGATTTCAACCCGAATAGGTTGGAAAACGATTGTTCGAGTTTTGATTTTATTGGCTGGGTGCTACATGAAATGGTCTTCCAATGTGTATCATGAAATTCGTTCTGTGGACAGCTTGCAGCAAAGCCCACCGCTATCTTAATATATGCGAGATGACTGAATTCGTAGGCTGCAGAAAAGATCCACTAGTATTGTCTATACTATTTATATATAAAAGCGGTTGCGTCCCTATTGGGGTCCAAGTATATATATAAGTGAATGACCTGATGTTTAGTCTTCACAGGATAGCACTTTCTATTCATGACCGCCGCCCGCCAAGCTCCTCAACAATGTTCTGCGGGTCCTTCCAGGCGAGCGCAATATATCTATTGAGGGATTAGTATAGTGGTATCCTACGATGTGGTTACATCGTGGGAAGACTACATACTTGGTGTGACTTCCTCTGGCAACAATTTCGCCTTTGCTGTTGATGAATTTGATAGATGTATATGCGAGCGTTTTGCCGACTGTTAAAGTTAGACACTGCGTTAGGGACTCAAAGGACAACTGTGAATGTCTTTGCAGGTCCCGCATTATCGGGTTAGTTTATTGATGGCCGGTGAACCTACATTTATCACAGCTAGCTTCCTGTAGCGATATCAGCATGCACGGATCCACACAGCTAAATATTGGGCCTGGTAAATGTCTGGCATGGGGCCTCGATTAACATACGGCTAGAATTTTATCTCCTACTTTACCCCCAGAGCTCAGATACGTCACTGGATCGACAATCAGAGACTCATCCTGCACGTTGGACATCAATCTCAACAATTAGCTTGGGCTGTAGCTTACCATTGAGATCGGTTGACACTCCAGTAGCAAACAGACCACGCGAGGCGACAGCTAGAGAACCGCCAAGGTCCACTGTAATATCAATACAAGCTTGTAAGTGGTATGGCCAGGATGAGAGAAAAACAATATATGGTCATGCTTTCATACCCATACTAGCAATAGTACCGCCATGGAGAATGTTCAGACGATTCTGTCACGGAGGTTAGTCGTCTGAGTCAGCATACTCTAGATTGAACCCATACCGTATGCTCTTTCTGAATATCTAGCTCAAAGTTCACCAGACCAGGCTTTGCGGCAGTCACACGAAGCTGGAGCCGTCAGTACATTCAGCTTGTGGCCAATGTTTACGAAAGCAAACGGAATGAATGAGTCCATTATCATTCCTCATTATTGAAGTCATTGTATCTTAAAGAGATATGCAGTTTAGCCATGATAGACCTTACATTATCCAGTAGTCTTTCGCAGCGATCAAAGTTCAGTAACAGGCCCTTCCTAGTCATAGATGCCGTCACTTACCGAGGCTCCAGCCCCGATGTAGCCCGAAAGGACTCCCAAACCTGGGGGTAGCAATAGCATTAGTTGAAGGAATAAAGCAATAGCAATCATGATTACTTACCGATCTAACGAACCGCAAAGCCGTCATTTTATCAAGGGAACTATAGGAGAAAAAGGAAGTAGAAGGTTACGGGAGACAAGAATATAAGTGGCTAGTTATACAGCCAAGTCCCCGTGAGATAAATGATTTCATCGCCTCGGACTGCGCTCCGAAGCCGCTTTGGTCACCGGAGCAAATCTTATCCATTCCACATCAAGATTGATCTCTGTATGTTACGCCTCAGCCAACCTTTGTGGCTCACATCATGTTGCAGAGGTGACAGCTCCTATTTTACCCGCAGGCAATATGGCCATGGCCGCCGCTCCCTCCCGTCCATTTGATTATCTGGAAAGTCTGCCTGGAACGACTTTCTACAAGCTCTACCAGCAGCCGTCCACCGCTCTCGCCATCTTCAGGCGCATGTTGCCTGACTTGGGTACGCACTTGCTTCTACTCTTGAAATATCCTATGATAATGGGAACTAACAGATAATCCAGCAAAATGTTTCGTCATGGCGCTTCTATATCTTAAAGACCCTCTCCCAGCAACAGATCTGGAGGTCTGGGTTAAGGCAGAAAGCTTAAAGTGAGTGGTGACTTGGAAAGCCTTCGTGATTTGCGGATCGGATGACTGACGGGCTTAATCGCTTGAAGGGAGCGAGATAATGCATTGTCAATACTAGGTCGACTACATATTCTATCTAACACCGTCATCGCAGATAACGTTCGCGCGTACATAGTCACCGATCCGTTTGCTTCATCGCTCCGTCAGGCGCTCACAGGCGCTGAAAAGACCCAGTCCTTTGGTGTACTCTCGCATTTATCAGATGGAGCAGCCGTCTCCATAGCCGAATTGGACGAGTACGCTCGGCGTCAGTGGGAGGGGGTCTTGGGATACATGGTCGGAACTAGTGGACTTGGTATTCAGCGCGATGTCAACCTGAGCAAAGGCGTGAAGCAACTTTTGCAGGCTGGACACCTTGTCGAGATTCGAGATCGTCGCGTAGAGATCACAAAAGATGGATTCGCGTTTGTTCTACAGGATGTCAGCACCCAAGTTTGGCACATCCTCATGCTCTATGTTGAAAGCGCGGACGCCATCGGAATGAGCAGTGTGGAGGTCCTCTCGTTCGTTTTCTTGCTGAGCAGCTTGGAGCTTGGAAAATCATACGATAAGAAGCATCTGACATCTAATCAACTCCGTACTCTGACGGATCTGGCGGATTTTGGCATTGTCTACCAAGATTCCCCGGATACCAGCCATTTCTACCCCACCCGCCTCGCTACTACTCTTACCTCCGACTCCAGCGCCTTGAGCAACCCTATCTCAGGCTCCCTCTCCGGTCCCTCTGGTCCCGGCTCAAACAAGGCAGGATCGGGATTCATCATCGTCGAAACAAACTACCGGCTGTATGCATATACCTCTTCACCACTACAGATCTCTCTTATTGCACTTTTCACTACACTCAAGTACCGCTTTCCCAACTTGATAACTGGCAAAATTACCCGCCAGTCAGTGCGCCGCGCCATAGAGATGGGTATCACTGCCGACCAAATTATCTCGTACCTGGCTACCCACGCTCACCCTCAGATGCGCAAACACAATGTCTCCCGATCTACGTCCAACCAGGCTGGAATACCGCCATCTGTTCTGCCCCCAACGGTCACTGATCAGATTCGGCTTTGGCAACTGGAACGAGATCGCGTCAAAGCAACCCCTGGCTTCTTATTCAAGGACTTTGTTAGTTTGGCAGAATATGAGGCTCCATGTCGGTACGCTGAAGAGATCGGGGTTCTCGTCTGGAAATCAGACCGAAAGCGGATGTTCTTTGTAACGAGGCATGAGCAAGTTGCAGCTTTCTTGAGGAGTAGGAAATAGATTTGTGCAAAACACGGATTGGGGGCATGATTGGCATTAGCATTCTGGACAGATGATGCTTTGAAAAGGGCGCAAAGTGGCTTGGTGCAGTTCTGGCGTTAATGGGAACTCTGTGAAAACGATTTGAATTTAGCATGTTATACTGGGGTTCTCATCATATATGTAGCATAGTAGGTAATTCATCTTAATAAAGACCGTATCGAGCTTTCAGGAACAGTACAACCATACTTTCGCCAACTCGTAAATCCCATCACCTAAACAATTGGAGGCTTTTCGTTCCTATACCATAAACAAAACCTCCCAGCTCCTCCTAGATTGTGAGCAAGTGCGTCCCGTGCTGCGTCTTAGTACAGCGAATACCTCTAGCCAGGCTCTCTTCAATATACGCTAGCAGAACAGGTTTTACCATACTGACAAGGAAGCGGCAAGGCTTCAACAGGGGTTATAGATAGACATTCTCGATTCTAGGCGCCTCTTGATTTCCGTTCCGTACATGGTGGCGATCCAAGCCAATACCTGCGATCAACCATCGTTTCCAACAGGGCATCATATCATCCACCCATCTCCAAATTTGCCAATGTATTCGTATCGGAACTTTCGTAGACTCGCACTTGCTTCATCGTTCATACAAACATTTTCGAGGACCATGAAGGCTCGTTTGATCCGGTAGCCCGCCTCGTTTGAATCTGGGTGTCCTAACGGACGAGAATAACTTGACAACATGCCGAACCCGGTTGCGATGTCCGGCTCATGGAAGGAGTCTTCGTAGTGGAAAGCATTGACGAGGGTGACGAATCTACCGAGCCAGTATTGTTGAGGCTGAGATTCACTGACCTGCGAAACCCAGTCGGCATGGACTGTTAGCCCTGGCTTCTTCAGCTTCGAACGGAACCCAGTGGGGTGGCTCCTCGACGATACCATTCTCCCCATTTGATCCCTATGCCGTAAATTTCCGGTGTCTGGTAGGGGGCTTAGCCTTGTAGCACTTCGGCTCGGGGCCTTAGGAGGGTTAGGAGGTTTAAATGCATCATTTTTTGCTTTGATTTCAAGCTTCAGGTTCTCAAAGCCGTTCGTCCATCGGAGACCCTTTTTAACATATTCCATTTTGTCACCTTTTTTGAGTGTGTTGGCTTTTGCTTTTGAGTCCGCAGGTTGGCAAGTCTCCAACAACTGATGGTGGTGTGTTGCCAACTTTCCTTTGGGAACAGTATGGTATCCAATTCGCTCTTTCCTCGAAGGTAGCAGTACCTTGACAGTCCCGGAACTCCGGCCACTAGCACTGAGATCATCATTCTTAATGTAATCATTCCTTTGTGCTCCTGTCTCAAGCCGTGAGATGAATGCTGATATAGGATTGAACAGTCGAGTGGCGGGTCGGCTTTTGGCATCAATATCTGCCAGCAAGCTGCATGGACGACCTGCCTTTAATACAGTGACACAGGGAACAGGAGTAGGATTTTTCGAATGCATGCTGTTGGAGAATATTTTTGAGGATAGTTCTGTTGTAGCTCTCTGTATGCCGCTGGTTCTCTGGTGGTGAGTTCGGATCTGAAACCTAGGTGCTGAAGTCGCGTCGGTGTCGAACATGTATCTCTCAGAACTGAGCATTTGTGTATCACTACGGCGGATGAAATCCTTCCTTTCTTCTTCCTTATCCAGATCCGTTTTGTAAATGGTGCTTGCATCTTTGTTCATGTCCACACATTGTCTTCCCAAGGATGATAGCACACTTCTTCTGCCTTCTTTTCGATATACTTCATGGGAGTACAGATCTCCTGCAGGGGATTTCGCTGGTGTTGGAATCCTTGAAACTATTTTGGTCGAAGAGCACTCTAAACCTGTTAGACAGTGGGAGCATGAGGCTCTGTGCTGGGCCCGCACGTTGGAGTCATGTGTCTGTAACCTACTATTACTGATTTCAAGGCGTTGTGGGTCGTTGTTGATGTTGTTGTACTTCCACAATGGATTTTTTTGGCACAGTGGCATGGAAGATTGGCGGCAGGTGTGGACGATTGGTTGCCGTTGGGATGAATGGCAGATGCCGGCAGTGATGGGTGGAAGTGAGCTGCTCCTATGTGCTTCTCTGTGTGTGTTCCTCCCATTGGTTATGTCCTTGTTATCCTCAAGTCCCCGTTGATTGTGTCGCGCATTGAATGTGCTCCTGAGAATCTGTAGAGAGCCCACCAGAGCCGATTTGCGGCCTTGCTTTTCCGTCATAATTGTTTTCCGTATACTTCACAAGGGCGTCGAAATGATGTGAAATGGAGAGGGTGTGGGTAGGTGACAGATCCAATGTGAAACAAAGACTACTATGAGTTCGGCGAAAGCAAAGCCCTTCTTTATGCTCTAGGTAAAAACCACTGTTTTGATGGAGGAGAACTCAACATAAAGTGGAAGGGGAGAAAGAAGCAACATGAGTCTGTGTGTAAGCGGTTGCTAGGGCATGGTTCGAGGACATTGGGAAAAAGCAATAAACCAGAGTGAATGGAATGCATTGTCTCTTCATTATCTGATAGTACCTATATAGATCTGTGCTTTGTCTTTTTAGCTTTTCTTAGCTGCTGGGACAAAGTGTATGTCGTAGTTAACTGTCTTTGCCCTTATAGATCTCGTGCAGTATCGTAATGTCCCCTTCAAACATCTTCACGATCTCCTCTTCTAGACCAAGAATCTCAGTCTGGCTCCTCTCATTATTTTCAATCGCAAGTCCGATTTCAGTGCGCCTTCCCATCTCCACTCCCTGTACAATGCTCTCTATAAGTACTTCACAGGCTTGTCCTACGTCGGCGACAGATATACCGCCCATCCACCGGCCGCGCTTCCTGTAGGTGCAACTCGGTGATTCTTAGAATTGCCCTTATGTGAATAACAATGGTAGCAAGGATTCTTGACATCCCATACATAGAAGTATACCAGAGAATCTCTATCTCGGTGGTGAATATGTCCATCGTGTGCCACCCTTCCCAGCGTGTATGGAGACAGTTTCCGACACTTAAACCCATGTGTGATGGATAGTTTGCCTCTCAGAGTTAAGATGGGGATACCGGATTTTTGTTCATCTGGAGGGAAGGCAACAATAAAAGGATTGCCTCAGTTAGTACGCTTGAAAAGTACAAACGCCAATGATGGCGAAGAGGAGTGGTTGGGTCATCGCTCTCCTGCGGCTTGGAAGGTATAGAGAGAGAGAGAGAGAGAGACAGACCCTTGGGTATAGCTAGTCCTTGAAAGCCGCGGCACCGAAAGTGTTCTATAGCCATTAACATCGACCTATGTATTTCTCCACTTTCATGATCGATACACAGGGTTGCTTTGTTTGCGTGGTAGTAGTGATGTACATCCCCCATCCTATCCCAGATCTATCTCCACAAACGCCAAACATCATTAGGTCATTACATAGCTGTAGCACCTCAAAGGACTAGAATCAAACCAAAAGAGCTCATTCAGAATCGCTGTCAATCACAAACCCCCCACGCAACCGCCTTCGGGGCAAGGTAGTCACTGGAGCGTCCTCGTCATTGTCTCTTGACTCATGTGTATCGCTGGGTTGCATGTCTTCCTTGTGACTAGGTGATTCTGGCTCCTGGTCTAGATCCCGATCTCGACGGAAGGCTAGATTGTCGTCGAAATCAAACTCATTGTCTTCATCCGACGTGGCAGGAGCATCTTCGTCGTCTTCAGTCGCATGGCCAGGCGAGCCAGCAAGAATACCACCCATAGTAATGTCATCGTCTTCGTCCAGTGCTTCTGTTGTTTGGCCGCGCCGTTGCCGTTTACTTTGCGTGCTAGAACTCCCAGGGTTGCTTAGTCGTTTGCGTTCGCTCTTTTTGTTCGCTTTCCGGCCGATCTCGTCTACAACGCCAGTAAGCAATGCCTTTCTAACTCGCGCAGCTTGTTCTTTTCGCCTTTTCTCCTCGAGATCAAAGAATTCTTTGTCGGCCTCCTCATCGGATTCGTCGTCACTGGCATGAACAAACAGTTCACTCTTGATCTTGGCTAGACGGGCTCTTGTATTCTCCTGACGCGCCTTACGACGCGCCTCCAGAGTATCCTCGTCTATCGGCTCGCGCTCATCAACTCCTTGGCGGTTCTTGCGGCGCTTTTTCAATTCATTGAGCGCGTTCGCTTTTGACCGAGGGTTTGGTGGGAAAAGAGGCCCATCTGGGACATCTTCACCTTCTGACTCAGATCCAAAGTCAACATTAAATGTAGTTTGGTGATTGTGCTCCTTGTTATCGGGTTGGTATCGGCGCCGAAGCATCTGTCGAGGATCATGCTCAATGTCTCCCGTGTATGGATCCTCAAGACATTTATCGATCATCAATTTAATATCTCGGAGATCTTTTGACCCTTGTGACGACGGCACAACCCAGGACGCTCCGACAACATCTTCCATTCCCAGTCGCTCAAATCCCACTAAAGTCATGAGAAGACGCAGCTTGGCGTTGAAGTACATCGCCTGTTTACATGCATCGTCGGGAGGTTGGACAGCTTGTCTAAGTTAGAATATCGACCATATCAATAACAGGTCTGGTTTACATACCAATCATCGGATTAGGGGCTCTTGGTGCCCCCTGAGCCTCATCATGGGCCTCCCATGACTCTCTTTCTTCCGCTGCCGTGCCCAAAACATTGCTAACCCACACTACCAAATCGGTTTGCTCATCCATGACCAGTGCACCAACTACAATGTTTATCTTTTCCGCTTGCGTCGTTGCTTCACTGGGATTGACTTCAAGTTCAGCTGGTGCCTTTCTCACCGGGGCTAGGGTTTGTCTCTCATGACCATATTCTAGGTAGAGTAGTGTCGAGTTCATTTTGCTGAAGAGCAACTCAGTAATAAGGGCGGGACGCTGGTCGATCTTCTTTATCGTTCGTCTGATAATTTGTCGGATTAGCTCTTCCCACTCCTTGAAGATTGGTATATTTGAATCCATGGCGCCAGGTCCTTTAATCATTGTGTAGAAAAGGTTGAGTATATCAACACGGAACAACAGGACGCTCATTTCTTGTTTGAAGGCGACCCTATAGAAATAGCGATGGGCGCGTTTTAATTGGTCTGAGTTAAGTTCCCTAAAGAACTTTGTGAAAGCAACAAAAGTGTCGACACACTTTTGGTTGCAAAACTTGACAGCAAAGCGCTTGAAGTCGAACTTACGCTCCCTACAAATTCGTTCGGCCTCCATGATGTCCTCATCATCGGATGCATGCTCTTCGTTGTTATCTTCAGGTGCTGCTACTTGAGCTTCTTTGTTTTTGCGCCTCGCTCGCCGCCGAGATCGCACTTGCATGTCGACATTCTCCTTAGAATATCGCTCCAGCATACGCAAGAAAACATGAGAAAGCTCTGTGCATGCATCCAGATAACTGAACCCTTGGTCTTTGTACTCACGTATAATAGCAAGCACACGGTCATGGGTTGTTTCTTCGTAGAATATCCGGTTCTGAATGTTCTCGGCAATTTCCTGATCTTCCTCAAGGAGCGACTGTGTCATTTCTTGCACAGTTAGCAGGATTTGAGTGAAGCAGCGCATTTCCGCATTTAGGTCTTCCCAGTCTTTTTGGTCGAAACTATTTTGCATAGATCGGTTTAGGAATACGAGAGTTTCTTGGTCAAGTACACCAGCGACAAGCCCAAAACCATCCGGTTCCAAATCTTTTATGGACTTTCCATTCTGTAACTGCATCTCCTTCTGGCGCGCACGGCGTGCGCGCTCGGCATCCAGAAACCAGGCGACGGTATAGAAGAATTGACGAGAATTGATGGGCACGACACGATCGGCTTCTCGTTCCAAGGCTTTCCGAACATGGGTGAATAAAGGATTGAATCCAGAGTCAAGAAATTCTTCAACAAACATCCGCAGGTTTCTTGATGCGGTGGAGTTAAGATGGGCCGGCGTACTAAAATCATTGTTGAGAACTGAATCTTCAAGTTTTCTGCGTGGTTGGGGCCTGTTCCACTTCTTGCTTTCATCCATTTTCTGGAGCGTGGCTTGGCTATCTTTGAGAACGTCTTGCCCTGAGACAGTAGACACCTTAGCATCGTCACGTTTGACCCAAATCATGGTTCCGAATCGTCCGTGTCGAGTGGGTGCATTTCTGGCGTACTCCCGCCGCATAGATGACTCCTGCCTCAGCAATGTATCTAGCTCATCTGTGTGTTTTGCGCTTCGCTGGGCATCATCCATGAATAGCTTCTCGACATTGACACCCTTCACCAGATGGAACAGTATCTCGAGGAGAACCACATCTTGCATATTGAAGTCATCGCCAACGTTGGAACACATAGTAAGAATGAGAGCAAATACGTCTTGAGCTTGAAAGGCATTGATAGTCGCCGATCTAGAAGTCTCCTCCTCATCACCATCCGCTGCAAGACGAGCATTTGGGGCGATCACTACAATATTTCGCAGCAAATAGAGCATAAGTTTGAGAATACCGTCATCCCGTGTTGTTCGTTCAGACCGTGGAACGGCCATGCTAGGAAGGCCAATTCGGATAATGGTTCGAAGGAAATTGAGATTACCACGGCTCAGAAGACCTCGTTTATAAGAGACTTGAGCGTGCTGCAAGTATGGAAAATGTCGGTGATGGTTCACAGTCATCTCCCCGTGGACTTCCAATGGCCAGGTCAACGGAACTAGCAATTCCACTTCATGTCATTAATACAATAGTCTAAGTTCACAGTAAGGCCCTATACTTACAGCACGCTAATGCGATCCTGGACATGTATTTACTCTTTTGGCCAGTACTCCACCAGAGCGAAAAGATCGGTAGCAGGTCCCCGTTAACCAAATTCGCTTCTCCAAGGCATCTAGCAACGTCCATGCGGTGATATTTCTCGTCGTACAATTTCAGCCAGCGCCTAATGTCACGCAAGCAAGCCAGTGCATCGTCTCCAAGTACGTATCGGTCCGCATCTTCGCCGTTAAATCCACCTAGCTGTAAATTAATTAGATTTTTTCGAAGATGGAATTATTCAATCAAATAGCTATCCTCACCGCAGTGACTAGACTATAAACGTGTGCGCGGACATCGGGGTCTACAACTTGAACAGCCTGGCCAAAAGCCACAGCTTCGTCGTTCATGGTGGCCAGTTATGCTTGCGGTCGTCGCCCTCACCTTCTATCAGCATTGCCGATTGTTGATAATGAGCGGAAATTGGGCTCACTGCATGGACCAATGGTAACGCGTCGTTTCACGCGCTCTCGCGTGCCAGGCCCTCGGATATCGGAGGAATGGATGTTCCTGACTGCCGAAGGTAACCGATGACGTTGGATCACATGAGTCCCGCGGAAGGATGTCGGCTACGATTCAAATAGTACTAGTATATCAATCGATCATCGCAGTAATTGTCTTCGGCTGGTTCGTTTTTCTTCCCAGCATCACTATTCCTTACTAACGGGCTCAGTTCATTCAGAATTGCAACAATGTTGTCATCGTCCCTTCGGTCTCTCTGCAGCAAAGGCCCCTCAATTGCCTCCCGCGCATTCAGCAGTTCCTCCGCGGCTTATGCTGCCGAGGTTAAATCATTGGGAGTAATTGGAGCAGGTCAAATGGTACGTAGGACATGAAGTTACGCCACAACGTCTTCCAGATTATCTGATAGGTAATAGGGCTTGGGGATCGCTCTTGTTGCTGCACAGAAGGCTCAAGTTCCTGTTACCTTAGTTGACACCTCCCAAGCATCTCTTGATAAGGGCCTCAAATTCGCCGGTATGTATGGGGCTACGCTCACCACCTATACGCTCTTTCCGTCGCTGGAATTGTCACTCTGGATCGTTTTCTAAGCTACTTAATTACTATTTATAGATAAACTCCTTGATAAGGATGTTTCCAAAGAACGTATTACCCGAGAGGTAGCCGATACCGTCCGCTCCCGCATCACAACTAGCCTGAATATGGACGACCTTTCTTCCGTGGACTTTGTTATCGAAGCTGTCCCTGAAATACCCGATCTCAAAAGCTCGATTTTTAAACAGCTTGCTCAAATTGCACCTAAGCATGCCATTCTTGCGACTAACACCTCGTCAATCTCAATCACTAAGATTGCTGCAGCGACGACTACCAACCCGACAGACCTTCAAGCTCCTTCTCGAGTGATCTCGACGCACTTCATGAACCCAGTTCCTGTACAGAAGGGGGTTGAGATTATTTCTGGCTTGCAAACGTCTAAAGAGACGCTCGACACCGCTATCGCGTTTGTGCAGCGCATGGGCAAGATTGCATCTGTCTCCGCTGACTCGCCCGGTTTCCTTGCTAACCGTATACTCATGCCCTACATTAACGAGGCAGTCATCTGTCTTGAGACTGGAATCGGTTCCCGCGAAGATATTGACAATATAATGAAGAATGGAACCAACGTTCCTATGGGACCTTTGACTTTGGCCGATTTCATTGGGCTTGACACCTGCTTGGCTATCATGAACGTTTTGCATCAGGAGACTGGAGACAGCAAATACCGGCCATCCGGGCTTTTGAAGAGAATGGTCGATGCTGGTTGGATGGGCAAGAAAACTGGAAAGGGCTTCTACGAATACTGATTGAGCGTTTGATCCTTGCTCACTAGTTACGTCTTGATATCCTTGTTACACTGCTATAAAAATAGATTACTCGAATGTATCAACAGTCTATAGGGTTACAGTTGCTCCTATCGGGGTAAACGATATTATGCGAGTTCGATGGTGCCATTACGATATAAAACTTTCCTCGAGGTGGTCTATAGTGGTACCCTTAGATACCTAGGGGTCAACTTTGGCGATATTTCCATCCCGAACCACACAACCTTCTGTCCGGCAACCTTGAGTTCCTTTCCTCCCCTTGTCAATTAGTGGCTCTTCCGATTCTCTTTCATGGCACAGCATGGCAGCAAGAACTGCTGTAAGTCCGGCTTCTTCGTCACGGTTTAGCGCATTGCCATCAATCACGAATGTAAAAAAATCTACAGGTCTCTCTGCCGGTGTGACACAAACGCACGAAGACCATGGGTTACCACATTTATAGCTGAGCATCATCAGCATGGGTCATATCAAACTTATACGCAGGGCTCGCCTTACCAGAACTGTGCGCTGCATCTGCAGGTAATGTGATCACAGCCAAATATGAGTTCCACCACCGCACCACAATTGAAACACCTCTGCCATCGCTGAAGCCGAGCCACTTCAAGGACTGCGGACAGACCTGTATCAGAAGAGCAATCTCCTGATCTGTGGGCAATGCCGCGACACCTTGAGCAGATTCTCGCGCTACAATGCGGACAGGTCTGTGTCTGAGAATTCTCAGCCTTCACAGCCGTTGGATGTATCCATTTCCCGCAGTTTGATGCAGGACAGTACCAGCGATCTGGAACCGGGGTTGCATACTCAGTTGTTTTAAAGACAAATGAGTCTTTTTCCTTTTGTGGCAGTAAAGGAAGGATGGTCTCTGACGGAATCTTCTGGGCACAACATCTCGGTGGGAATAATTGCTCATCTGCCATACTTGTGGCCGTCATTTGCCTGAGACACGTGTTGCAATACTTATGCTGACAAGGCAAGTTCACCAACTTATCAGCTGGCATGTTCTCGAGGCAGCTCACGCAGGGCCTAAGTGACATCAGCTTACACTGCCAGGCCGATTTGTACGTCAGTAAGAACTTACTCGTTATGTGGCGTCCTTCTGAAAAAGCGCTGAATGAGTCGGCATTTCTCAATTCTCGCTGCAACCCGGCTCCTCCTCGACCCCGCCTTCCCCCTTTCGATCCGTGGATGGCACTCCATGCTTGAACAGTCACTAGCTTGATGAAGGTGTGCAGGTTTGGAGTTTACCAATGGCGGCTCCACGTTCAAATGGGTTCTCGACAATCTTGCAACCCCCTTATCCTGAGTCCAAGGATGTCTTCCTCGGCTGTGTTTCTCGATGGCACGCGAGGTCGCGGCGGACAGATTGCATAGGAATATCTTGAACTTTGAGAGAAGATGTGTTTTATGCTGACAGAGTTCGGGAAACGTCGATTTAGCCTGCTAGTTCTGAAGATTTGCCAGCTCGTTGAGGGGGTGAATCGACAGGTTGGCTCTCTGGGAGATTGTCAGGGAACTTGACGCCATAGTTCCTATTTGATAGTTGTGGACACTCGGAGATACTGCGCGTGCAAATTTAAGAGATGAAAGTCATAATATTGAAATTCATGAAACTAGGTCTGATTCTTATTGTTGGTAGAGCGTGAAGGTATGATTTGGCTCATTATCTCGTCAGGCGAGGGGTCAGCTATATAGGAAAGTCGGTATAGCATGCTAGCAGTGAGTCAGGTGTGGATATATCATCACCACCTCGGCGACTCTGCCATGGATAGGCCATTCGCGTGCCACATGTCCAAGCCCCGTTACCCGGTTATGATCGTCGCATGTTACCACAACCAACCATTCTTGAAGTACTCAATCTACCACTGGCTTTCCACGTAGATGGGGACCTTTGACTCTATGATACTAACAATGCCGTCATGGTCCATACAAGTACGCATGCAGAAAAGATAAAAACAAAAAGATCATAATAAAAGGTTTGACCTCTAATCTGTATTTGTTTGTAGGTCGTCGAGAAAATCAGCTGGATTGTGACGGGTTGGTGTGCCAAGTACTCTGGCTGCGTAGCGCCTTACTGACGTGGACAGTTGGTTGGGTTGAAGGGCTGCAAAAAGAACACAAATTAAGAGAGAAAAGAAAAACTTTGCGGGGCACAAGGACGGAAAACCCCTCTACTACCCATTTATTTCTATACCATAAGTTGTTGCCTGTGTCGGTCAATCGGAAGCCCTTCCCCCTCCATCAATAAATAGAAATCCCGTTGCGACTCCGGCCTCACCGCAACATCTCCTCCCAGCGAAGGACAGTATGTCGAATCATTCAACAATGGTGCAGCAAATAAACCATATCAACTATCGCAATTTAGCTCAATACCAACCTCAAAACTCTTCATGTCAGAGAAAGAGGCATATCTTAGGGTCATACAGCGGCTGGCTGTCATCATCTCTAGGAATTAGAAACAGAAGCATGTTCAAATCCAAGGGTATCACTAGCAAATGCTATCAAACAGGCCATCAAGCCAAGTCGCCAGCTTGTGCCAAATTCAGTTAAACGCAATGTACTCCAAAGATCCCAACCCTGAACACCACGAAATAATGCACCCGATTTCATACAGTGCCAGCAAATTTCCTCCCAGCCCAAGCAGAGCCATTCTCCTGATATTCCTGACGAGTAATAGCAACCTTCTTCATTTCTTCTCTATTGGTGGCTAGTCGACTTGCCCCAAGCCAGGTGGAGCGAATTGGACTGTTTCCAGAGGCCGTCAGCGCACAGTTAAGATCTACACTGTAATAGCAAACTTACTCCTGAGGCCGTCGAACCCTTACAGCACATTCTGCCGAAGCAGCTTCACGCAGCTCCTTCTCCCTACAGCGAATTAGCAATGTATGCAAACGAGAACTGGACGAGAAGATGTCTCACAGTCTTTCCATAAATCCAGCAATCAAAGAGTTTCCTCCAACAACTAGCACGTTTGCCAAGAAGGCGGGATGTAACCCCGTTGGCAGCACAGAAAGGCTCTGGAGAATCATATCAGTAATGCCAGCCTGCTTCATACTGATGTCACTTGGGGTGAATAGAATCTCAGGGACTGTGAAACGCTCGTTACTCAGGACCAAGACATCCTCAGAGAAAGTCTCAGCGGTAGCACCTGAGAGTGCACTTTTCCTCTTCTTGGCATTCAATAGAGGATCATGAGGTCGCATAAATCCCTTTTTGGTGCCATTTGGGTCTGGCAGGACATAGTCGACCGTGACACCTTCATCAGGGTCGAGTTGACCACGCTTTCGGTTGCCTTTCCAAGTCCGTTCCATATCCCGGGAAAAGTCATCACTGACATAGCACACTGCTTCCTTCACTTCATTGATGATATATGCTTCCTCCACCATATTGTATTGCCTCATTGATACCATCTCCTTCAAATAGTTCGTAAGATGTTTGCCTCCAAGATCAAGCCTGCGAACCGCACGCTGAAGAGGTTGGCCTTTGTACAGCGGTGTAACTGTCGTGTGAGAATAGCCTGAATCGACCACGAGGAGGCATTCTCTTGGCGAAAGAGCCGAGTCATACTTCTGCACGATGGGGTCTCCGAATAAGGATTGGACTTCGTTCCAGGCGTTTAGCGACGGGCCTAACATGCCAATATTAGCCAAATATCCAAGCAGCAGTATAACAGTGTCAGTCGCAACCGTACCCACACATCTTAGATAGCCACCAAACCCCCACTCCTCCATTACGATCTCGTCTGCGTTCTTCTCCAGCACCGGTAAAGCGTTTGGAGCTTCGGTCAGTACAAGCGTCGTTTCTTCCGGTTTGGCAATCCGCAGGTCTTTGCTTCGCACAGTCTTCTCGTCAAAAAATGAATGCTCCCAGATCTCCTTTTGCGCTTCCCAGTTTACAGTATATCCCTTCTCGACCGGACGTCGGAACATTAACTCGTTCCAATCCGTAACATGAGTATTAAGTTGCGAACCGATGTAGACGCGGTTATCGCGAGTCTTGGCGAGCGCATTAGGAATAATAGAGCAAACGGACAGTGCCTCTATTTCATCTTCCGTAATAGAGTCGGGCGCATAGCCGGCTTTCATCGTATACGCGCCATTGTCGATTATGAAAGTCCTCTCGGGTAAAGTTTGGGCCTTTGCGACGGAAGCTTTTCCAGAAGGGCGCAGTTTGGTGGTTCCCATGGTTTGGGGCATAAATTGTATAGTATCTAGTATGTAGGTATTCAAGCGCGCATTGGACCACTAAACGTTCGAAGCAAAGCTTAGTGGTCTTGAAGTAGTTGGAGATGGAAACAATCCGGAGCATTCTGTCCGTCGACGGGGACCGGAGATGCCGAGCGGTCAGCTTCACGAATTAGGAAATATAGGGCTCAGCCTTAGGGCTCGATTCAAACCTCCTGAGCATATATATTGCAACACCTGTAATATATACACGGAGTACCTTGAGATGGTCATGGACTGGTCTTCAATTGTCACTGCTAGGTGTGTCAAGAATATAGTCGGGGATGATAAACATGAAGCTCCCACCCCAGGCGATTCCGTATGGTTGCCCAGCACGAGGTTTTTGCTCACCCCAGGAAAGCTATTGTTTGTTGAATATAACGATTGGAAAATTCTATATAGAGTTGATGTTAATCTATGCAGTTAGGAATGCTCGCAATGGCCTATTATTTCCATTCATCTGTTAGCAAGAGACATCGCTATATCTACTAATTAGGATGGTGTATCTACTAGTATGTTTATATGCAAACGTCAGGGCATCCATAACATTTTTGTTAAATTGGTAACTCGAATATACAAGACATATAAAGTTGTAATGGACAAAATTCCACAAGTATAGATTAACGAAGCTGTACGTATGAATGCACAGTGCAAACGCTATCACCAAGGTCAGCCGCAGGTGACCCCGCAGAGCCCTAAAAAACGGCCCCGCAGTCCTGTAATCCAAAATTTCTCCCAAACTTGTCTTGAGCTGTTCGAGCCCAACCAAAACACCTATCTGTGTACAGTCCGGTCAGAATGTCACCAAAGCTCCACGTCACTCTTACAACTACCCTTACCCTCGTGGAGCAATTCCACTTGACCTTGTCGTCACCCTCTGGAGATTCAACCTCCGCAGAACTCTCAAGCAGAGATGCACTTCCCCTCCTCTCGGCATCGTCGACAGCTCTTAAGTCACAAGTCACCAAGCTTTCGCTTTTAGCCATCACCTCTCCATTTACGCCCTCCGCCGTCGGCTCGATCCTCTCTAACCTGAACGAATCAGTGCTCCCATCCTTTGTGACAGCAGCTCTACTCATTACACCGACCGATCACACCAAAGCATTTCAGGCCGAGGCTCTATCACTAACGAAGACGGGGCTGAACGAACTGTCATCGCTTGTGAAAGAAGTTCAGTCAATCGCAGAGAGAAATGATGAAGTACAGGATCGCATGAAGAAGAAGGGAATCGAACTGTCACAGTCTGAGAAAGACCTCGTTACGGTAGCTACAGGACGGGTCTGGGGTGCTTGCGATGCCTTGATTGACCTCGCTTCAAATGGCGTTGTTGGGTTTGTAATACGGCGTGTGGAAGAATGGAGAGATCTGGTGCGAGATGCAGTGGAAGAGATTGACGAATGGGATCCTGATGAAGAAGGGGACGAGTTTTTCGACGAGCTTCTGAGCGACGACGGGAAACAGAGTATTGGAAAAGGTGGCGAAGCCGAATTAGCCGAGGACGATGGCGAAGACAACGCTGTGCTTCATGAGTTGAAAGGGACTGCTATTCGGCTGCTCAAACCAGTTGTCCAGATTTACCCCGCAATCATCACGAATCGCCTGAAGAAGGTTCCTGAATTCTTGCCTTCCCTTGTTAACCAGCTGGAATCCCTTATGACCAACCTCCACCGTATTCCGGAGCAAGTTGACGAGGTAGCGGGGGCACTATATGAAGCGGATCTAGAACGGTCTATTCAGTACTTGGAAAGAACAAAGGACTGCGCTGTTGAAGCAGTCAAGTTAGTGGTTTTGCCTTGGACTGAACAGAGTGTGGCCAACAGCCAGCAAAAAGCCGAGGATAGATTTACTGACTGGTCGAAGACATGGCTGAAAGTGATGGATGGGGTAAGTAAACCTCTTGATGACATCAAGGAAGCGAAGTCACAGTGAATATTCTTCTCTTTAGAAAGCCTGAACATGCAAACTATCATGTAATCTATTGTTCAACATGTCTGGCGGCGTGTATCATGTTTCGATTTTTAACGTTGTACTTATATCGCGCGAAGAATGCCCTCAGTGGCTATTCCTGTCATTGCGTAGCGACCGTAGAGCAAAAAAGTTCTCTACTGGAAGAAGACAGAAAAGGTCCTATGTACACACTTATGAAGATGGTGAAAGAATTGATGGTATCATTAGGTTGTTGATCGGTACCCAATGCACTTCCTATGTGCTCGATTCATCATCAGGCTCCCATTGAGAAAGATCTTCAGCGGGTATCCGATCTTTTAGCCATTCGAGGATAGCATCTGTTCCTTTGGCAACAATTTGCCAGCGAGGGACACGGAAGCTATTACCCGCGATCTCGAATCTCTTCAGCGCCGATCCATTGCCCCAGTTCTTACTACAACCCTCGGCTCTTAAAAGGCCCAGCTTTGGTGGTAGAGAATTGATGTTGTTATTGCCTATATCAAGAACCTGAAGGCCTTGGATGGCATCAAAATCCAAGCTATCAAAGCGGTTATCGGCAGCGAGGAATGTCATCAGGCTTGGATAGGTTTGACGGACCGGTGGAAGAGACCCACAAATGCGGTTATTGGATACATCTAGGAAAGTGAGCGAAGGGGCTCGAAGATTGGCTAATAGTGGCTCAAGAGTGGTTAAGCCGGTGGCACTCAGATTGAGGATTTGGAGACTGGGTAAATCCAGCGATGTGGCTAAGAGCGAAGTGCTATCCAGTGGGTTGTGTGAAAGATCAAGATCGGTCAAATTAGGCGCGAGCATACTGAGAGTCGGTGCCGGAATACAGCGTAATTCATTGTGTTGCAAGTAAAGACATCTGACCTCATGCGGGTTTATACGTTCCAGATTATTCATATCCAGCTCTTGAAGATCAGCATACGATCTGTCGACGACACCCCCAGGTTTGACTTGCCAAACGCCTGATTGAGCTGGGGCCTCAGGTGCGAGCGTGAACTGGGTTGCGACCGAGCCCTCTTCGTCATCCGTATCTTGTAGCTCTGGCTCGCACCGGTTTCGGAGCTCACGTTTCAGGTCCTCAGTAGACATATTCAGATATTTTCGCTCCCTAAGAGGGTTGTTCGAAATGCGAAATGTGACAAGGCTTTCCATCAACCCAATCCTTTCGTCCAGTTTTGAGATATTGTTCCCCGTCAAGTCAACGTTTCGAATGGCAGTCAACTCAGCGAATCCTGGTGGTAGGTCTGCTATGCTATTATCCTCCGCTGACAAACTTAGGAGCGCATGCCAAGAAGAAACATCCGGCAAACACTGGATGCGATTCAGACTGATCGCTAGAGTGTGTAGATTGGGGAATCCAAATGTATCGTGGTCAGAAAGCTTTGTTAGGGAGTTGCCAGTTACGTTCAGAGATTGTAAGGTCATAAGCGCCTGTACAGAAGCAGGGAACAAAGTACCCTTTAGACGATTGTTGGGAGCGCTGAGCTCTTTCAATGAAAGCTTGCTTAGGCCCTCGAAAGGCAAAGTGGACAGCTGATTATCACCCACGTTCAGAATTCGTAGGGAAGTCAAGTACGCAAGTTCATCCGGTAGCTCTGTGAGAGAGTTGCCATGAAGATCAAGAACTTCCAGGTTGTGAAGATTCTTTATATCAGCAGGGAATGCTCCATGAAGTTGATTTTTCGCTAGCTTGAGGTCCTTTACAGATCCCATTTCCATGATGATCTGTATGTCTTCCAAGCTTAGCTTGTTGTTTGAGAGGTTGAGGGTATGAAGACGCTGTAGTCGCCGGAAACCAATTGGCAGTGAGCGCAATAAGTTTCCGTGCAAGTCGAGGATTTCCAGCCCACCAAACTGGTTTCCCCTCTCATCAGCATCTGGATCCTCTGGATCGATGTCTGGGAAAGCGGAATCTGGAAGTTCGACGAACTCGTTATCTGCAGCAATGAACTTGACAATGTCTACACTCTCATACCACTCTGTGACTGAGTCAGGGTCGAAATCATACATGGCCATGACTTCCTCTGGTAATGCTGCCAAGGACATGGCCGCAATATTCAAATGGCCTGAGGTTCGACCTGCTTCGAGACGTTTGCGAAGGAGCCCTTTGTTCGGATCCTTTGGTCGCTGGTTGAATGGATCTTCAACACCTAAATCATCCAAGGACGAGGATTGGGAATTATTATTGTTCTGCATCGCTGCTTTCCGTGCAGCTTTTGCCTTTGCAATGGTTTCCCTTAGTGCGGTAGACGACTTTGAGGTTTTTCTAGTCTCCATCTCGGATTGCTTCTCAAACGTTAAGTCAAGGGTCGTGGCCTTAGTGGAAGGTGATCTTGACGTTGTTATAGGTGCCCTTGAGTTCTGATGTACTTTTGTCGGTGTCTTCCTCGTTTTCTTCACGTGGAGCACTTCCTGTGTAAGATTCGTATCATGAATCTGTATAGAGGTAGTGCCTGAGCTTCCACCAGGATTTGATAGTGTATGCGTCGTATCTCTATAGGTGCTTGTCCTTGAAGAAGGTAGCTTCAACTTGGAAACATTATCCGAAGTCGTCAGATTGTTTAGCTCGGCCGATGTGCCGCCCACATACAGTGACTGGCGTGACCTTGATGGTAGCCGCATTGCAGACGATGGGCGAGACAAGAAGTCGCCGCCGGTTTGTTGACGCGACGACGATGACCTGGAAGGTGACCTCGAACAGCTTGACAGCACAGAAGCCGGGCGGGATGGAGAGCGCATGGGGCTGGTCCCATTAAAGAAACTAGAATGCCTTGAAGAACCCGGTGAAGGAGGAATTTGCGATAATGTCTCAATTGTTCGTTCTGACAGTGAAGGGCGCGTACGACCTCTAGTATCTGCATCGTCAACTGATGCACCCGTCCCACGCTTCAAAGATCCATCCATTACACTATCCGTTTCCGACTTTCCACCATCGCTCATTCTACTATGAGAGACATCCCTCCTTTGTGACAGGCCATTGTGAGGCTTTTTTGGCACCGAGTATTTAGGTAGCGGCTTTTTAAACAATGTTTCCTCTGAAGGTCTTCGAAGCCTAGCTGCATCGACTCCAGTATCTGTTCGTAGCCTTTCGCGAGATGGGGAGGGCTTGATCGATTTCGAAACGGTTGATGTCGGGAGCGGTAGTCTGGAGGCTAATCGAGGAATCCCACTCGGTCGGGCCGGTAATTTCTGTTGTTTATCCATGTTCACATCACAGAAGTAGTCAGTTTAGGTTGTTTAAAAGCATAAAGCACGTTTCTGCAATTGGATAGTAATGGTTTCAAGAGCGGGAAAGGAGTCTCATGATGGTTTTTTGTGTGGGTCAGGTACTTAGAGGAAAAGACAGGACAGCAGAAATTCTCAGCTGACACACAGATGGTAACAGATGTAATGGGTAGAGGTGAAAACGTTAAGTGGTCAGAGCACAAAGTAATACTCAGCGCAACGTGTCTTTTTTAGGGTGACTCCTATTAATTATGTGATAGATTATATGATTACAATTATAACCATTGTTTACGACGTACTCCGTAGTTGGTGCCTGGGGCCGCAATCGATATAGACTAGTCAAGACCTGTGATTGGTGAGATTTCCTTCGGCATCCCGCCGACAAATGGAGCGAATCTTGGAAGCTGTAAGGGTCCTCTTGCAGTATACACACGGACTCAACATATCACCAACTAGGTTACCGATACTCCTATTGAACCACAGTCGGGTCGGGTATACTGGCCTACTTATGGTTACGTGGAAAGTGGGCTTTACACAGGATCAGGTGTTCTCTGAATGGGCACGTCTATATTGGCCTTCTGTCAAACAAATCGAATATTACAACCGAATCATAGACAGCCCTCAATTCTTCATGATGACCATATATACTGCGTACAAAGTGCTCCGTACGATTACTACATAGGCGGACAAATGTCATGCTCCACAGAAAGACCCATCCTGCAACTATTACAGTGGCCTCAAATCTCACAGATGCGATGAATGATCAAGTGTAATTAATTTCTCCTTCTATGAGCACTGCCTTCTCATACATATTGATCCACAATTTACTATCCTTCCACAGACAAGCATCGGGTCCGCGTTCGAATTGATTGGTCTTCACACAAATGAGCCATTGTCAAGATTGTAGTTCTCATAGTTAAAGCCCTTTCAAGGAGAAAAGTGAAAATCAAAAAGTGGCGGAGGAAGGAAGAAGAGAAGGCAAAAGTTTCTTGCTTCCTATAGTCTCGTGTTCAGACGAAGGCTCATCTGAAACGCTACCTAAGTTCATTCTTGGTATGTTTTGCGGGGGGAAATAGCCTGGAGTATTTTCAGTAATTATCAAGTTTGTATAGGCTAATAAAATCCCTAACAAGTGGGGAGATCATAGGTCACCAGATACACAGTAGAATATTATTAACTATGTGTTGATTGGGGTTCGCGATATCTTGAATATTAAACACGGACCATCTGTTTGCATACAGTACTAGCTTATACAACCGGAACCAAGTCCAGACACAAGTCACTTAGTATTGATGGTTCATCGGCAGCCCGTTGCCTCAGTTACAACCTTCTGGACCCATGGGGTACAACTTCTGTTTACTTGCCTTGAGGTGCATGATCTCCACTCTAACTGCATCTGGAATGATAAATTTTAGCGCGCGGCTGGGCTCACGTGCATGCAAAACTTCGGATATAATTGGTTGGAGGAGAGCCATCGCAAGCGACTTCCCAGCCTCCCGATGTGCGAAACACCCGCCGCTTGCAACATCCTTAAGGCATCAAACCCTCCACAGTGCTCCTTGCTCCTTGCATCACATCTACCCGTTGCTTTACTATTGCTTCATTCACATTCTATCTTATACCTTACTCCTGTCATATTGGCACAGGGGTTTCCATATCTTGCATTGCTGTTCCTCCAAACTGGGTGTCTGTTTCAAAGAATCCATTTGTATCCTACTTGATTTGAACGTGTCTGCACAGCCCTATCACTGATAAGCGGACCGAGCCAGGTGCGAGTCGCATAGTGTCTGTGCGACAAACACATCCATACCCAAGTGCACCCGATTTCCCGGAAAGTTTAGCGTCTATTATTATTTACAAGGCCTGTATCAGCCGAGCTGGAAACAAGTATTCCTTCAATCAGTTTTATTGACATACACACGGAATACTCTACCTCGTTCCCGGTATGCGCTTGACCGCCCTACAGGGTCAACCCGGCCTTTGCTAACTAAGAAGCAGTGCGAGGATATATTCCAACGGTTTTACTTAGGCTCTCTTGCCGTTGTTCCTATCATGCCACGAGACTCCAAGCTTCAGCCCTCACAGTGCTCTCTTGCGCCTCCGGCAGAGATCTCTGGTCCAGTTAGCCCCACTCGACGTGCAAGTCACTCTGCTTCTCCAGATAGAAGTATAAGAGCCGAAAGCCACACATCGCGCTCTGACAGAGGGAAGTTCTTTTCCCCTCCGTCACTACCATCGTCAGATATGACTCCTCCCCCATCGTCGCAGATCCCTGGAGCCCCTCTTCGGCAATCAAGGTCTCGATCTAGTTCATACCTTGCATCTCCACCTGATATTGAGAAGACGCTGTGTGTCGCTTATGGAGCTTCTGAGAACCTCCCCACCGCCGAAGAAATCGATACCGCTGACGAATCCAAACTCCGTGCGATCGCCAAGGAGCTACTGGGCGTAGCTCAAGAGGCTCGTATGTCAGCGCTGCACTTCAAGTTACAGAATAGTCTACTATCATTCACAAGCAACGAGGCCATCAAGCGCGCCGAGGTTGAACATAAATTGGCTAGAAGGGAAGTCGAGATTCTCCAGAGCTCTGAATATCGCCGTCGTCATTCGGAAACTAAACCGCCACAACAAATTGCCAATGTTGAATTAGAACTTGCTCTCAAACGTAATCAAGAACTGGAGAGGGTCAATGCTACTCTTGACCGGCGGCTTCGCCGAGCGAAGAAGCTTATCGACCAAGAGAAAGTGAAGTCTGATCGACTTGGGGAAGAAAATTCTTTGTTGAAAGACCGTATCAGAGATAACCGAAAGCATCTTTCCTTGATGATCGAGCATGGTTCATTGTCTCCAAGTCCACAAAACGAGATCCAGACTCCTCATAGAAAGTCTGTTCCTCACTTTGCCGATAATAGCCACCATATGACCAGGGATGAAAACCATAATCCTTTTGCTGCTCTTCTGGCGGCGGATCGTGTTCTCAACAGAGAATCTCCAAGTGCAATCTCCACATCAAATCAGAATGGCGCACAGCAACAGTTTGGCAACCACCATGTGCGTGGTGCACATTCACTATCTTCTCTTCCTATGACGCCATCTCGCTCTCGGGTAGCTCAGCAGGAGAGTCAGCACTTCACTCCGAACAAAGATTCTCAGCACCAGCATCGGGATAGGGACAGCACCATATCAGCATCCGACACCGAGGGAGCCGAAACAGAGGACGACGCTCCTTCTCGCACTGGTTCAGTGGCAACAAACATGTTTCGCCATGGTCACTCAGACCATCAGAATGCTACAAGAGTGGCAAACGCCCCTAAATCGAGCACTTTGCTTCAAACAACGCTGTTCGGTCAGGTTAGAAAAGCAGGGGTCGTGCAGCCCTCTGGCAGTCTCAAACGCAAGGCGAGTTTTGACAGTGCGGCCTCGAAGAAATTGAAAGCGGAGGAACGAGTGGGTCTCGGTATTGACACATGGAACAATAACAGCCGGCCATAAGTCTATATGTGCATCTGGCTGTATTTCCTTGCACATATTTTGGCATATTGCGGTCTTACTACCTCGGGCGGATTGCGGATCTTCTTGATTTGAGACATCCTTTCATAATCCAGACGATTTTTAATGTCCTGTATGTTCCCCCTCAGGAACGGTTACGAATGATGACATGTAAATGATGAGGTGGATCGGTGTTACTATGGTGTCTTTGTCGTCTCCCTTTTTATTTCTTGTATTTCATTGTTGAAATTAGGAGCGATTCTTATTGATTCCTAAGGCTCTGTAATCTTTCAGAATATCTCGAGTTAGGTACCTACATCATTGTGGTACTAGTAGATAAGATTTAGTTTTATCTCTCAAAATGAAACAAGTATAAGAACAGATTCATCAGTGCCCCCTCCCTTGCTCGTCAAATATGGTTCCTCTCTCTGTCTCTCTCTTTCTTGCTTTCTTTTCTTCCATCTGTCTTGATACATAGAAAGCGGATAGAACGCGGATACGGAGTAGATGCCAAAGACAGATATACTGCCTTAGTAAGCATAGAACGGGAACTGTAGTTAGACGTTCGTTCATCTATGGAGATTGACTAGATTACATGTTTAGTGAGGACCCGGCATCTAGCTAGAGCCAAAGCACTTATATGGACAGAAAATGATTTAGATAACTACTTAAGAGCTCTGTGAGAATTCCAAGACAACCTGAGTGCTACAAATGATGAAGTGAGTTATCAAGTGACAAGGTCTGGGACCCTTTCCAGATTTGGCAACCAGGGTAGGGCTTCTCGCTAAGCGAGACCGGCGCGGCTCTGCGCGGTTGGCCACACCAAAAAAAGTTCCACCCATTATTGAAGAGTCGTTTTGAGATCCGACCAGCAACCACCCACGACGACGACAATCTCGGCCTTGATCACCGTCCGTCACAATGGTGCGTTATTCTGACCCTCGCTGTCTTGAATCCTTTTGCGACTTAACAAAATGATATCGAGTCCGTTTTTTTCGTTGGGGAGGGCAAAGTTACTGATGAATTTTGGTGGTATAGGCGATCAAGCACAACAACCAGATTCAAAACCAGCGTAAGTGAACCTGAGGAAACGAGTTTTCCATATTTGGGAATAGAGGATGGCATTTTCTGTTCTGTGGAACAACGAACTGACAAATTTATTATAGACTTCCGCAAGGACTGGCAGCGTCGTGTGCGCGTGCACTTCGACCAGGTACGCAATCGAAACCATACTCGCCTAAATCACATTTCGAACGACATGTTTCGGTCTGGGGGATGATATATGGTTGACTAACTATTTACCATTTTATAGCCTGGCCGCAAGCACCGCCGTCGTGAGGCCCGTCTTGCGAAGGCCGCCGCTGTTGCTCCTCGTCCGGTTGACAAGCTGCGTCCCGTTGTGCGTTGCCCTACCGTCAAGTACAACCGCCGTGTCCGTGCCGGTCGTGGATTCACTCTCGCTGAGCTGAAGGTAAATTTGTCCCCTTTGGATATGGAGCGGGCCCCTAGTGATGGTGCTGTTCTACTTGCTGGGCTTCGAAGTTGGATGGAAGCTTACATGGGACTTGCTTCAAAACTATATAGGAAGCCGGAATCCCCAAGAAGCTCGCTTCTACCATCGGTATCGCTGTTGACCACCGCCGTGTCAACTACTCCAAGGAGTCGCTGGTCGCCAATGTTGATCGCCTCAAGGACTACAAGGCCCGCTTGATTCTCTTCCCCCGCAAGAGTGGTCAGTTCAAGAAGCTTGACTCTTCTGCTGAAGAGGTCAACGCTGCCAAGGCTGCCTTCGCCGCTGAGGGCAAGACCGAGGGCTATGCCACTCGCGCCAACGCCACCCTTCCCATCAAGAACCCTTCTGCCGAGGAGGCTGTCACTGAGATCAAGCGTGATGATCTGCCCAAGGGTGAGGAGGCTGCCTACCGCCGCTTGCGTGAGGCCCGCAGTGAGGCCCGCTACAAGGGTATCCGTGAGAAGCGTGCTAGGGCCAAGGCCGAGGAGGAGTCCGCCGCCAAGAAATAAATGTGATTCACAGTTAATGATGATCGGGTCTATTTTCAAGTCGGGGATTAGTGTACTGTGGCATGGCGTGGCGCCCCTTTTCTCAATTTACCTTTGTCCTTAAAAAACTCCGAACCTTCCGAAATGCAAATGCCCCAATTTTCACGTTCCAAAAAAAACAAAGGGTCTACTCCGAGTTAGGGTTGTATGCTAAGAAGCTGCATCTTGGTCAGTCAGATTGTGGTCGCTGGGTTCGTATCAAGCGACATCCTTGGCGATTATTTGTTGCATCACACCGATGGCTTAGTCCTCGTTTGGAGGCAGGCAACACACAAGATACTATGGAAGGGCAACCTGATGCAGGCCCCGGTAAGCTAGTTCAATGACGGAGATGAATCTATATACACTGGATTACAACCTGCGTAAACCTCTGCTTTCGTAGTCAATGTAAGTTTGTTCTCAGGTTCAGTAGAGGTTGGAAATGTGTCTAGGACGCGATCCATCTGTTGATTTACAGAGGGGCAGACGCTGTCGCTTTTAGATCAACAAGTGTTGAGATCAGCTAGTGGATTCGAAAACCAATCCAAGCCAATTCCAATGACATATGCAGTCACTTTTTTGCCTTCACTTTGAAAGCATGTTTTTCGGGCTCATCAAAGAATAAGACACCCAGAATATGTTCAGCAGCATGTACTATCGCATCTGCATTGATATCAACGTCTGTGCCTATTCGCCCGCTCTGTTTCTCGTTCAAAATTGTGTGAAATAGTCTTTTGACATCCTGTTCCACCTTGCTTCCCGACCTGCCATTCATCATGGACGGTGCAGACACACTGATCCCCGGAACCAACCTGGGCTCACCTGCCCATTCATCGATTGCTAGTTCGCATGAAAAGTAGGCTCGTAAAGACTCTCCACCTCCGGACTCGAATAGCATAGATGTACGCTCAAGGTGTGGTAGTATTTTCCGTGGATTTATACTCGAGAGAGTGGGCACATCGGGGTCTAGGAAGTCATCCAATTTATCAGTATCACTGGTTGTTCCACGACTTCTGATCAGTCCTCGATATTGTCCTTCTAGCCGCGACCATAGTTTGGCACGTGATATTGAGGCTTCCCAGTACCGTTGTATGCCCCAACATAGACCCGATACATCCAACTTCAAGAGTGGGTTCGCTAGCCTTGATTCGATCCACTGGCGCAAAGATATTGGTACTTTGTTGTCAATACCCATTGGCACCGATATGGAGAGTACAGACTGCGTTTCTGGATCCGTTTCGTAGTTGATGGCTAAGTGGAGGTGTCTAGAAGGAAAGGGCCGCGGTGTAGACAGTTCCAAGGTATGTTTCTCCAAATGCTTGTCTGGGTCCAAACCACAGTAAGTATTTGAATATGATTTGAGTTTCAATGGGGCGAATAATGTTAGATATGGCTCAGCTTGAGAAAGTGTATCGAGGGCAAAAGGATTCGGCGGAGGATGCTCCTCTGAAGTTACTGGAGAACACTTCGTAGAAAAAGGAAGCAACGTGGAGATTAAAGAAGATATAGACATATCATATGGGCCCGGCTTTTCAGGCGTTGCCCTATTGGGATCTTCACACAATATTGACCTGCCATCAGTCAGGTCAGATTTCAAATGACTGGGTATGAAATACTTACATAAGTTTGCCCATATCTAGTTCTGTATCATCGACATTGTAACTTAAGCTCTTTGACCAATTCTCCAACTCAACAATGTCATCGCTAAGTTTTTTTATCTCTGTGGCAAGTTGCATTGTCAATCGCCGCTTTTTCAGAACGGGCTCAGGAAAGAGTCCTTGAGCCATATTTGGGTCAGATTCCAGTAGGCCTTCGTCTCCTTCTCCATAATGAACATTCCTAAGCCTAGAGGGGCTCTGTTCTAGATGGTTAGTGGTCCGTCGTTTCCCCCAGTTGCCATGTTGCATAGTCGGACTACTGCTCAGTAGCCCTTTTGGACGTGCGGGGGGTCTTTCTAGGCCTAATTGCGCTGGGGTTGGGGGGAGATCAGGTTCTTCGAGCCCTTCATGCAAGTCTGCATGTGAATTGGCTTCACCCGTTGCGTTACTCAATTCAGATGCTAATTGGTCGTCCGGACTATCTGGTAGTCCACGATCCAATTTGTTCCCCTGTGTCACTATCGGAGACTTGAATGACAGGTCTGAAGGAAGGATTCTCCTCGAGACTCGCCTCGGAGGGGCTGCAAACGCTTGAAGACCACTTGATCGCCTGCTTGGTGAGTTTATGTCCAGCCTTAGGCTTGCATCTGGAACCAGTGATGGCCTAAGAGCTTTTCTATCGCGTAACCCAAGAGCTCTCGTTTCAGTTTGGGCTATAGGAATTTTTGAGCCCCTCTTCGATGAGTTGCTGGTTGCGCGCAGCAGACTCTCCGCTTGCGATTGCACTAAGCTTTCTCTCGATGGTTCTTGGTGTGATGCGCGATCAGGCGGGCGCTGTGCATTTTCATTTTCAGGTTGCGGGTTCATTGGCGACGTGTTGAGAACAGCAGCGCTACACTTGTTTCGCGCCGTCTGAGACAAGGAGAGATGTCCTAGGAACGTATAGATGTCCTATATACAATTCCAATCATTCGCAGCCACCTTGGAGGATTCGACTTTGTCAAGGATTGATACTGAAGAACGACGCGATCTGCAGACCTTGCGATAGCATACATCGCATTCTGCGAGACGCCATTCAAATGTTTGTATTGTTTGCATAATGACATAATGTCAGCCTCGGATGGCAAATAGCACTTTCCAGTGTTCTTCCCGGCAACCACCCGGCACTACAGAGTTTCTTTTCATGGGTAAAGGGCGATCAGTGTTTAAAATGACCCCCTGCTTGTCGGGTATGGGTTATTTTTTAACTATAAACCAGGCGCGCTTTCTCCCTGCATCAGCACTGTCTATCGGACGATATGCCCCGTTTCCCACTACCCGACGAGCAGCCAGCCATGCCCATACCAAGTATCAGGACACGACAGCATACTTGAACGATTCAGGACCCATTCAAGCATATCCATTATCAGGGTACTATCATGACATTCTCTCATCCCGCTCTCCTTACAGACGTCAAGCAAGTTCCTCGCGTCCTATTTCTAAAGAATTGGATGACGAGTCGTCAACATCTTCAATCGAGCCTCACTCGCCGCAGGACAAGATGTCTATTGTGTTTGGCACTCGCCTTGCTGGCCCTGGTCGCTCTTCACGGTATAACCCCGGTTCGAGACCACCAGGGTCTACATGGAAAACTATAAATGGGGTTGCGATACCACCGCGGCCAGAGGAGCCTGACAATTGCTGCATGAGTGGCTGTGTGCATTGCGTCTGGGATGATTTTCGTGATGAGATGGAAGATTGGGCGGCGAGGGTCGCGCAGGCTAAGGCCAAGGGGGCTTCGAAAGGGCCGACTGGGGATTTGCTTCACACTCCAAGGGCAGAGGTCGCGTCTGCGAGCACTAGCATGGATGACGATGGAGGTGGGAGTGAGGCAAACTGGACCATCCCCGATCAGGCAGACGACCTGTTTGCCAGCATCCCAGTTGGGATTCGAGAGTTTATGAAGACGGAGAAAAAATTGAAACAAAAACACCAACACCATGGAGAAGCGTCATGAGCGTTGGTTCATCGTTTTTATTTTATTTCTTTAATCTTGTCATGCTTCCTCGCACATCCATTGTATTGCTCGGGCTGGGGTTGCTTCTTTCATACTTACTGAGAACAATATATATAGAGAGGGGGAGAGAGGATAGATCTACATGTAAATACACACGCAATGACGCCATGAATTCACTTATAATAAAGATCGCGTAATATATTCTACTATTTGGATACACGCGCTTTAAGTGTGTAGTTTGAAGAATTGGAATCTTTAGTAGAGATGGTAGAGTGGTGATTGAATAAATTTATGCCGCGCCAAGGCCAATTAGATATATTGATGATATTTACTTTTGTAAAATTCATACCCAAAGACATAAGAATATTACTTCACTCGTCCATCTTTGCCTTGTTTTATCTTTATCTTTATCTTTTCTTTCCCCTATCCTCTCGAAAGGGACATCATATAAACCAAGTAATGGCTATATACGCCACCATTATCTCATAATCCTCCTTTCTTCATGCGGCGATCAATGCGTAATAGTACCGCACCCTCACCTGGCTTGCGGCGATGCAAAGTTATACGGTACAATGTTATCAGGCTTCTACTTTTTCTCATGACAGACAGTCAATGCTAATTACCACCCTATCATAGAGCATCAGATATTTTCCCTGCATCAAAGATGGCCATCCCAAAATACGTCTCGCTCTTTTAAACCCGACGCGACCTTCGCAACAGCGCAACATCGCAACTCGTCGCTACACTGCAGTGTTACCTAGCATCCAGACTAGAGACCGCGCTACGGAGATATGCAGGTCACTTTTAGAGCCGAAACGCCCTTTACTTCACGGTGCTCTAGTCCCTTACTGTATGATCAGGACAGGGTCAAGCACAGCGTGTGCCTTGGAAGAAACTACAAAAGCATCCGTGGAGCGGTCCACCTCACAATCGCGAAGCCAGGAAAGGGGCCCTTTAGTTGAGAATGGGCTAGCGTGCGACAACAGTGGTTTGTCTTGGAGAACACCAGACGCCAATACAGCCAGTGCTGTAGACGAATCACAAATTGTCATCGATGCTCTTCCAAGAGAGGAAGACTATAATGGGTTTGGAAAGGTGCTTTTGCGGTCACCTAAGCCCGTGCTACACTCTGATTTTGTTCAGAAGGGGCTAATAATGCTCAAATCTCGATTTGTTAGCCGTGACAAGCGCAAGTTTGATTGCACCGTAAATTGCACCCTTCAGCATACCTCTACAACTATAACCACGTCCGGAACAGGAAGCTCAAAGGTAAGGTACGATACATGATAGCTTGAATTAGCTGCTTAAGCTAATGTGTGTCAGTCTTCAGCAGAACTGCAGGCCTTGTTGGCCTTGATCTCAAGGCTCCATACAAGTGGTTTGTTGCAAGAGCTCAACGAATTACGAGAAGAACTACTATATATGAAGCTAAATATAGACGAAGATATGTTTATTGTCATGCTTAGGGCCTTGAGGGATTTAAGACGTGCCTGCAAATTTTCTACGGCAAAGTGCAGTGGAGGGCAAATAGGGAGTTCCATTTCAGCTGACCAGGAGGGCTTCAATGAGCAGAAAAAAGTAGATAACTCATTGGGCTCACCTGTTGGTAGGCTGTGGAAGCGCCAAGGAAGGTTGCCGATCAGCAGAAGGAAGGATGACATACTTGACCTTGTTGAGAAGAACACATATTCGCTCATTGTAGCAGATACTGGTTCCGGCAAATCAACACAAGTGCCCCAGATGCTGCTCGACAATGCTATGGTCAAGGACTCCGAAAGTGCATGCAAGATACTTTGCGTCCAACCTCGCAGAATAGCAGCGACTTCACTAGCGAAGCGGGTTGCGAAAGAAAGAAGGGAATCACTTGGATGCTCCGTAGGGTATCAAATTCGATTTGATTCTCGACGTCCCACAAGATTGAGCTCAATAACGTTCTGCACGGCTGGCTATCTCCTTAACATGCTGCATTCCGAGTCCTACCTGGTGTCTTTCTCCCACATCATACTCGATGAAGTTCACGAACGAGACCTTGACCTCGACTTACTCATGCTTTTTCTGAGAAACTTCGTCGATCAACGTCGTGACCTAGGGCTGCATGCGCCTAAGATTATTGTGATGAGCGCAACTCTTGATATAGGTCTTTTCGCTTCATATTTTCAAAATATCGTCAACGACGGAGGTCGCTTGCCTGCTCCACATCTTCGTATCTCCGGGCGTGCTTTCCCTGTTGGCAAACATTACCTAGATGAGGTCATCGAGTCCTTATCTAGGTTCTACCCCCCGCGAGCGCTATCATTGTTGATCGATGAACCCCAGACAGCAAGGTATTTCAGAAGGTATAACCTTCTGCCGGTGGCAGACCTCCCGAACTCTGACGAGCAAGGGATTGGTGGGGACCAGCATTCGCATGATCCGATCTTATTACAATCTTCTCGATCCGTGCTTCGAGAAGAAGATCCTTTGATGCCACTAGGCCTCATATGCGCCGTTATCTGTTATGTCTTGTCTAGTACCGAGGAAGGCTCTATCTTGGTCTTCCTTCCAGGTTTACGTCACATCATGGCCGTTGAAAGTACCATCCGAAAACATGGAAAGATGTTAGGCTGTGACTTCTCTGATGATAGCCGATACAAGATCCTGCAGCTCCATTCAAACCTTCCCGATGGTCAGAAAGAGCTTTTTAGTCCAGTTTCGCGAGCTTGTCGCCGAGTTATCTTGTCTACTGATATTGCCGAGACTTCGATAACCATTCCAGATGTGAAGTTTGTCATTGATCCCGGTAAGGTAAATCAAAAAATTCATGACCCACAGTCAAGGACAACCCGGTTTGCATGTTGTTGGATTAGTCAGTCCAGCGCTTCTCAGCGTGCAGGCAGAGCTGGCAGAGTCCAAGCAGGAGAGTACTTTGCTCTTTACACGAGGGATATGCACAATTCTTTCCGCGTCACCCGATTTCCAGGAATGATGCGGGAGGACTTACAACAGACCTCTTTGCAAGTGAAACGGGCAGTGTCGTCTGCCTCCATTCAGGACACCTTACGAGATTCCATTGAACCTCCGGACGAGACCAAGGTGGACTTAGCTATTAGTAACCTACAGCTTTTAAGAGCACTGGATGAGAAAGAGGGGCTGACACCTCTCGGAGCCCTTCTCTCAGAGTTACCCCTTGACCCTTGCCGCGCAAAGCTGATTCTGTTGGGGATAATATTTCGCTGCCTTGATCCGCTTCTCATTATAGGGGTGATTGGGGGCGACCAATCTTTGTTCTACTCATCGGCAGACCAAGAGACACGTAAGGATGTGCACAGGACTCGTGTAGAGTTTTCACAAAACACCTGGAGTGACCACCTCAGCGCGGTCAACGCATTCAAGGCGACCCGTGAGGTCTGGTATCGAGCGGGTCGTGCAGCCGCATTTAAGTTTGCAGTATCGAACCATATGCACTTCGATCGCGTCTATGAAGTGTTACAGGCTGCCCGCCATACGCTTGACATCCTAGCTAAGAAAAAAATCATCTCCTGCCGTGAACACCTGGATGAGCACTTCCAGTTCGGAGGTGCCAGCTTGAATACCAATTCATGGCGTACCCCACTTATCAAAGCTCTGCTGTTTCATGTCATGTATCCCAATCTTGCAGCTCCTTCATCAGCTTCGCGCAGGCGTTACTTTACTGAGACACATGAGATGGCACATATGTCACCCTCTTCTGTCAATTCTATGGAGCGACCGAGGAGTCTGTTCATCTTCAATTCGATAAACATGCCTTCTTCGGGAGACACGTATTTTCTAAAGCAAACTTCACATGTCACGCCGCTCGCCGCTTGCCTCCTGGGAGGGCGACTCCAAGGAAGCGGCCGCAGAATATGCATGGACTCATGGCTGGACTTCCTCGTCCAGGCCAATGAAGGGACGGGAGGCGATCGTGCAGCCAGATTATTTATTGAACTTCGAAAGACACTACAAATGGTACGTCAACCATTATACCCCTCGTGTATTGTTTGGGAACATCAACTAACACCCGATCGCTAGGCATTCGATGCTGCTTTCCATTCCTTAGGCTGCTTAGAAAACCACCAACCCACCAACGACTCTAAGTCTACCAGACCACACGACCTACTATTCGATATGATATCGGAAACCCTGATAGATATCCTTGATAGGGACATCGATCCTGTGTATTCCAAGCGCGTCAATACAGCGACACAATGGGCATAATAATGTGTATCAGTCACTACGATGTTCATGACATGTTTAGACTCGTTTACGTGGCTCTGGCTAATGTTCTTGTAATGACGGTCTACATACCACAATAGATTGTATGTATATACAAAGGATAGGATACTACTACTAGTAACCCACTGAGTTCAACGGAGGTAGAGCTTGCAAATTGTCATTAGGCGCCAAGACAGAGTAGTAGCTCCATGATTTGAAGAAATAAGTAGGCGGTGAGTATTATGCCGTGTCCTTCCGCCTCGCTATCGCCAAAAAGTTGGGTGTTGATAGATAGGACAAAGACCAAAAAGAAAAGAAGAGCAAGGACGAGGTGGGACAACCGAACATCATGTCTTTATCCAAAACGGAAACAGATGTTATACTAAACAAAGCCAATGTTGCTTTGGCACGCAGTCAGCGACTCGTCGCCTCATGGCTACCCCCGAAGACTCAGGAAGAACAAGCCAATACAAAGTCTGAAGAGGAGTTACAGCGAGAAGAGGATGAAGTTTTCACAGCTGTGCCGGAAACGTAGGTCTTTCTCTATGTTATGTTATGGAAAATCGTCTGTTCTCTCTTTTGCCCTTCTTATTGGTTTGGTTTTATTTGTTTCTATTTTGCCCCCCTCTGTGTGATGTATGACGATGTATGAATAGCGCTGATTGGATGATGGCTACAGTTTAGGTGTTGGGGCACCCCTTCCCTCCAAAGCAGCCGATGGAAGTTGGAATCGCACGGAACTTGGCTCCAACGATAAACTACGGAGACAACTTCTTGGGAAGAACTACAAGAAAATCATGTCAGAGAAGAATGCAGCCGCGGGTCGACAACTGAGCAACATGGGAAGCTCATCAGGTGCCAGCTCTGCTACGAATCAGTCCCAGACTATGGCTGGCAGAGCCTATGATGATGATGACGAGGACGAGGATGAAGGACGAACGGCCCTGGTCGGGAAGAAGGGCTCGAGGAAAAGAAAAGCGGAGTCTATTCCAAGGACTCTCGACCCCATTGTAGCTGACGACGATCGTGGAGATCAGGGTGATGACGGTGGAGATGGTGAGGATGAGGCATCGGTGAAGCGAGGAGGGACTTTATCACAACAGCCATATCGCCTAAAAGGGAGGAGGAAAGCCACGAGCTTCCTAGATGAGATTCTTACTGAGCGGTCAAGGAAAAGGAAGAAGAAATAGATTCGTCTCCTATTCAGGCTTTCATGGTTGTGGGTTGGATTTCAATATACCCCCCGTATATCTGCTTGAGATACTTTGACGATAACTATACAATACACAACGATAGAGTTATATACACACTTAAAACCTAACATAACCGCTTACTTCCCTGATCTGAAAGGACCGGCCCCACTGTTAGATCTACGTATACACTCGAGTATAAGCACCTAGATATCAACATTCATTCTCGGTTCTAAAGAATACCCAAGAACTTTTTGGCCCTACCAACTCGAGGGTGTGTCATATACGGCAAATGAAGCCTGGGATGTTGGCATCAGCAACGCAGCCATAGTATGTCACATGCTAACATCCACCAATGATGTTATACAGATATCTATACTGGCGGAAGAGGAATACGCGCCTCCCTAAGCTTGAGTAAGAATAATTGGGACCTCCGTAGTCCCAATCAAGTCAGATCGCCAAAGGATTGTGTGATTGTCGATTCACCAAGGTTTAGACAATTAGAAGAATCCAGATAGTATGACGAAAATCCCAGGATATGCAGTACTAAAAGTTTAGCTTTGCGCTTGTCTCTTTGTTTCCAGAATGTACGCCACACGGCAAGGTCGAAGCTGAGCGAGTAACTGATCCCTGGTGTTATTGTCGTCAAAGGCCAAAGACCCTAACAGATGTATCGTTTAGCGCGAAGAGCACAGCTCAAGAATGTAACCGATGTTCATCTACTCCAGACGCTTTCGTTTTCGATCCTCGATCGTGGCATGCTGATCCTCGTCGGGTCTTTCGGCGGTATCCGCCGGATTTAGCAATGAATGAACATTGCTAGCCATGCTTGACCGTCTTGTTGCAGGCAAAGAGGTGTCATGCCGAGGAAATCTCGGACCCAATGTCCAACCATTATCGGTGGTAGGTCCGGGGGTTGTTTGATCGGGATTCAAGGGAGGGGTAGCGTGACGCGAGGTATCCTGCAGACGTCGCGGTGCTCCCATCTCATACTGTGCCAGAACTTCTCGAACCTGCTGGTCACTTGAATTTGGGGTTCGATGTGGTGAGGGAGACCAGGGAGCTGTTGCTGTACCAGTCTGATGAGCAGACTGGAATGGGGACACGCCAGGGGGCGGCCAGCCATGTTGCCGAATGTCTGCGGATGTATGCCGACGAGCCAAGTTTGGGCCCGGTGGGGAAGAGACGGATGAAAGTGGATGCGGCATGGGCTGTTGTGGGGGAATGACTGTCGGGACCTGCGGGCGGCCGTAAGTTGGGGAGGAATTTGCCGCGCCAATTGAGCCATATCTACGAGGCGATACAGCTAGATGTGAAGGAACAGGTGGTCGTATCATGTTAGGTCTGGTCGTATCCATCACCGAAGGCCGACGACTGTCTTCCTGTGGCATTTGGCGCGGGGATAGAGGTGGGCCTGGATCAACCGATACAGTTGGTACATAGGGCTGTCGAATAGAGAGGTAGGGATCAGGGGGGTGCTCGAGGGCTCGCACGCTGTCGAGATGTTTCTCCAGTTCTGCCTGCATACTGGATACTAGAGATTGTTAAGAACCATTTGAAATCCCAGCAATTTGTTTATAGGTATGATGTACTACTACTCACCATCTCTGTACAGGAGACCTTCACGATCTGGAATCATACCTTGCAGAAAGCGCGAGATCGAATGTGTCCACTGAAAGCGTAAATAATCAATGATATTTTCATTTCATGTTAAGTTGTGAAGATATAAAAGGCGTGAAACTTACATGATAGCACCTGCTCAAGCTCTCGGCCATGGCTAGACATCTTGCATTGAGTGCCGCATTGCCTTCTTCGGCGCGACCCAGGCGGTTGTGCATGTCGTACAATGTATGCTCCAGATTCATCAGGCGAGCTTCAGTGGCATCAGGGACCGGTTCGGCTGGTGTGCCAGGTTGGGAGGCAGCGGCTTTGTGGCCCGGAAACGAGTCGCGATGGATCAACGCATGTCGAGACGCTCGCCTTTTGATCTCCCGTAACCCAATCAGATCACCACGCTTGAAGTTGCCATTCCCGTGTTTAAACTCCCAAAGTGCTGAGTCTGGAGATCCAGTATGGAACACATCGCTTACTAAGGCGTTCCATATGAGCAACAGACAAGAGACAAAACTCATTAGCCAAGAGGGTAGGCATACCTTTATGAAAGCCATACATGTTCAGTTGCCTTACGAACGACGAGATATTGGTATGTTTGAAGTATTGACTAGTAATTAATTAGCTATAACTCAACTGATGTAGGGTCTGGCAGAAGCGAAGACGAACGCAAGGACTTTAGAAAATTCGGAAGTAGGCGACATGACGAAGCTGTCATTAGTGTTGGACCATGAGATTAGATGTTGGATACTTGGGTCCTCTAGCATACTGCCGGGTACTATTAGCATGAATTCAATTGAGAGCATCTCTAATAATGTATTTCACGCAATCACAGGTCACAATTTGCGAGACGTACTTATACAGCTTATGAATAAAGGCAGTTTGCACAACCTTGGGCTGCTGGGCTGCAGCCGCAGCTCCGATGGCCTGGCTGGGCGCTGCATGATTGTGCACATGCCCAGGCTCAGTAGAACCATTGGAAGTGGCTATAGTGTTTCCGCCCGCTCGATCATTGTCGGAATTGTTGTGGACCGAGGGCCCAGCGCCCGTTGCCGCTGCTGAAGCAGGCGGAGTGACCTCCATAGGATCACCCATCGGTTGACCGGAAGATGGAACGGAGGAAGAGAGGAGAGGAAGCTTTCGTGTCCTGCCTGGCGCATCTGTAGCGCCAGAAACTACGGTATTTCTAGACGGGGGGTCGGCGAGACCGCTCATCTCGCGAGGCGGAACAGGGGAAGAGGGCTCCGGCCAAGGGCCGCAGCAGCGAAACGTGAAACAGGATCGCGACTATTTCTGCGAAAAGCGGAATGGTGTGCCGATAGACAGCGGCGTAAATGTTGGCCGGAGGGTGAAATTTGTCGGCTGATAGTCACTCGTAGACGACAGGTGAGCGTGGGAAGGCTGATGGTTATCACGGAGTCTGGGCCAAGAAGGCGTTGATCAACACTTAGAGGGTCTCCGCTTCCCGAGTCATTGCGAGTTTGTCCTTTGATCTATTGGTGTCAATGGTGGAAAGTTTCTGGTATCCCAACACCTGATTGTGAAATGTCTCTCTCCCTTTTCCCCCTTTTTTTTAGGAAGAAAAAAAAAATAAAAATAAAAAAAAAGAGGAAATTAAATGAAATAAAAAAGAAAATAAAAGGGAAAAGGAAAACCTCTTTCCTGCGATTTGATTGGTTGATTTCGTTTGGTTTGGTTTCTTTTCTTCCTCCTCCCTCCTTTAAGTTTCGTTTTCTGTCAACCAGAGATCAGAGGTTTGGGTCGAGCTCTGCGATGAACAAAAAAGGGATGGAAAATTCGACCGTAAAGATGTGGTAAGAACTTCGCGGCAATATGGATCTGCAGGGAACAGCTAGTTGAATAGCTTCTTTTTTTTCCCTCATAGGCGGGATTTTGTCCTCGGCGGAAAATGGCCAAACGGAGGCGCGAGATGCCGATTGATTTTCTTCGTTCCTTTGTCGAGATTGCAAATCAATACTATCAAATATATATTATTGATAATTCCGACCCTACTGGAGATGCGGGTCGGAAGAGGATAGAGGTACCTGGGATATGGTCGAAATTGAGTCCCAAAGAGGTAGTGAAGGAGAAAAGGAAAAGAAAAAGAAAAAGGGACCTAAAGGCGATGATTGAAGGAGAAGCATGCATGGATCACGGGAAGGCCTGGAACAATTAAATGCACGGAGCCGCAGCTGTGGAAGCAACCCTGAACCACCGTACTTCTCAATTTGAAATGCCACAGACAGTCCAGTGAACAATAGCTTATTATTTCTTCTGCTCGTTATGCGTTCTTTCATGTCATCTTTGGGGTCTCTTGCACGTCTGAGATATACTACCTCACTCTCTTCCCTATAATATATAACCCCTAAAAAGCAGTGGCCAACGAACTACTATGGATCCCGAAGTACAGGGTATCCTCACTCGGTTCAAGGATTTAAAGTCTACCTCTGCTCGCCGAGCTGTGTATGTGAAACCACAAAAAGGAGATATACTGAGAAACGCTTCCTAATCGCATTCTAGTAATCATTGCTAATTATGGGCACCATAGGTACCATCTGCTTCTGGAGCAGATGCACCCTTATGAATGGCGTGATGTGCGTGATCGCATGAACCAAGTTTCCTTTCAAAAAGACATCCTGGGCAGTCTGCCTACCGAGGTTGCTGTGCAAATTTCTAGACATCTGGATTTGTCAGAAATCCATATTTTCCGAAGAGTATGTCTAACTTTATCGTATATATATTGATCCGTCTTCCCAGACTAACATTATATTGTAGGTCTCCAAGCGATGGAATTGTCTACTATCCTCCACGCTATTCCGTGATGCTGTGTGCCTTCGATATGTCGGACACAACTGTAGATCCGTTACACTAGATTCGCCAGATGCATTCACACGATATGCCAAGCAGCGTATTCGTTTGGAACGTGGACAGCCGATCTCTAAAGTCATCAACCGTCCGTATTCTCCAAGGTCAAATGCGGCAGGCTTAGTTGGTCTTGACTTTTCGCATGGAAGCTATGCATGGATTGAAGACGCGATGGTCTATGTCCATAACCTCCGTTTGAATACGACTCAGAGCTTCTGCACAGAAAACAGAGATACATTTACTGCATTACGCGTTTCTGAATCCATTATAGCAGCTATAACATTGCATGGGTAAGCGTTGATGCATCTGAATTGTGCCTCCTCTTTGACATATGTTGGCTGATGCTGCAGATCCATGTTCTCCGGGACTTTAGATTCTGTCATGTCTGGAGCCTTCAAACCAACGATTCGGCGTACTTCCGACTGCCATCGCTGCACTGGAAATGCTTTGTTGTTCGCAATATGAATGTCGCCATGGCATTCAAAAGCACCACGGCCAGCGGGTCGGAGTGTATTATACACTGGCAGTTTGACAGTCGCATTACTCATACGTTTAATATCGCAAACAAAATAGCATATATAGACATGGTCCCTACTGCAGGTACTTTGATAACGGTTCACCTCGAGGAAACCGTGGGTCCTGATACTTCCATTGCACAATTGCGTGTCAATAAATATTCACTCAAGGACACTGTTGCCATGCGCTCCCCATCTTTCACGGTGGCACTAAGCTCAATTGCAGACCCAGCCTGGCATGTGGAGATAGATGACACTTTGTCCTCCACATTTGGAAATGCGATGGGGATCTTAACATTCGGGCGAGGTGATTGTCTAACAGAAACGCCCGGTGATATTGCCGCCATCACTTACAATCAAGAAACTGGCAGGGTTAGCGTAAATGTGGTGTCTACAGAGAATACGCCATTCATTCCTATATGCATGGCATATGTTGATAGTAACATCCTTTACTATGTCAAGAACGACAATGGTAAACCCGAGATCTGGATTTCCAATCCAGATGCCAGAATCGCCCACCGCCCTGCCAGGTGTATCAATCCCCAGTTGCCTCGGGAGGCGTCAAATAGAGTCTATTCGCATGGGACTAATTTCACACTCAGAGGAGATCGTGACTTCATTTTAATGGTTGATCAGAACGGACTGAAAGTTTGGTGTTTTAACGACAACATAAGTCTATCAGGCGCCGTTCCATTATAAAAGAGCTGAAAACACTACAAAACCCGTGCTAGATTGCTGGTTGGCTCTTGGTTGTCCAGGAATCTGCTTTGTCTTCGCGCTTTATGATTATACAAATTCTCCAAGATTACAAATGTACAGCCTTGTCTACACGGTTAGCAGTACCCGTCAAGGATCCAGTGCCTCCCTCCCAACAGGGCGAAAACGTCTCCAGCTAAATGAGTAATGAATACATTAACAAAGGAAAAGAAATCTGGAAATGGACGATATACAGGACCATCAATGAATGCTCTATGAAAAATGCCTCCCAGGACTCTCTCCTGAATACCTGATATCAGTCCTTCACTACTAGGCTTCCTTATTACCCAGGTTCAGCGGCCCATCTACTATGCAAAAAAAATTCAGTTAGTATCAACTTAATGCGGAGGATCACCGAATCGTCTTTGAAGAACTGCTTGCTCTCTTCACACAACAGAGTAAGCACCTCCACTGATGATGTCCCCATTCCCATACAAAGTAATAAACTGTAAACTCAAAAAGAAATAACGGAACACCCACATGCGAAGAAGATTGTAAAGTTCTAATACAACGCAGAGCTTAGATACCGAGAGTAAACTCGACGCCCACATCGATTTCGCGGGCCATCTTCACAACTTTCGAGAATTGAACAGACTTCTCAGCGGCGTTCTGAAGGTCCTCGATGGAAAAGATCTTCAAACCCGACTCGTTCAGCTATGAGAAGTATTAGCACGTATTTAAGCTATCACAGAAAGAAGAAACAAAGACGGGTAAGGAATTAGGCTCTGGATTGCATAGTTTCATACCAGTTTGTGAGCCTGCTCCATGTTGGTACCCTGCAAACGCGCAACGATAGGAGTGCGCAGTCCCATCTCGTTCACAACATTGATCAAGCCCTGGGCGATGGCGTCACAGCGAACAATACCGCCAAAGATGTTGACAAAGATGGCCGACACCTTGGGATCGCTGGTAATAAGCTCGAAAGCAGACTTGATGGCAGCAGGGGTAGCACCACCACCAACATCAAGGAAGTTGGCGGGGTTACCACCGTTGAGCTTGATGATATCCATGGTAGCCATGGCGAGGCCAGCACCGTTAACTAAGTATGTGGTTAGCATAGAAGAGACGAATAACTCAAAGCGGTTCTCACCCAAGCAGCCGATATCACCATCGAGTTTGATGAAGTTCAATCCGTGCCTATCGCACTGTTAGCACACACTAAAGCTCATTTGTAGGTTATAGCAAATAGCATACTCAGCAGCCTTAACCTCATCAGCATCTTCTTGGGTGGTGTCTCTCCACGAGAACACTTCCTTTTGTCTGAAGTCTGCGTTGTCATCAAAGCCCAACTTGGCATCCATAGCCATAACCTGGTGGTCAGAGGTCTCTGACAGAGGGTTGATCTCGATCTGGGTAGCATCCTTCTCCATAAAGACCTTGTAAAGCTTCTGAATGGTGTCCTTAGCCTCCGGAATGCACTGCTCAGAGAAGCCGAGCTCAGTAGCAATCTTGCCAGCAATCTCATCAGTAACACCGACATTAATGTCAATGGGGGTGGTGATGATAGCTTCGGGGGTTTCCTTGGCAACGGCCTCAATGTCCATACCGCCTTGTGAGGAGGCGACAATGACAGGGCTTTGCGACTGGCGATCCATGAGAACGGCCAGGTAGAATTCACGGCGAGCGAACTTGCGCTCGCAGATATACACAGCGTTACAAAGACGACCGGCAGCACCAGTCTGCTTAGTAATGAGTTTGTGTCCGATCATTTGACCAGCGAACATCTTGGCTTCAGTAGGCCTGAGGAGATATTCTTTGTCAGATACAACGAACCAAACCGGCACACCTAAGAACTGAGCCAAACTCACGAGTAGATAACGCGCACACCGCCCTTGAGGCCATTATCGAAGCTACCTTTACCACGGCCACCGGCAAGAACCTGAGCCTTGATAACCATATCATCATTGCCTGACACCCTGCGTCTTAGCAAAATGCGATCTATAAGTGCCGAGGGAATAAACCATACCAAGGGACTTAGCAACAGCCTCGGCTTCCTCTGCAGAGTGAGCGACCTCACCCTTGGGCATTCCTATACCATACTATGTATTCGATTGGTTAGTTTGTAAGACGAAGGGGGGGAAAATCCAAGGCATCCGATTGTTCGTACCGACTTGAGGAGCTTCGCGGACAGATATTCATGGATCGACAGGTTTCTCTGTTGCTGGCAAATGCGAGATTGAACAGAAGACTCCTGTGGGCAATCACAATGTCAGTTACTGTGTCATTGTGAGACTCGGAAGTTTGGGCGAAACTAAGGAATCTCACCGTCGCAGCTCTGAAAGCTGCCGCGATTGGTCTGCTGCGAGCAAGCTTGAACATGGTGAAGTGAATTTAAAGGAGGGGAGAGGGTTCAAGAGAAGCTCGTTGAAGGGTAAGAACAGGGAAAATGATTATTTAAGTCCTCAATAGTGGCGTGTTGCCAGGTGGTGTTAGGGGCTGATGGGGGAACAGCTTTCTTTTTTACGGCCGCACTCCTCGGGATGATACTGTCTTTTGCCTTGAGTACGGCAGGTTCGGGGTCACCTGATAAGCCAACCAGCGTGCGTTTCGGGATGACTAATCGGATCGGGACGCGAATATCACGGAACGATGCTCGACACCACTAGTGGTATTCCGTTGAACTCGGGTGTGGCATACGGAGTAGACTGGCAGATGGGGATGTACTGCCAAATTCTATTCAAGGATGAGTAACACATAAAAAATTGCCCAATGTATATCCGCGTACTGATGATGAGTATGTTTTTTTAATCATTATATTCATATCTTCTACAGCATGTCAGCATTTGATATTAACCGGCAAATAGTTTAAACGGCCGTCAGGAACAACTAAAAACAAGTACTAATTAGCCACATTATTTGGTAACATGAAGTTACTGTATGAGTATTATCAAGATGGGCACAGGGTAGCTCCACATGATACTGTTATGCTCTATTGTCTATAAAACGTAGTCTCCGACGTGAATATCCTATTGAATACAGTGAAAAGGAAGGCATGGATTCGGTCTCCTCCCTATTTCCCGCCCATCTTCCTCAGCTTATAAAGCTTGAACATTCTCGTCATGGCATAGTGAAAGATGCCAGTCCACGCCCAGCCTCCAGACAAGAACCAAACCACCCAGCTCTTGTTGCCTTCCCATATCCAGCTCTTACGGCCATGAGCCCATGGCCACAGCCAGCGCCACGGTGCTGATCCATACAAGATCTGTGCAACAACACTCTTTGCATATGCAGTGTGTGGCATTGCACCGTCTTGGCTGTGTATCACGCGACGATTATACTCATCTTCAATAGGAGCATAAAGTGAATTCGGTGCTAGGGTACGTTTGACACGAGCAATGCGAGATTGCACACCTCCAGTGACAACGGTCGTCACGTTTACGCTACTTAGGTTAATTCCAGCTAAAAGGCCTAGGGAGATGAGCTGGTTACTCACCCGAAGGGAGCTAGTTCTACCCTAAGAGTATCACTGAACGAATGCAACGCGGCCTTCGAGGCATTGTACACTGATCCAAACACATAGGGGATGACCTAGATAGGATTAGATTTATCTCCTATCAAAAGTATGTGTTGCATTAACTTACCCCTGCGATAGAGCCAATCTGTACGATGGTGCCCTGGGTCTTTTTGAGTAGAGGGAGGAATGTTTGGCACATGTTAATGACCGAAAATAAATTCGTTTCGAAGGTTGCACGAGCCTCCGCGAGGTCTACCTCCATAGCAGGAACGGTATAATCTATGAAGTATGAGCCATTTCTTTCTTTCTGGACGGCGCGTAGGTAGTGTTTCGCAGCAGTGATCTCAAACAGACATACTTCGGCCCCTAGAGATTCGGATCAGCCCCTTGTTCTCGCTGCATTTGGCGTAAACTCACGCATTATTGACTAGATAATCCAGTCCTTTCTCTCCAAGCCTTTCTCGAACCTCTGCATAGCATGACTGGACACTCCTTTCGTCATCTACGATAAGACTCAGTGTTTCAATCCCTAGGGCTGCCAGACTCTGCAGTGTCTCCGTGTCTCGCGCTGTCGCAAACACACGTAGTCCTTGCTGATGAAATTCACGCGCAAGCGCATTTCCTATCCCACCGGGAGAGCAACTATATAATCAGCATAAGAAAGTCAAGTGTATCGATACTGCCAATAACATATGCGGAGTTTACACCACGGCATTTGGTGCAGGACCACTTGTTGTGACTTACCCTGTGATCAGCACTGACCTCCGCTTGTCTCCTGTGTTTGCCATCATTTGAAAGCAGTCAATTGAGGCCTGTGGAGGCAGTATGGGTAAATTAGTAAGGGTAGTTTACATGAAGAAAATCTGGTCTTCCTTGCATAGTGATCTATGCGAATGGCTTCGTTTCATTGGCTACATCGGCCCTCGGCAATCCAACCCGAGAAGTCGCCGCCTGTGAAAACCTGTCTAATACTAGGTAGTATAGTTAGCGATGGGTTCAGGTACTGAGAAACCCCGTTAGTTGCAAGCGGTACGGCGGCCACATTCGATTGCTCATACAAATTTGCAGGAACCTCGATAACCTGGAACTTGCAAGTACACTTTCAACTGTCTATATAAATTTGCGAGTAACGGGGTATTGAAACTTTATTTCAACATTATTTTTCTGTATTTAGACTAAAACACGTGACTATAAGAAGTAACCTTTCCTAAAACAGTAACCCCTATACACTACGCGAAGGCGGTGAGGAAATAGACCAATAGAAGCTCCCCTCGTTAACTGCAATACCCCGTTACTAGTAGTTGCAAGGCAAATTCCTGGCTACTATCGTTGCAACTAACGGGGTTTCTCAGTACACCGGAGATCGTCCACTTTCATAAGTAGTATTCTGATCATTCCTCATCGTTTAGGAACTCTATGTATGTTCTTCTGAAGTACCTTCATGGCCTCTCCAGCTTCTTGCTAATATTCATCCTACTACAGAGTATATACAGTACACTACTACTACAGTATCACATTGACCAGTACGGAGTACAGAAAGGTACAAGATGGGTCTAACCTTCAGGCTTCAAGGTTGGTTTTTTTTTTTTTTTTTTTTTTCCCCCCCCCCCCTTTTTTTTAACTTTCCCTTTACTTGCCAGATTCTTGTGTCAACATAAGGATCACTCTGGATGGGACCTGTTCAAGATAAATAAATAATGAAAATAAGTAAAAAAGTAAAAAGTAAAGAGCGAAGATATAAATAAAAGATAAAGATAAATTAATAATATATCAAGAAAGATGGAGGCAGCATTAGATATTATTCCTCAATCAGATACGGAGTATGTGTAATATAAGTGAGGAGTTGAATACTAGTAGTAGCACTCCGTGCTCCGTACATTGTAACTAGAAATATACTCTGTACTCTATGTTTGCTTTGAAAGATACCTCAACATGGAAGTGCAACTTGAAGCTAGGTTAACTAACTATATACAGAATAGCTTCCAGTATTATAATTTACACTTATAGGCCTACCCTACACATCCTATTCATTGAATCATCTCCCATTTGTATTTTTTATGGAGTTTGCGTACATTGAACTCTCCGGCATTTACCACAAGGTTAGACACAAACGCATTTAAAACACAAGTTGAAAGTGAGTATTCTATATTTTCAAGTTAGAAGAGAGCGCTGGGCTGCGGGCGCACCAGTACGTAGTGGTCCTAACAACTACTCTGGAGTACTACGCAGTAGTACTTAGGTACCCAGATGTATTTTAGCGCCAGACTGCAACTTCATCCTTAAGTTGCCTGGTGATTGGCCATGAACAACTCCTTCCCCACCAAGGAAATGGTGGCAATATCCGAGAAGCCGAATGGATCTGCAATTCTCAACTTCTCTCTACTGTGTATTACCTGATTTCAGCTAACCTATTCCTTGTTGCGATCGACGGGAGTGTATATAAAGCCCAAGTCATCAGAATTTATTCGTTACACTTTCAGTCATTTTTTTCCCACACATCCCGGAAGGCATGAGCGAGCAGTTATTGCCGTCGAACTAACTGTACAAAACTTGCCGTTGTTGAACGGGACCCTATATTTTATCGTTCATTTGCCTTGTATGTCTCATTGTACCTGCGCGAGACTCTCCATATCTTCGCTTGAGATATTTTGTCCCGTGTTCCCAAGTGCTTTTTCACCCCCCACCTCCCGGGGCAACGTCACAGGGTAGATTGCGGTAACCTCACCTTAGAGGGAATTGCGACGAGACTCGCTACCTAAACTGAGTACTGGTAATGTGAGAAGGAAAGGAGAAAGAGCATTGAACCCTTTTGCTACAAATAGTCGCTTAGGCGTAGTGGGGCTTGGTGATGACGATGGATATCGAACTTCTACATCATAGACACATGTCGAAGCCCGGCGACGATGGCTACCGTACCCCCACGATTGAGGATGCCGAGGATTATGTTACAGTGCAACGAAATGATAACTCATTATATCCGTCTGCTGGGGCCTGGGCACGCCAGGCTCATTCCTCAGCGCTGGAAGCTTTGCATAGTAACTCGTGTCGCAAGCCTGAAGGAGATGGTCTCGCGGATGTAAATGGCGTGCATCCTTACAACGAGCCCGACTATTCAGCCGTAAATCTCAGTTGGAAAAAAAGGATACGTCACTTTACCTGGGCATTTTTCACATTGACAATGGCAACTGGCGGGATTGCCAATGTTCTGTATGAGAGTAAGTTCGGTCATGCCTTGGGTCTAGGACTGCAAACTTGCTTACCACAGATTAGTACCCTATAGATTCCGAGGTCTACAGATAATCGGTGTCATTTTCTTCCTAGCCAATATCATATTATATATCATCATCTGGATCCTGTTGGTCATGCGGTTTTACCATTATCCTTATACATTCAAAGCATCATTCTTGCATCCAACAGAGTCCCTTTTTGTCCCAGCCTCGGTGGTTTCGTTCGGAACAATTCTGATAAATATCTCGCAATATGGGCCAGACAATACGGGGCCTTGGCTTGCACACGTTGTCGGGATATTGTTCTGGATTGATGCCTGTCTGGCCATCATATTTTCGGCTGGCATATATCTCCTGCTGTAGGTCGTTTACTTTGGCCAAACAATATTATGCTCTAGATCCTGATGGCAAGTTAGGTGGTCAACGCAGACTTTCACCATCGCCCAAATGACTCCGATTTGGATATTTCCCGCATACCCTTTGCTGATAATCGGACCCCATGCTGGTATATTGAGTTCAAAGCTTGAACCATCCCGCTCATTACCGATTATAATTGGTGGCGTAACTATTCAAGGGGTTGGTTTTCTAGTGTCCCTGATGGTATATTCCGCCTTCATATATAGACTGATGTCGCAAAAACTCCCAAGGGAGAACGTTCGACCCGGCATGTTTGTTTCTATCGGCCCTAGCGCTTTCACAGTTGCTGGCCTCGTGAATATGGCTACTAATGCTAAAAGGTGTTTTCCTGACGATTTCATGGGCAATGGGCCTTTGGCCGCAGAGGTTATAAGGGTAGTTGTCAACTTTGCTGCCTTGTGGCTATGGGGGTAAGGCCTTTCCACCAACCTGGTTATTGTCATGTAACTGTTGACTGATCCATACATAGCTTGGCTATATTTTTCTTTTTCATCGCGAGCTTTGCTCATTGGTCAGCTATAGGGCCTGGTCGGATGATCTTTACGATGGGATGGTTCTCATTTGTTTTTCCGAATACGGCGCTGATCACAGCGACATTCGCCATCGGCCACGCATTCTCCTGCAAGCCAATTCTGATTATAGGATGTGTTATGGTCGTGCCCCTCATACTAATGTACATATTCGTTTGTTATATGATGATCCGTGCCATTTTGTTACGCCAAATTCTCTGGCCACAGAAAGGAGAGGACAAAAATGAGGGTGGATTTGAGATCAATGAGATCAAGCCAGAATCTCCAGGCGATCATAGCCCTGCTTGAGGTTGTGTGCTTTTACCCACGAAGATGAGCATGGCATCGGTTTATGAATCAGGTACAAGATCACCTCAGGGCGAATTGTTCCTTCATGCCAATGTAAAAGAACAAGCTTTTCATACTTTAAGCATATCTAACCTTGTACGTGTAATACATCATGGTACATGCCGTACAAAGAACATAGGGCGTACCTGTACCCCCTATGATCACCAGGATGTACTAGTACTACCGTGGGACTACTGTAGGTATGTATTGAGATTTAAACGCGCTAGTCCATAAGAGGAATAAACTAGCCGAGATGGTCATTTTCTAATAGGCTATTATCCAGTATAGCTAGCCTTATATGGTAAGGCTGATACATCGATGAACGTGACGATGGACCCTTTTCAAGGTTCCATACTCCTATCGCCGGGTGTGGATGCGGAAGAGCGTTAAACTGTGACGCAGATTAAATTTTTTTTTTTCCCCCTCCGTTTACCCCTCGTGTGCCAGAAATCTTTTAAAGCACTACATTTCTTTAACATCCACGATAAATTCCCGGTCCGTTCGATTGTCTGTCAAATATCTCTGATTGATATACTGCACTCGCCTATACAATTGGTACAAGCCATCACTGCCAAAATGTCGCAAAAAGTTTATGTCACCTATAACCAGGTATGGTCTTTTCCTTCCAGATTGACTAGTCGGTTGTGTGTCTGCCTCAATGTCCTACAATAACTCTATCTTCGTGCTATGCCTACACATGGTACAGACTATGAGTGTGTTGAATATCTTTCTGGTGTCGATGGCCGCTGGAAGGCGAGCGGCCATTTTCGCTATGGCGATACCCCGTCGCTCCTTCATAACCTGACCCGCTAATACGTTATTCTACCAGGTGCACAAGCTGTGCCAGTCTTCAGCTGATAAAATTCTGACCACCTTTCATCCAAATCTTATGATTGCTATCGGCGGCGGCGGATATGTCCCTGCGCGTATTCTACGGTATGCCAGTTAAATGTACTGCCTTCTAGAGGCGGCTGCCTGACCTGACATTCAACAGGTCTTTTCTCAAGCGCTCTGGTGAACCCAACATCCCCATTCAAGCCATCGGCCTGTCGCTCTACGAGGATCTGGGTCGTGGTGACGCCGAGGAAGTTCCTGGGACCAAGGTGACTCGGACACAATGGCTGGATCTCAGTTCCTTGGAGATGGCAAATCTTATTGGCAAGAACATACTCATTGTGGATGAGGTTGACGACACCCGGACCACTTTGGAATATGCGGTTCGCGAGCTTCAGAAGGATGTTGAACAGGCACAGAAGCAGCTTGGACGGGAGGGTGAAAAGACGAATTTTTTTGTCTTTGTGCTTCATGTATGTCATCCTTGGGCTTGTTTATAGTCATTCTACTTTTCGGTTGGCCTCGATACTAACCCTGCAATAGAACAAGAACAAGTCCAAGAAGGGAGTACTTCCTGCGGATATGATGGATTCTGGTCGCTATCATGCTGCCGTCACCACTGACGATGTCTGGATTTGCTACCCATGGGAAGCAAAGTATGTGATCTGCTATACCAGTACTAGGCTCGCGATAACTGACAGATTTCTAATAGGGACATTGATGAACACGATGCGTTTGCCGAGAAGAACCCTCTCTTTTAAGGCCTTCGTTTAATTCCCTTTGAACATTTTCTCTGTGCCTATGCATTCTTGGCTTCATTTGCTTGCATATAGTCCTTATTATCATGACCAGAAGATGACTGGACATGTCACGATATAAACGGTGCCTTGACGACAATTGATAGAAATAAAAAAGAAAGGAAAGTTTAAAACAATACGATGCGTTTAAAAGGTACAGCGTATTTAAAAGGCAAAAAAGGGACGCTGTCTTTGATGGGTAATGGGGTTTGAAAGAGCTGTTTCCCAATTTGTAACTTCTGCTATCTCCCAGTATTTCACCTTTCCTTGCCTATAGATCTACTGCCCAAACCTTCAGCCTTCATGACATTTGTCCTGTATTCAATAACGTAACAATAATAGCATGTGCAGAGTCATATTTGGCTCGCTCTGGGTTTCGTGGTAAAGCCGCCACAATAATATCTCGCCTATATTTGTATTAAATGCCCTCCCGGCTGCTGCACAAGCGACAAGCATCCGAGTCCCGAATAAAGACCGCCCTAATGATACATGGAGTAGGAGGAAGCTAGTCTCTCACAACCGAACCGATCGATCAAGGCGCTTTAGTCGACATCAACGTTCTGTCTGCGCAACTCCGCCTTAGCCTGCTCGATCTCCTTTTGCAGCTCCTCATGCGCCTCGGGTACGTCATTGAATGTTAAGATTGCTACACCTAGGCGACCAAGTAGGTAACATCCGAACGATATTAAGGCGTAGAAGGGAAGCTGGGGAGATTGTGCTGGTGTTAGTGGCGTGCAGAAATATCAGCCAGTGATGTTTCGAACAGAGCAGACGCACGACAGGAATGATCTCTTTTTGAACGGTTTCATTGAGGGGGACAAGATCCAAGTAGAGGACAAGATAGAGCTGTATAGGGAAGGAAAAGAAAAGTCACGTTAGTAATAGCATGAGTAGAAGGGTGCGGTTTCTGGCATACCGAAGAGACAAGTAGGAGAACGGAGAGGGTCTGTTGAGCGCGTGTCATCGCGAAAAAGGGCTGTAACTGAATATCTAAAGAAGAAATGTCGCAATTACAATGGCACTGATACAGTGATGATAGACAAAGCTATCTAATATATCAGGGTGCGTCAAAGAGCAAGGTACCTGGAGAATAAGGAATGACAGGTATGTTGCTAGGTAGTATTACGTTTACGACAGACATTCGTGCTAGTGGTTCCCTATGCGCCCTTGGCAGCCGAGTTCACCTTACTAGTGTACTAGTAATTGATCGAGAGTGGATTCCCTGTTTCTGATACCAACATCCACCGTCGGCATATTATAGTAAGTGAAAGTCGTGAGCATGGGTCGCGTAACAAAGTTCAGATAAGTGAAAGGAAAATTAGAAGGAGAATATGTGGATTTTAACTATATCACCACGCACATTATTGTGTCCCGGGGCAATGGAGCGCATTATTCGATACAGCCTTGATTGTACTGTACATACAAATAATATAATACGTGGCAGAGAGTATGGGTAGTAAAATTTCACAGCTTTTAGTACACTTGTTGTCCAAGTCCGCCTTAGGCCAAATGATGCTAAACTTGAGTTATTGTTCACCACTTGAAACAGGGCTCTTTAAAAAAACATTGTATTTTTTCGACCGCACGTCCTGTTTACTCTGGGAGTCCAAGAACATCTCACAAACACGAGATCGTCCGATATTCAGGTCAAGAAAACAAACCTAATACGCTAGTTGCTGTTCCTCACTATTTATCCATCATACCGTACCCGGCCCATATATTCTTTTCCTTCCCCTCCTCGGGGGTTTATTCTGGAAGCATACACCAATAGGTATCCCCAACAGAGTACTCGTTCTAGTCACGCTAGAACAACTGTGATTCGTCACTTGATCTTTTATATGTCTCCTGTCCCCAAGGTTGAAGTGCAAGAGATGGCCCCAGCAAACGAAGTGAATGCCATGCGGAATTCCATGAAGCAAAGTAGCCTACCTATCACAAAAATACAAGGAAACGAATGCATGGAATATCCATCTCTGAGCCAGATCATATCTAGTTTGGCCCCAATGCCCCCAGGATTAGCTCCTGCGGTATCCGAGCCTTTGCCTCTTGAAGAACAACGAGCCTTGTTTGATACCCTTGAAAAGACTCTCAGGATGGCGGAGACTAGATACCAACCCAGTTTAACAGCTCAGGCTGAAGAAGATAATCTTTCCTTCAAGCAAGTCGATGCTCTTTTTGAGGGCCTACAAGATACTCTGTGTAGGCTCTGGACATGCAGGTCAAGCTTCATGGTGCAAGCTGCAGAGGCTTTGGCAAACGGAAGTAGGAACCGTAAGTGCAAATACAATATCAATGCTGATTAGTCTCATTGTTAATACGTTCACAGCATTGTGGCGACTTCCGTACGGACAGAGTGGTGTTTTAACCTTTTTTCTCCAACTTATTGCTTCCAAGGAGGATGTTGACACTGGTCTACTCCTCCATGCTTTGCGATTGATTGGGAATTCTTGTGCCGACACTGGTAAGTTCAATTCGTTCAGTGTTATAGATCCAGGTTCTATCACAGCGCTCACATTTTTTTTAGACGAAAATAGAACAATCGTTGTGAAAGGAAACTACATTTCTGCTATCATCCAACATCTTCTGAATCCAGAACTCATACAGATAGTAATACCTGTTATCTACAATATTTGCATTGATTTTGGTGAGGTATATTGAATCAAGCTGTACTTGGTTACTAACCATTCATAGAGCCTGCCCAGTCTCAACTGGCTGCAAGTAAAATAGTTTACATATTTCTGAAATTACTAAGGGAGGATTCATTCAAGGAACACGAAACTTTACTCGATTTTGTCTATGAGCTCATAGAACTAACTACTGAGCAAGGTTTGATATAGCCCTTCCCCCTTCCCTTTACTTGCTTCTAACAGGCCCATGCAGAACAAGGGATAGAGTTGTCACCTGATGAAACCATCTCGCTTCTTATTGATCTTGCCGTTCATAAGGGCATTGCCCATACCGCTGCTCGGTTCTCTTGCATTGTGACTTGCTCGATGGCGTATCTCGATAATAAACGGTTTCAGAATCTTTGCATAACAAGATACATGGTAGCTGACGTATTGTCGATGCTCAGCAAATCCTTAAGTTTCGACGCAGAACGGCCCTCCACTGATGATATTCAAGTACTGGCACAGGTTCAGTTAAGGATCAACCAAACGCTAGCAGAGATATCTGGGGCATCATTATTCGCTGAATACTACCCCCTTGGCTCTGATCTTTCAGGGATACTGAGAAGCTGGCTACAGAGAACGGAGGATCAACTACAGATCTGCTCCTGTGTCATGTTAGGAAACTTGGCGCGTTCAGATGAAATATGTCAAGCGATGGTCCGAGACCTGAGCATCCACCGGGATTTGATATCAATCGTTAAGAGTGACGCCAGAGGACCCGTACTTCATGCTGCACTAGGATTCTTAAAGAATTTGGCAATCGCTGGAGATAATAGATTGCATCTGGGACAAGCTGGTATCATCCCTGCGGTCTCTCATCTCTGGGAATACGAGACGCTACCACAAGTTCAATTCGCAGCCACCAGCATCGTACGGCAGGTGATCATTGCTTCCTTTGAAAATGTATCACAATTGCTAGATATTTCCCCCGAGGATGAACACCACAGTACCTATCTCTCACAGTTGCTTTCACTGTTCAACAAAACGGACTCCACTCCTATTCGGACTGAGATTGGACGCATCATAGCATCCATCTGTCGTACTCTCATCCAGAAATCACGTGAACAGAATGAAAAAGCAGATGCCACCCTCAAGCATCTCTTTAGCATTCACGAAGGCATTGCCTTCCCAATAGGTGCTATGATATCTCAATCACAGTGGCCCGTTGTTCGGAGCGAAGGCTGGTTTGCCCTCGCGTTGATGGCATCTAGCCAGTCGGGTTCTGCTGCTGCTGTGGACTGCATAGAGAAGATGGGTCTGTTCCCAACTCTTGAGCAAAACTTGACCGCAGAATCCCTTGGCTCAATGGACGAAGCGGACAAGTTGCAGTTAATCAAAGATCGTGACAACATAATCGTGCTCATCCAGGAAATATTGAAACAAGATGTAAGTTATGCGGTACTCTCAGAATGGCGCTTCGAGGTAATACTAAAAACACTTTGCAGCCTATTCAACTTTCAGAATCGGCCAAAAGTACGCTACAAGGCCTGATGAACAGCCAGGTCTTGCGGCACCTGGAAAGCACCAGAGAACGTTGAATTTATACTCCAGCACAGCCTCAGGATTATACAGAACACATTATATCTAGATTGGTCTAAGCTTACAGGTGTGGAAAAAGGCTCAACAACCGGATAGAGTCAAGTATTATATAATTATGGATCGTCGAATTATCCCCAGAGATGTTCATTTCTCTATTATCATTGAGTGCAGATGGGATTAAGTAGGGTCAGAAAGTATCTAAGCAAACCATTTCCTCAGCGTACGCTCGATACCGATGGAGGAGATCAGTAGATTCCAGCCCCCCCAAACTTGCCTCAATGGAGTAATGCGCAGCTAGCCCTTTCCCGTCGATTATAGCGCCTGGGTCCCTGCCCAAAAGTTTCTGTGCGACCTCTAAGGATAGCTTATCTGAGTCCTGTTGAATGATAGACTTCACAATGCTTGGGTCGCCTGCTCGTAGACAAAGAAAGTTGGGGCTAACACTGTCGGTGGGATCGACCCACACGGGAAATTTATACCGATATAGATTGCCGTCTTCGAGATGTTGCAGGAACGAATAGTGCTGCTGTGCATGGACCGTCCAGTCATCCAGTTCAGGCCCGTTGTCACCATATATGGACATGCCAATTGGTGTTCGATCCCCATCCTCATCCGCCAACGGAAGCCAGCGATAGCTCTCAGAGGGAGGGAGATATCCCTTTAGTATTTTGAAATCGGCAGGGCCTTTCCAGGTTGGAAGATCTGTGGCCCGCCAATCCTGGGTGATAGGAGCCCGAGACTGGTCGGAGGAAGAAAGCTCGGGAAGATAGGGAAGGGCAACACCAGGATGGCTATGGAGGGCTTGAAGAGCTGCTTGGTTAATAACATTTGCTGAGACTATTAGGGAATCAGGGTGGTCAAGCTTGGTTTTGACGATTGTAGAGACCGTATGATCCTCCAAGAAGATGATATCGCCATCTATTTTGATGAAAATCACATTCCCATCCATGCCACCCCACTGGATATAATCACCGAAGCCCAAGACTTGGTAGAGAGGGGTGCGTTTCACAGTAGACGCGAGCCATTCTAGACTTTCCGTGTTATTCGTCTGCGGGATAAATATTACTTGATCGAGGAATCCATGGTTATCGATGAGGTTCCTCTTTGTAAGTCAAGTCAGACATGGCCACAATGAGATGCAACGCCGGCGGAACTCACTTGAAGGTAGCAATCCAGGATCCCCGTTCGCTCATGGTTACGAAATGGTACTAGTGCAACGATTCTGATATCTTTTGGTTTCTCGAACAGTCCAAGATTTCTGGAGTAAGCGTGGAATGGTGCCGGGCTCACTCTTTGAATAAAAAGAGGCAGCAGACCCAACTCGAAAAGCGAATACCTTGAGAAGTATACGCTGGTAAAAATCATAAACATGCACATACAACTAACAGCGCACCAGGTCAATGCAGGTAAACAAAAATGGCGTGAATGATTGATCCTGCCATGCAGTTTTGCATCGCAGATAGAGTCAAGGCGACCCATGACAGGGTTGCGTACTCACATCTATCCCAGAGCGAGCAACTGACAGGCCTCCATACTTCCGGTATCTACTGTCACTAGTGAATTTATAAGAAACCTTTTAAAGGTCACCATCACGCTCCCGTTTTCGGACATTGTAGGGATGTAGGGAATCATAGGAAGTGGTGACAACAACTCCAACATGAATCCGGAATTAGATAACTATGGGTGGCTGGTCATATTTTTGTCCGGAATGCGGAGGGGAAAAGGCATAATGCTGCATGCATTCCCGCAAGGGGAAGTTTTCAAGATTGGTTGTGTTTAGTTTTCATCTCTGTCCCGATATTGGAAATAAGTTGGAGTGGGGAATCAAAAATGAATTTAATTCATCTACTACTCCCTACAGATATTTGATTCGCAGGTTATGTATGACGTCGCCGACACGTGAAACGGCTCCGGATGTCCGATGGTGTCCTCGCGGTTGGCCAAGTCCAACCTTTGCGGTCGCCATCTCCCTGGCTATCAAATGAAACCGCCAACAATTGATAATCTGAACTTCGCATGAGAACATGAGGACGGCCGTCCTCTTTGGCCGTTTCTGTTCGAGCCGTGGTGGAATACCGCAGCTACTGTCCCGCTTTACTTTGCCAGTTCGATGGCGTTTCAGCCGGCCGCCGTCATGTCGTCAAAGGCTTGGGCGGAGATCCCAAAGCCGGAAGCATATGCCACGGACGTTGTTACTCTCTTCATTAACCCCCGGTGCATTTTTGAAGTTGGCGGAGGAAGGCGAAGGAAATGAAAAGACGGGTGAAATGCAGATGCTAGAAGCTTCACGCCAAGAGATCCAAAAGAGCGTCACCCAGGATGCACGGGGCTTATCGAGGCTTCAACAGTCCATTTTCGTCTTCTGGTACTACTACATATATGATCCGGTTGCTACGGGCCTCAGGTTTGCACATCTTGTGGTTGTTTTCTTGCCTGTCATCCTTACAGTCCCAGTTGTATGGTTCGGCAAGCGCCTCAAGACGCGCAAAGATGTACGGAGCGGGACACTATGGTGGTATAACTTCCTCGTAAGGTCAATGGAGCGTGCGGGACCGGCCTTCATTAAGGTAGGACACCATCCCTGTTCAGCTACTAGAAGTCCAGATAATCTGCAGCGTGCATACTGATATCTGTTCTGGTTTTCTTCTAACAGCTCGGACAATGGGCGGCTTCACGCACAGATATCTTCCCTCCTGAATTGTGTAACATCATGTCGTCTCTCCATTCAAATGCCCCATCGCACTCGTTACAAGAAACTAAGAAAACTATTTGCAAGGCCTTCAACGGGCTACCATTTGAAGATATTTTCGAGGAGTTCTATGAGGAGCCTTTAGGGGTGGGAGCCATTGCACAAGTTTACAAAGCAAGATTGAAACCAAACCTTGCGGCATCCCAGGACCAGGAAGCCTTAGAAATACGGGGTTTACGAGATAAAGTCCGAAAGAATGTCGATGTATTGATGAAGAGTACGCCCCAGCGAGTTCCTTCTTCATATGTAGCCGTCAAGGTGCTTCACCCTAAAGTCGAGCGTGTGATTCGAAGAGACTTGAAGATAATGTCTTTCTTTGCTTCACTAATCAATGCGATCCCCACTATGCACTGGTTATCTTTACCAGACGAGGTTCATCAATTTGGAGAGATGATGAGGCTGCAATTGGACCTGCGCATCGAGGCGAGTAACCTGGTCATGTTTCGTGAAAAGTTCAAATTGCGCACCACCGCTTGGTTTCCATACCCCTACCTGGGTTACACAACCCGCGAGGTGCTGGTGGAGGAATTTGCGCAGGGAATTCCTCTATCAACCTTCCTTGACGTCGGAGGGGGTATCTTTCAGCAAGAAATTGCTCATGAAGGCCTAGACGCATTCCTCCACATGTTATTAATTGACAATTTTGTTCACGCGGATTTGCACCCTGGTAATATCATGGTTCGGTTTTACCAACCGAGTGAGTTGGATCTTTCACTCCGCAAACATACCAGGGCGTCCGATGCACCAACCGCGGCGGACGTTGATGTAACAGAGGCGGTACTTGCACGACTACGACCTCATGCCCATAGTCCAGAAGACTGGGAGAGGGTTCTTGAACAGCTTAATGCGGAAGGCTATCGTCCACAACTTATCTTCATTGATACTGGCTTAGTAACCCAGCTCAACGATACTAATCGGCGAAACTTCCTTGACCTCTTCCGTGCGGTCGCAGAATTTGATGGGTATCGAGCGGGTCAGCTCATGGTCGAACGATGCCGTCAGCCAGGGGAGGTCACTGACCCCGAGGTTTTTGCGCTGAAAATGCAGCATCTAGTCCTTAGCGTCAAGTCACGAACCTTTGCGCTTGGCAATATTAGTATTGGAGACGTGCTAAGCGAGGTGTTATCCATGGTTCGAGGCTACCACGTCCGGCTTGAAGGAGACTTTGTCAACGTTGTTATATCGATCCTTCTTCTAGAAGGTATCGGACGGAGTCTTGATCCAAATCTCGACCTCTTCAAAAGGTGAGTAGATAACTGACTTCTCGAGAACATTAAGAGTGTTTGGTACCCCGTACATCTAAGTATAAACGACAACTAATTCCTCCTTGCTTTAGTGCCCTCCCTATTTTGCGGAAACTTGGATCTAATACTACATTCTTGAAATCGGTTCGATCGGGCGACACTTCCATGCTCCGCGTTTGGGTTGGACTTGAAGCGCGAGGCTTACTTCAAGCCAGCGTTGAGACCGTCGAACTGTGCGTCAAGTCTGATATGCTATCCCCTAATATCTAAGAGAAAGGAGACCGAGGAATCTGGCATAGCATACTCTTTCGCTCCACTCGGAACGTTCATAGAATAGAGCTGGGAACTCCACAAAGAGGCTTAATATATTAGTGAAATTTCGCTCCTGCTCCTGTATACACTATGACGACAGTCAAAGTTGGATTAGTAGTAGATCATGTATACAAGGATACTCGATGATTTAACCTACAGCCTGTCTCCAAAGATCCATGAGCTGCGAGCACGTTGCAGAACGTCCGAAAAAGGCATCAATGCTGTGATTGATTTGGAGGGTAGAAATCCCTTAGCATGGCGTAGCGTAGGAAGTGCTGTATCTGTTCATACGCAGACTGCCTTCAACCCCCCACACTCCTCATGAGAATTGCGTCGTCTGAAGCAAAATAGATGGTCCCTGGTGAATCTAGAATATCGCCTCTAAGTAGATGGAAGGCCGCATTAGCAGCGAAAAATCTTCAGTACTAGTCTTCCTGTCATTTTAGTTTTGGTGGGCGATGCCCTTGTATCGGAAAAACTACGCCTACAAGAACCATATAGACTTCCCTAGACAAATTACTGTATCAATAGATAGCCTCTTCGAGGGAAAATGCTGGAAAGACGCAAAGGAGCATGGGTGGCATGTATTTCGTCCCGAATAACAACTGTAGAGGCCATTGTTTCATCGCCATCATTATCTGCCTGGCAGTCCGTATAGCCGAAAGAAATCTATTTCATGTTTAGACAGGGAAGGTGAAATAATTAAGTAGGGTGTATAGAGAAGCAGGGAAGGTAAGAAAAGAAACATATAGAATGATGCGTCCCTATGGAGGGCCATCAGACGCCCGCGCCTTGTTCAGTATACAGGTGAGTGGAGAGTCATCATCGCCGAAGAACAATATCATCAGCAGTGGAATTGCGCCATTAGTTCCTGCCGTTTTCTCGAACTACAGCACCAGTAGCTCGCCACCAAACATCGCCTCCCCATCTCATCAATCGCTCTACAGCAGCGGTAGGTGTGTCCAAGGCAGGCCTGATATCCAGATAGAAGACAGGCTCTCCTGTAGGCTCGGGAGGCCCTGAATAGTAATCAATCACATAACGAACTTCTTTCGGACCAGACGGCGTCTGTCGCATCACAAACCAGTCGTGTCGATCGAACGGTGGAGGTGTTCTAGAATATATCAGCAACACAGTACGACGACATGCCAAGCACAAGGGGAGGGCAACTGGGGTACTAACCCAAACTTTGCTGGATACAGCCAACCTAGTGTTTGCAGTACCTGCGCCTTTGGAGTAAGTTCCTGCGGCCGACCTTGGAACCTGAGAAGGCGTGGCTGATTCTCCGGGGCACCCGCATCTGTCACTTCTCTGGCGGCATCTAATGCGATGTTTTCCTCGCCACGTCGGCACTTTTCCCAGCCATTTTTTAGACCTTTCGAGAATATACGTTCCCATCCGACAATTTCATCCCAAGCGCCTTCATTCAGAAAATTGTGCACTGCAACCATTGCTTCCACTGCATCTTGAGGGGTATCCGTGTAACCTTTGCGTAACATAGCATTGTACATTTGCTGAGGAGAAGGATACTCCCAATTGCTATCTGTATCTCCACGGGGTATAGAGGAAGGCTCACGCTCCAGCGGCAGCTCGACGGTTTGGTTCGGTGCTCGTTCCTGAGAGATGGAAGAGAACATATAGTTCAAAGGGTTCATTTTGGATAAGGTTGATTTGTTTTCTGGTTTAGAAGGCAATGGCGTATCTGAAGATTTTGACTTCGGTGGCACATAGAAGGGAGAGTCCTTAGACCGGACGGGACAGGCACTAGGTGGTTCAGGAACTGAGGATGACACCGGAGGCGACGAGTTACCCGTGTGCATTGGACATGCTGGCTATGAGGCAGTATTAGTGGCCTGAACAAGTATACATGAAAATATGGTGACTAACAGGGGGGGTGGTGTCCGAGGATGCCAATGGGTTCGGAACCACAGCTGTTGGCTGCGACGGGGAGTCTGCCCAGAACCAACCCATTTTGAAAGAAAAGCTAGGATAAATATGGGAAAATGAAGGAGAATATTCCAGAAAGGAAGATACAGAGATACAAAGTTATAGGCGACGACTCGTTGGGAAGCTAAAGAGGGAAAGCGACCATCGCAACAATGGTGGAAGAGAATCTTACGGAGATTTCTTTTATTACTAACCCCCCCCACCAAAAAAAATCGGAGAACTGGGGTTGGTCCGTCACCGTCCGTGAACTCTGTCGGGGTAAAGATAATCTCCATTACTTCTTGTATAGCGATTAGGTCCACTTCGCTAAAGTCCAAGTCCTGCCCTTTATTTATTCTTGTCATCATAGAAAATTTTACATATAAAATCAATATATGTCGAGTCTGTACACCGTATACAGAACATAATTCGAACACAAAGTATCACCTGGCGGCTATTAATACAATAATTTACGATGACAGCAACGTCATCGGTTTGTCATCTAACTCTCTATAACTAACTACTTTGTACTCCTGAAGTTTGTGGTGATCAACAATTTGATTAGCTAATTTTTGTCTTGAATTTAACTCTTAATTACCAACAGCTTTTCTATTACTGGCATGCAAGCTGTAGCAGTTGTGATGGCATGTACCTCCAGTGCTGCACAAATGTAATGGAGTTGGCAGGATTTAGATGCAGCTGTTGTTCGTCAAGCATGTCTGGAGTGGCTTCGACGCCATCGGTAGAGTGCTGTATATACTATGGCACTAATTATGCGGCTAGAATAGACCAAGAACAGGTCAATTTGGAATCCCTGGTTCTGTGTTTCTAGAACACAAAATAGCTCAAGCCATGACCTCGATCCAGATGGATGTCCAGCTCTCTTGGTTGGTACTAGGAAGATAAAAGTAATCGATCAACACGTCGGACATCTGCCTCCAGGTATGCCACCCACAAACTAGGGCGACACGGGATAGACGCTCAACGAACCATGGGCGTTCAACCTGGCCTGCCGAGCTTTGAGCGCCAATGAATAATACCCATGCGAACAAACCATAGCTCTTCGATAACAGTGACCAGGGACAATCAGTTATAGCTTGCTTCAAATGCCTTGTAAGCGCACGACCCAGCCCAGAAGACGGGGGCGATACGATAAGGAAATGGTTTAAGTAACAGATAGAAGCAATCCTCGTGACCGCTTCTACAGAACAAAGATTTGATGTCGTCTCAGAAAATGACATACATCGTGTAGTAGATCCAGAACAGACATAAGTAAGGAGGCGATGCTCAACTTCACGATTGAGACTGCGAAAGAATTCGTGGTCATCGGCGCAGAGTACAGCGGGGTTTTGGTTGCAAGCCTGGCCGTAAAGTATAATATCACGCATAGCACGGAGAATACTTAGCAAACAAAAGCTGAGGTGAGGGTTAGAAAAGAATGCAACACCCAATCTCTGCAGTTTTGACGTATCCGAGGGCGCTATACGTTCTTGAATACTGGCTGAAACTGTCTGCAAGCCACGAGCCAAAGGGAAAACTGGTTGGGTCATAAGTCCCGACGCAGCCTTCACATCAGTACTATTGTTACCAGTCAACATAATTCGGTAACAGGTGCATGGCGAAGCACATACGTAAGAATAGCAGCTAGCATTGAAGACTGATAAATGCTGTTGTCTGCAATTCCTCCTCGCAAGTCCACCATGCGCTTCAAGCCTCTGAGGTGCACACGAGCTTCATCAAACAATCCGACTATCAGCTGGTAAGAGTTAGAAGAAGTTATTGGCAAGAATTGTATATCTTCGATCTCAGTGGGCGACCCACTGCCAATAACATGGAAACTTTCTGCACAACCGGAGCAAAGGGACTAGGAATACATACTGCACCCGTAAGAAGATTAATGATTGTGCCAAATGCTTCGTTGCTTAACGATAGAATGGGATTGCACAATTTGATATTCATCTCACGGATACACCTGGCTTTCATAATATAATAATCTGTATCGTGTAAAAGACGATGGGGGGCTTCCGAAGCAGCTAGGAACTGTGAATGTTGTCCAGCCAAAACAGCTCGGTGCGCAGCGCACATACTCATTAAGCCAAAGAAACTGCCCTGATCTGTAAATGAAGATTGGACTGCCATATCGGTTTTGGCCCGCTCATTGAAAGTATGTTCCTTCGGGAAAGTCATAGGCACAAAGACAGTACCCCCTAGTCAATTTAGTGGGTCAGAGGTAGTTCAGTACAGACAGTGCACTTTATTAATCGACATATACTATGTGAAACCCAGAAAATCGCTAGCGGACACCTACACCAGGAAACAAGATAGCAGGTAGAGACAAAGCAGTCGACTCACAATGAAAGACTAGTCGAGTAATAATGATAGGCACATCACTGGCACCTGGCAATGTACTGAATGGGTCGACAAGCCATGAGGTAGGAAAAGAAAGCGGAATTGTAATAGAGCTTGTTGATATTGGATGAGAAGCACAGCGCCTATCTGGCTGCTGCTGTTGTTTCCCCTTATTTTTGGCAAGGTCACAAGGAGGCCCTCTTCCCATGAGTAATTTTGGTTCCGAGGATGGATTAGCAAGCCTCGTGGGTAAGGCACGCTCTGACGGCGGATCTTCGAAATGTGACCTGACAACGGCTTTACCTGCGAGTCTTTCGCGCCTAGAAACACGCTTCAGTCCAGCAAGTCGCTCACGCCTACGCACGTCGCGCATAACGTGAGAGCGAATAGTCCTGCGAGCATTAGTATCTTTGATTCGTTTGGAACTCAAATCATCGTCATGGTCAATAAATGTGAATTTAGGTTGATCCGGCGGCGTAATAATTGTTGGCCTCGGCCCTAGAAAGACTAAATTAACACTTGAAATGATGGGTACTGAGGGTATTACGACGGTTGATATTGCATTAATACAAACAGCTCGGTGCCAATCAGGAAGTGATAGCAGGTTTCACATTCTAGCGGGAGTCAGATACACAGGGGGAAAAAGAAAGAAGGAGAGAGAAAGGAATAGTAAAAGAGAACACTATGAAGAGTGACAAGCATGGGCACTAAGTAGTAGTACCGCACGATCTTCAGGGAGATATAAGGTATAAACTACAAAGTCGAGGGAGAAAGTTCATTTGGGGATGGGTAGAATATAGCGAAAAGGGGGGACTTGACCGCCATGAGATGCAAAAGATTTCAAATATGACGACGATGATGGTGATGATATTAAGGACAATTGGACAACACAACCCCAGACGAACCTGAATAGGAGCAATGCGTAGCAATAGACCTTGTGACGGAGTCCATAATAGCAAATTCCTCAAGCCGGTATATATCGGATGGCTCAACACTACTGAAAGACTGAAAACGGGGAGGCGGACGAATGAGCTACCAAGCAAACATAGGAGCATTCCGGGGTAAGTGGTTGCATGTACAGGCAGAACTAGAGCTGGACTATAATTGTATTGACATTAACCGCGGAGAGAGCTCCTTACGCTAGCCTTAAAACTGGCGAACCCTTAGGGAAAATCTAGTCGGCATTCAGTATCATACTAATATACACCTTTAAAGTTCCACAGAATCAAACTATTACTAGGCCACATACACTGCATGTGGACAATTAGGCAATGTTAACTAGTACGTACTGATAGTAAATGTTTGGACCACCTAAGTTGTGCTACGGAAGAGTTTCAATCCAAACTAGTTCATCCTCCTTCCCCCGCACCCAAAAGAGAAGAAAGAGAGAATAACACATTAAACAATACTAGTAGTGTAGATGCCGAACACCGCGAGTTTCGTTCACTGTGGCTGCTAAGAACCCGGGATAATGCCCGCAACTTCAAGAACAGCAGCTGTTGTACTGCTCAGGGCTAAATCATTCATGTAGGACCGCTATTTCACTATCGTAGGATTCTCATACGTAAGGCCGCCATTAATCGGAGTATTCTTCAAAACCTCAGTTAAAAGGTAGCTCTGCGCTGTGTGTGTGGGTGGGTGGGTGGGGTACATGCCCAGTTGCAGATATGATTTTGGGAGTCGGGGTGTATATACTTTGTATCTTCATATCTTATACGTATAACGTGGTAGACGACTAAAGCAGAAAGGGTGTATACATTATAGGACAAATGCTGTGCAGTGATGCAGTTGAACAGTGCCGTGATCTGTGATTGTAGAGCACACTGGTATTTCAATACGTCCTAGACACCTGAAACTTCTCAAAGTACCACCGAACGCCGCCCTGTTCTAGACGCCTTTCAGTCTTTATAAAACCAACGAACCTTATAAAACACGAAGGAAGATACAGGAGGAAACTGCCGCTGTAGAAAAAAAAAAAAAAAAAAAAAAAAAAAAAAAAAAAGAGAAAAAAAAAAAAAAAAAAAAAAAAAAAAACCAAGTGAAGTAGAGACAAGGGGAGGGAGAGAGTAATTATGAATGATAAAGGGAAATGGCGACTCACATAAGAATAGAAAGAACAAGGGAGGAAGAGAAGGAGAAAAAGTGAAAATAAAAAGACAATGTGTATTGGGTGCCAAACGTTTCCTGGGTATGAAAGGGGTCAAGAGTTAAGACACTTAATCTTAACCTTGAACATCATTTAGCAGTCTCGCGACAAGTGCATATCCAAACAATAAGGCGAGACCAACCCAAACTCGATTTCGTCGAACCCAGCTTTGGCCCGCTTCTCGTGCGACATGACCACCTTCTACCACAGCCCCGAGGCCATGGGCACTTCCATTCGGGCGCCTCCGCAGTGCACTGGTCTCTGGTGAACATTTTGTAGCAGCAGCATTTGGGTCAGGTATGAGTTGACCAGTGTTCGTGTCAATACGATTGTCCCTCATCCACTTCCAGTTCTCTTGGTCTAATTCTGGCCATTCTGCACGAAATTTCAGCCCGCCATCCCCTGCTTTCACATTATTGATTCCCTTGGCTGTAGGGGTCACTCCCGGAGTGGAAATGACGTGAGAACCTCCACCGGTGGAGTTCCACCATCTCGATCGCGCGGCTAGCACTCTTCGTTCCGCTTCTGACGCACTGACGCTACCCGTAGTCATCTCTTCGCTAGTCATAAAGGAGAGTAGTCCGATAAGAATCGTCGAAACCTCCCAAGCTGGGTTGAAGGACTTGGGATGAAAATCACTGATACTGAGACATAGTCGAGCAGATGGTTGAAATCGGCCGCTTGGGGTATGCATGCGGATGGCTGGTGGAGCAAACGGGTACTCTGGAGGGAACATCAATGTACCCCAGTATTGTCCATTCTCATACGGTGTCCCAGGGGGGCCAGTGAGGATGTAATGCCATCTATATCCTGTATCAATGCCGACTCGGGAGAAACAACGGTAAACATGATCGACATCTTACTCAAGAATGTTGGACTCTGATGGATGAGCGATTATATAGGGTGGTGGGTTTTTTTGTATGTTCTGATATTCACGAGTAAGCTGTATAGTGGTCAGTAACAGCTCGAGTACTATTTAAGTTACCAGACTCACCCGTTTGAAGGCTGCTTTTGTCGCCATCTTTTCACAAGGATTGTATTCTGCCTAGCTCGGGCCCTAGTTTCAAGTGCGGAGATTCAGGGGAAATCCCACGGAAGACGATAAAATGGAGGCAGGCCAATACGGTTTGTAGACTGCGCAGGGTTTGTCTAATGAGCAAAGTGATGATGATGGAAAGTCACTGCGTCGTTGGATGAGTGAATCTAAGGAGCACTGCTGGTCACGTGCCAAAATGTAGCCTTCATCTCAACTTCCGGGACAATCGAAGATAGCCGAGAAAGCCTTCCAGATGTGTCGCTGGCCATTGTAGCCGCAACAATGTCTTCCCCACTTTCTGCCGAAGATGAAGATGTACGTTTGATCTCTTAGAATTGATCAAAGCACGCTTATTTCTGTGATTGCTAACCACTTTTCTCTATTTTCTCAGATCTTCGAGCGTCTTCAACAGCGTGCCGACCCGAAAGTTCTCGAGGAGCAGCAGCAGGCCGTGAATGAGCGAATACACGCCATCTACCAGAAGGCGCAGACCCGTCTTGGGGAATTGGTGTGGTTTCACTTCCCTCTTATGTTTTTCTTATCCTTGTTTCCCCCCTTCTCTAATATTGCATAGAGGCAAAAGACAACTGAACATACTGCAATAAGTACTGATCCCATGCCTATGATATTAGATCGACCAAAACTCCACCCTTCCATGTGCCATTTCCTCTGTTCAAGTTCTTAACGCACACCACACGCGCAGGGGCTTTCTTGAACGGATTTTTAACCCTCTTTTGAGTTCTAACCAGAAGAAGCCTTACACTCTCTCTGAAGCCTTACGGGAAGTCTCGGCACGTGCCGATAGACTAAGTAGATTTGGTTTGTAACCCATTGTTATTTGCCACTAAGACTTTGATTAACGCAATTGTAGACATTTTCCAGCAACCAGTGTCTGTGTACTTGGATCAATCGCCCGAAGGAGACCCACAAACGGGACTCCCAAATCTTGACGTGTATGTATCGGTCAAAGAGAAGTCTCGTGTTCTACTGAAGACCGGGACCGATCTCGGTAACACGGAGGGATCCGCATATGGCAATCTTCTCTGGCGGAACGTGTTTGGCGGTGCCGAAAACCTAAATTTGAACGCTTCACTGGGTACTAGGACAAGGTCTGCCTACCAAGCAACATTTGAGACACCTATTCTGAGTGACCCGGATTTCCGCTTGGAAATTGGCGGCATCGCCAGCTCTACTCAAAAGGCCTGGGCTAGTCACGAGGAGGTCTTGAAAGGTGGTTGGAGTAAGCTCCGGTGGATGAGTCAGTCTGGCCATCGCCATGAAGTCGGGTACAATGGTTTTTGGCGGCAGATGACTGGGCTAGCGGAGAACGCATCCCCAACAGTCCGAGCAGACGCAGGTGATAGTGTGAAAAGCAGCATCTTTCATTTCTGGTCCAAAGACTGCAGGGATAATGGGCTTCTTCCATCTCGTGGCTACTATGCTAAAGCTTTCAATGAGCTAGCCGGTTGGGGTCCGCTAAAGGGAGATGTATCTTTTTGGAAATCTGAAATTGAAGCACAAAATGCAATTCCAATTCCAGTGCCTGGCATCGAAGGCGATAGTGGTATCAGCTTTACCACTGGATTCCGTGCCGGTCTCCTTTGTCCCCTTGGAATGGATGCCGATCACAGACTCCAACTTTCGCGCACTAATGATCGCTTCCTTCTCGGAGGCCCCACGGATGTTCGTGGTTTCCGCCTCTGCGGCCTTGGGCCTCACGATGGAGCTGATGCTGTGGGAGGAGATGTATATGCTGCAGGGAGTGCAAACTTGCTCCTTCCACTACCCCGAGTTGGTGCGGAAAAACCCTTGCGGTTTCAGGCGTTCGTCAATGGCGGTCGTCTGTTGCCACTGCGAACCGCACAGAAGAGCGCACCTACTACAGGCTCAGAAGTGAAGGATGCCATGGTTTCTACAATTTCCGAGCTGGGTAATGGAATGCCTAGCATCGCAGCAGGAGTTGGACTCGTGTACGCTCATCCAGCTGCTAGGTTCGAGCTGAACTTCTCTTTACCACTGGTGCTAAGGAAAGGCGAAGAAGGCCGTAAAGGTTTGCAGCTTGGAATAGGTATTAATTTCCTGTAGAAAGTCTTAGTCTTGTTGCGATTAATAGAAGTCTTTGTGGTATTAGTATTACAATGGATGTACCGCGTGATTAGTGTATTGTACATGATCTAAGCCCAATTTGGTAAACATCCACATCAGCCTCTTAACCATCCAAGTCACGGGTCTCGTCGGACTTAATACGGCAATACCGACAACTGTCACTACAACTACTAGTTGTGCTCTCCCACTACAGCTTTCCGCTCCATGTTGATTTGTCTTTCTCTTAATTCGTTGACACCACCAATAAACTACGATTGTATTGTTATTTGTGTGCGCTTTCACCTTTGAACCCTCCCCTATCTAGACAACTTCTGCCTTCATCACTCGGCCCCAATGGCCCAATACTACCCGCAACAACAGCCCTACGGATCCCAGGCTTCTGCACAGAACCTTCAGTTTTATCCTTCTTCCTACGGCTCTGTGTCTGGCCATACAACTCCCTCTCAAGCTTCCTATGGTGGCTTTAGTGCAGGCCCTAACCCGGCTGCTCAGGCGTACCCTATTGGAGGGGTTGGTGGTGGATATGGCGGCTTTGGGTCTCCAGCCACTGGTGTTAGTGGGCGGATGGGCGAACAGGGTGGGTTGAGGACTGGGTGGCTTGCTGCATTTGGTACAGAGGGATATGAGGGGGAACCGCCGTTGTTGGAGGAGCTGGGGGTAAATTTCGAACATATCAGGACTAAGGCTTGTTCCCCTTGTTGTTATCCTTCATCATGATGGCATCAACTTACATTTTGTAGACTTTGACAGTGCTCAACCCTTTCGCCCGGATCGACCAACATCTTATGGATGACAGCGATCTCTATGGCGCACTGCTTTACATCGTCCTCTACGGAACATTTCTCCTCCTTTCTGGTAAAGTCTTTTACGGTTATATCTACGGCGTTGCAGTTTTCGGCACTGTCGCTTTACATTTAATTCTTAGTCTTATGTCTCCGGCTCTCGATACCGCCCCGGCGCCTAATGCTGCGGACCAGGCCAACTACGACCCTCATCACAAACCTTCGTATTCCGAGGCCTCGGCCGCCGGTCATTTCTCGGCCACATTGACATTCCCTCGCTCTGCTAGTGTTCTGGGTTACTGTTTCCTACCGCTTGTGCTCACTAACCTTGTTGGGATAATGATCCCTATGGACACTATGTTCGGGTACCTGTTGACTACAGCTGCCGTAGGGTGGTGTACTTACAGCTCCTCCGGAATGTTTTGCGCGGTTGCGCGGATGCGTGGGATGAGAGGCTTAGTAGCGTACCCATTGGCGCTTTTTTACGTCGTTTTCGGGATCATGGGGATTTTCTCTTCACGCGGAAGTGGGAATTTGGCTGCAAAGACGGCTGCAACTTGATATTGAAGCTTTCTCTCGAAACCAATGTGATATGTCTTCTAAGTGGATGGTCTCGGTCCTGAGTAGATAACAAGGGATTTCGGTCACATTATAATAATATGTAAAAAATATCATGAATCAGCGATCTCTACACTCGTGCCTACAGGCTTTCTGTTTGTCAAATCCAATCAACGACAGCTGCTTGCTTATGGCTGATGAAAGCAACAAAATAGGAATAGGCCTCAAAAAAGGTACAGGTAATAGAAAGTTAACTTTCTACTGAAATTCCGCCCCGGCCTGAGCGTAAATGACGTACGTAAGATGAACTATCTACCAGAACGGGCTTCCCTCGCCATACCTTTTTAACTATCTATCATCGATAATCTGAGTAAAGCCTCAGCATTAGTATGGAGATTGCCAATTCCCTCAGACACTAGCATAGAACACTACCTTCCTCGTCTTTCGCAGGTGCCCAGTTCTCTAACCATTCCCGTGCCTTGCTGAGATCCCCTCCCGTGGCTTCAACAGATGCCACACACCATGGTAAATCATACCCTTTGCTACTAGCCATGGAACCTTCGGCCGCTATCATCTCCGCGAGTATGCGGCGCTGCTGGCCCACTTGGTCGGCGCAAAAGTAAAAAGGCGCGGTGTTTAGACTACCGCTCTGCAGACATATGGCGTCGACGAAGGGTTTAATTGTGGCTAGAATATTTGCTACGCTCATCGATTCGAGCGGAGTATCATTCTTTGGTATGGAAAAAGGCTCTCTGATCCGTCGCCCATTCTTGCAATACTCATTCTGACACCAGGCCTTCCCACACCCGGTCATCATTTGCGAAAGGTATCGACGCTCGATGCGACGGCGGAGTGCCTTTCCTTCTGGGTCATACGTGTCCACATATAGTGGTCCAAAGCAAAAACTGCAGAGGCCCAACGTGTCAGTCCCTGGCGTGGCTGCATTTTGTACACTGCGCCCATCAAGTGTGCGGCCACAATTTTGGTTCATGCAAACACGGGGTGGGGGTTTTGACAAGCGTTCCAGGTCGTGATGACGCAAATGGGTCTTCATGTCGCGCAGTCGAACAATTTTGTTACACAGGTGACACTCTGTTGTGCGACCACCGTCAACTAATTCATGCGGAGTAAGTCCAGAGACCAGGACTTCTGGATCGTGCATATCGGGATCCGTCTCGCCTTTTTGGGGGACTACAAGATGACAAAATTGACACAAGATTGGTTTCTCTGGACAATCAGTTATGCGGTGATGAGCGAGTCGCGGAAGGCCTTCCATCTCAAGCCCACAAGCGCGACATGAACGCTGGGAGTGGAAGATAACGGCATGCTTCTGCTTACTTGCAAAATCATTGCCATAAGATGAGTCATGAGGGCAATGCCAATGATTCTGCCACTCAGACGACCTTTTTTGGAATACATTATGGCACTGGGGGCAAAGTACGTTGTTCCGAAGGCAAAAGCTCTCGTGTAGCACTAGCGTTTGCTGAGGCACCCACTGTTGGCAATTGCCACATTGAATTTCATTCGGATTACCATGCGCTAATGTCTCCTTCGAATCTCCGTCGGAGCCAACTGAATGACTAGTTGAAATCTGCAACTTGTATTGCAGCGGTAGCTCTTGCTTCTGTGAATGCTCCTCGCTGTATTCAAAATTGCCGAATGCATAAACCGATACATATAGAGCCTCTGCCGTCTCCAGCTCTACATTTGTGGACTCAATCTGAATACACTTTATTGGTTGGGTAGTGAAGTCACCCAAAAGGTGCTGGTCTTCCCTAGGACGGTTCCTCTGGCGAGCGGTGAGGGGGCTGATAAAAAGGAAGACATCCGCATCATCTGCGCTTTCAACTGTGATAACAATAGGCTCTCCGCGATCCCACTCGCGGATTTCGTAGTCAACGTATGTACCTGGAACTACCAGGCCATTCACTTTCTCTCCAATAGAAAGTACCCCGCCAGTTGACGAGTCCCCCTGGGTTCCAATGGCACGAGATGCCTTCTCCAGGCGCCTCTGGTAGGTTTCTCTTGCCTGATCTTCAGTTAAGGCCACAATGTCTACCTCCAAGTCTGTATCAATAATGCAAATGCCGTCACCGTCTGGCTCAATTTTGTCCACCAAGAACCTAAACGACTCGTGCCGACCTCCCGACACCTGCAAGACCTCTCCTGTACTTAATGTCGTGAAGTTATCTCGTAGGTATCGTTCAAGCAGAGCCTTCCAATCCTCTGGATCATAACCAGCCTCAAGAGGACGGAGACGAACATAGGTTCCCTTGGGCAACTGTTCAACATGGACTGTGACTATAGGAGCCAATTCCGGGGCTAAAGAAGCAGGCAGTGGTTCCGTAGTGGCGTCTATCGCTTCCGATGGTTCCGAAGTCTGCCAGTACCTACTTGTCTCCGACGGGAATTGGTTGTCTTCAATCCCTAAGGCGTCTCTCAAGAAAACACTAAGACCAACTTCATTATCTTCGGCGGAGAACTCGCGGATCCCAGCGTATATCGCACGGCCATTCTTGGGGTTGACAATACGGAATGTTAACGGATGAGGTAACTGATGCTGACGTTCTAAAGCTTGTTCGCGTGCTCGTGACTCAGCCGCAAAGGTTCGTGGATTGAGTGGATCAAAGGCTGTAGTATATGGGTGAGCAGGCCTATTTGAAAATACCTCCTGGAGTGGGGCAGCTGCGAGGAGTTGCTCGAGGGCGGACTGGGGCAAAGTGATTTTGTCGCCGGGCAGCTTAGGCGTACGACCGGGCGCAGTGACTGTGAATGAGGAGGACCAGCGCAAGAGGCTCGATTCCTTAGACATGACTCTGACTGGAACTATAGCAGAGGCTATGAGGTAAAATGAATGAGATATTCCGCAACATCTTAGATAGGCGGGGCAACCTTTCTTGATAGTGGAGTCTGGAGTTTATACGAAGATAAAAGAAGCGTCGCGGCTGTTCTCGAAGCTACCCTCACCGCCAAAGTTTCTAAACATTTGTCATAAATTTACTAGTTAACTTGTTAACTATTGCCTTCAGCCTTACGCGGAGTAATAACTGACCTACTGACCGCAATTGCTGGGTTTCAGATCTGATGTATAACCAGCTGTTGTCTACCTATCAGTGGCAATTACTTTGATGTTCTTTCCTGCCCAGGTGATCCCATCCACCTACTAGAACAGGATTAGCCGGTCTAGTCGGGGCAGAATAAACAGTATATAATGGAGTTCTCGATTATCACTGCCGGCAGATTTTGATTTCGTTGAGGACTTGAAAAATCTAGAGAGGCTATATGATCTATTTCTCTAATCTATATATGTATGAAGGGGATCAATTAATAGACAGGAAAAGGAAAGGATTAGGTAAAAGCGCTAGACAAAGGAACTTATGGAGTGGTCCCAAGGACTTACTGTATTTGAAGACGAGGAAAAGGCAGAAACACACAGAGAACACAAGAATAGAACTGCCTTTGGTCTTACTTTCAACTTGAAGCTAGTAAACAACTTCTACGTAGTAGATATGGCGGATGTAAACGGCACAACCACGTTACTTCATTGGCTCCCTATTTCCAGGGCGTAACATACCCCTCAGACAAAAAGAATTGTATCAGCTGGCATGAAGCCAGCCTTCTTGTTCAGGTCATGGAAGGAGAAGGTTATTAATGCTATCAGGATCAGAAAAAACAAAGCCCTCAATGTTGGTGAAAAGTCATGAACAATGATTCACTTCACAGCACCTCAGATAAGACCTTCCCTGGGTATAACCTGAAGCACCCATTTAACTTACCCACATGTCAATAGAGCTGCCTCAAACGATGACGCGCACTTGTGTTACACCAGTCACACTAGAATGGCATTCATTAGTCCTTGTGGCTTGAAAATCATACAAGCCAGTTCAGTAGCATACCATCGTTGGAGAGCAACCTTCATTATGATCAATACAATATTCTCCTTGGCAACTCTGACACGTTCTTTGGCATTCAATTTTGCAGGTAGCACACTGAAAGAGTACATCACATTAATATGAGAAGTCCATCATTTTGGTATAATAAATTGGAAGAAGAAAAAAACACTTGCCGTCGGCCCGCACTCCCAGCAATCTCTGCTCACTCCAGGTTGGAATCTCTGCAACATTCATGTCAGCGGTGGTTGTTCATTAACACTGGGATTTAGCAGTCACTGAGAAATTTACCCTTCGCTCGTGAGACAAGCTTGAATCCTGGTTCCTTCGCGGTCCCCTAATCGCAGTTTGATGGGGTGATAAGTTAGTCCTCACCCGTTCGGGACTTGGTAGGCAGTTCGTGCAGAACCATTTGTTGCACCGACGACACCAGCGATCGTTCAAACACTCTGCGCAACGGGCAACGAGGATAGGGTGCGCATCGGGAAAGAGTGCTGGACGCTTCGCCACAGCTATAGATGACGAATGCAAAGGGAGCGGGGCCAGCAAAGGAAACTGCCCTTCCGGGGATTCACCCCAAACTGCCGGACCTTCTGGTGAAGTATGGCAGCCGTCGCACCCTCTGGGACCTAAGGCGACGGTAGCGATTGCTGGTTCGAGCGGTTGAACTTCGCCCTGATACCTATTTTCGTTATGTCCTGGTGATTTGTAGAGATCAAAATTATGCCGGGGACCACGACACAGTACGGCGTCGAAAGATATGATACCCTCGCATTGTTGGATTGTGGGGGCCCAACCTTCCTCGATCGAGCGAGGTATAAGTTTTCCAGCGGGGCAATACCACGCATTCTGATAATACAATGCGCTCTCACGAGCGCCATCGGATTGGGGCTCTTCTTGCGTCTTCAGGGCTCCGTAGCTCGTTGTACGAGTGCATCTGGAACTCCACCAGTCACGGTACCGGCTCCTCATGATGGCTCGAGGCTGGCTCACCGGGGTGAAGTAATAAATACCTTTCACCCGAGGGGTCCCTTTGGGACGCGAAGGCCGGACAGCTCGCTGAAGCACCTGTATCAGTTTGCGCTCATTTAGCTGACGACATTCCCTTATTGACAGTATGTTTATACTGAAACGGTCTGTCAAGATAAGTTCCGCAACCAGATCTGCTGGAACAGGGAGACCATCCAAGATTAGGGTTCGCACATCTTGAAGGATGGAACCCCGCCCCAAACCAGCGAATATTCTTTGGAGAGGGGCCGAATGGGGTGCATCCTCAGTCAAGGAGTTCTCCAGACGTTCATTGTTACTAACCCGAGCTTCCGAGCTCCTTAATGGCTTATTAGGAAACCAGTGTCCAGGAAATTGGGTCAGATCGAGATGCCGAAAAATATACGGAGTTTCCATAATCATGGAACGAAGAACGTGCGACGTTGAGGCTAGGGCAAGCAGTGTTGGGACTGAGAGGTATGGAGCCATATGATCGAGAATCAGACTGTTCGAGAGAACATCCACGAGGGAAACTTGCTTGGGATGCGCCGCAAGAATAATACCTTCGGGATTTGGCCGTGACTCCTCATCCTCTTCTTCATCTGACTGTAGCTCCTGGATGACAGGGACTAGTCCCACCTCCTTGGGAGATAGGCGGCGGGAGCCATAGTAAAAGTCTGAGGCTCGTGTAATGAGATTTTGGCGATAAGCCGCAATCGCCCCAACGGCAAGCTCATCCCCAGGTATCAAGATGGGTGCAGTATCAGGTTGAATTTCTTTGAGCGCGGCCCTGGCCTTGGCCAGTTCTGTCTCTAAGAGATCGATAGTTGACTGAAGGACGGCCGGCATAGCTCTGATATTTCCTGGGTCGATTGCAGTGACTAGTGTAGACCACAACTCTCCTTGGGCCATAGTTCAGTATAGGCGAAAAGTAAAGGGTCGGTAAGGTGGTATGCGCCGCTTATTGAAGTAGACAGAGAGATAGTGCAGGAGAAGCGGGCTGAGACTTTACATATATGAACATGGATATGAGTATATCTGAAGCATTTAGTGAAAAGAAAGAGTCAACGAGAGTGTAACGGGGGTCTGATGGCGAGTAACAATGTAAAGCGTAAGCCGGATAAATTGGGTTGAACGAACAAATCAAACTACACCGAGTAAATAGTGCTAGCGGCAGGAGTAGAAAGTACACCGAACAATTAACACAGTCGAAACGGAAATAACTAAAAGAGCAAGTCCGGGGAATGCGTTCGGGCCGGAAGCCGATGATTTCGTGGGCCAGACAAGTAGAATCAATAAATTCTAGAAAACCGATGGAACAAGCTTAAAATATATGGACGGATTGGCTCTTGTCTTTGTAAGTCTAGAGAAAGAGATAGTATGGAGAGAAATATACGACCACGGATTTGTGATTGAAAAATACCGAGTCCCCCTTCAATGAATAAACTGGGTCGATCTTATATGAAGAATACATTATGAATGTGCTGGAATGGGGAGACGTGTCAATCAATCACCAACCAACCAATATCACAACCGCCGGTGGGCCATGGAGGGAAACATGAGCCCATCCCGAACAAGGTGGGTAATACAGCGCTGCAGGAAACATTAAAAAATCGAACGAAGAACAAAGCAGCATAAAAAACAAAGTTGCTTTTGATTATGAGCTGTAGAAAGGTATTTCGGGTCCCTAAATTTACCTTCACCCTCATGGATTGGTTGGGCAGTTCCGAGGAACTTGCCGGAGAATCCCTCATAACTAGGTCCACTATGAAAGGATGGAATTTAGTCTCAATTCTGAGTATGGCAAGAATATCTAGTTAGGTACGAGATGGTACCTTTCTACTCGGATGTTGATGAGGTTGGGGTTTGATACAAGCAAGTACTGTAAATGGATATCCGTGCAAGCAAGGTTATTCCTACCGATGTTTATTCAGGGGGTATGGAGTACTCTGTACTCTGTGGTTCTTTCCGTCTGGAGTATCCACCTTACTGAAGGTCATCAGATCTGGACTGCCCCACCTGAGCCGAGACCCTGAATGGGATACTACTAGTACTCAAGGAATTGGTATGGAGACACGACAATCGGCTGATCCACACACGGGGTAACTGATCTGCTAGTCACGCGGACTCCAAACTTCTTCCCACGACGCGTCAACCAAAGCACACAAGAAAGCGATCATCCAGTCCTTCCAATAAATAATTTAATTGGTTGTTCTTCGTACAATCCTTCCCCCCTTTTTGGCCCAGTCTCCCGTCCATTGAATGGAGAGATAACTAAGAAGTTATGGACTTCAGCCGTACCTCGACACCCAAGCTGTTCTTACCTTTCAATAGGAGGCCTCCTTTATGGCTTTGGAGTAACCAACTAACTAGTTAACACGAACGATTAATTAGCACAAGCACAACCGTAACTAGTTATAAGACCCTCTACTTATAATCAACCAAGGATAGGGTACTTGCTCTATTCATCATGCGCAATTTACAGTACTATATGGCTAATAAAGGATCAAGCTACCCTACAATGAATTAGCATTCCAAAAGAAAAGAAGGTGAAGGTATCCCTTACAGATCATCCTTGATATATCTCCCCGCTGAGTTCAGCTCGCCTGGGCTGACTCGATATCTTGGCACATGTCCGTTGTGCCAAGTATCTAGTGTGGGATCAGTACTCCGACATAGATTGACCTTACGGTCAAAATGAAAATTTATAGTTAAATTGAAGCCTGGATGTTTTTCAACCAGTCATACATACTTTTTATCCTTGATTTTCACTAAGCCTTCTGAAGTAATATAGATACAGAGCTGTGCACCAAAAGTTACTCTACTCCGTGTGGTATCACGTGATATTGCACGGACGTATGGTGCAAAGCTCCATACCTACCTAGTAGTATCGACCTGTATTCTATACTAGTATGTTAGGCTTTAAAGCATTTTAAGTTTTGAGCATCTCGAACATTTCAGGCTATTGAATTTTAAGCTATTAACTAATATATATCAGGTAGATTTAGCAAGCGCCTGTGGGGTTAGTACTAATTACGTCGCCGTTAGTACCACATATATATCCGTCGTAATAACTTGCGGAGGTTGATCCATCTTTGGGGGCCACTTGCGGTGTTCTCAATAGGCAGTGAACATAGCAACAGAAACGGAAAAGCTAGAAACTCCCCCTCCAAGGATGAGGTGAGGTGAGGTGAGGTGACTGCCTCATTAAGGCTTCTCAAATTTCGCCTAGGGGGTTGTTATGACCCACAAGACATTCTCCTATCCACGATTATCACTCATTGAATATGCCAAATCGGATATGGTGAGACTTGGGAAGGTCATCCAGTAATGACCTGTACTAGACACAATGGTAGAGAATTACTGACTGATCTCTATATCATTCATAATTGGGAAGAGTGCCAGGCAACCCATGTTTTCAGTATCCAAAATAGCCAGTTGGATTACTTTGCTGAGTTTTATTTAATAGAATCGGGATGGTAGCAATGGTGTTACACGCTTCTTGCTTATGCAATAGGCTCGATCTATTATCAGGCCGCTTCCATTCTTCAGTCTTGCTATGTCTACTTGAAAAGCTTGGAAACAGCAACCTCCTTATCGTCATGCTTGTTGAGAATCTTGGCCGTAGCCAGATCAAAGTCTTCTTGCGTAACATGCACCCGCCTCTCTCGAAGGGCGTACATGCCTGCCTCAGTGCATACACCCTTTAGCTCCGCACCAGAGCATCCATTCATTTTTTCTGCAATCTTCGTTAGGTTGATACCACGCGTCAAGTTCATTGATCGTGAGTGAATTCGCAAAATATCAGCGCGAGCCTCGACCCTGTTGCCAATAAGAAATGTGAGTTAGTCATTTGCATACATACTACCCGTCAATCTGCCGAAACATGCCATAGAGCCAGGGAAAGGATGCTTACGATGGCGGGGGGAATTCAATTTTCCGGTCGATCCGTCCCGGACGTAACAGGGCCGGATCCAAAATATCCAGCCTGTTCGTAGCCATGATAATTTTGATGTTCTTTGTAGGCTCGAAACCGTCCAATTGATTGAGCAGTTCCAACATCGTACGCTGCACCTCTGAGTCACCCGAGCCTGCTGAGTCTATGCGACTGGATCCAATGCTGTCGATCTCGTCCATGAAGATGATGCTCGGCGCGTGCTCCCGAGCCATCACAAACAGCTCGCGCACCATACGACTACCCTCACCAATATACTTCTGCACCAATTCCGAACCGCTGACCCTAATGAATCGACAATCCGTATGGTGGGCAACTGCTCGAGCAAGCAGAGTTTTACCAGTTCCCGGTGGCCCATACAGAAGAACACCTTTCGGTTGCGCGATGCCAAGAGATTCGAACAGCTCCGGATGTTTCAGGCCAAGTTCAATAACTTCTTTGATTTCCTTGATTTGTTGATCGAGACCACCGATCATGTCGTACGTGCTATCCGGAACCTTCTCAACCATCATAAGAGATACAAGAGGGTCAACAGAGGAAGGTAGCATCTTTTCCAGTTTGTAAGAGTCGGAAAGTAGGGCGACTCGTTTGCCTACAGTTAGCTTGCTGATGTCGACACCATCTGCAATATCCACCACTAGATGCACGCCAAAACGAGTCAGCTAAAGGATGACGAATTCGAGGAAAATGCGGGTATCAAACTAACCATATTTCCCTTCTGGATGTACTTTCACGAGTACCTTTTTGGTACTCATTACCTTGACTACCTCGCCGACGTAGGAGCCAGGCTGTTGGAGTAAGCCCAGTTCCTCCCGAAGTAACCGCACCCTCGAGTTATAGTCATTACGCTGTGCTTCCAATCTCCGTAGCACCGCTTGCCCTTGAATAATCTCGAGCTTCATGCTCTCGATTTTATTGTGATAGTAGTTATCGAGCGCCATTCTGGAGATAAAGTGATGACAACTCCTTCGATATTATAAACTGGTTTTACGAAACCAAAGGTCTTGAATATGAGATTTCGAACGACCTGTGGCACAGAGGAGACTGTATGTGATATGAAGATCTCAACACGAGAAGAAAACTTGGCGAGTACGCTGGATGAAAGGATGAAGAGCTGTCGCCGAACAGTTAGGTTGTGGATGTTGAAGAGGTACGTAGCTCGAGCACTAGCCACGGACCATCAGTCAGCCACGAGTTTATGAGTTTATGCCTAAGGCAAGGAATCCAGCAAAAAATACCAGGCAGGTATTAGTACTTGGGTATGGTCATACGGTGGCGGCTGGATACAACAGAAAGCTTTGATTGGTATCTGTGGATCCTTCCTACCCGCTATCTAATGTAGTGGTCATTCTGGCTTTGCAGTGTGGTACGTTTCGAGAGATAGAAGAAGGTCAAGCCCTGAACTTGAAGTATAGAGACTCGTCCTGGACAGTCAACGTGCATCTTAACAAGTACACATTCGTGGAATGATCAATAAGAATCGTTCGCCTGCTCTTCATCACTTAGACGAGGTCTGAGACCTACATGTCGAAGTCTCAGCTGACTTGCGAGTGTGAGACTCGGAATTCTTGTCTTATCTCATGATCAAACTAGCTTCATAGCTTCCTTCCCTCTAACGCCCATTTATCTTTGTGGTAGCCTACCTCCAAACCCAATTTCGGCACTGATTGCAACATGTACCCTGGTTTCTCAACGGACACAGTATAGTTTTGTGTGCAGGACCTTTGGTCGACTTCTTTATTCCCTCCCCAGAATATTTCTCCCTTTCTTTCCACGAATCTGTATTAGTGAACTGTTTTTGCTTACCTTTCCTCCCTCTCTCTTTTTTTCCCTTTTCATTCCCTAGCCTTCTTCTAGCAGGCTCCTGCCCTTCCGTTTTCCCCAACCTCCTGAGTTTTGCACCTGACAAACTTCAAAGATCAACACCCTTATGAAAGAATAAAGGTAAATAGACGACACTATGTCTGGAAATCAAGGAGGAGAGGGTAACCCATCCCCTTCGTTTCGACCAGAAACGTCCGTGCGGTTGCCGTCGACTCTAAGCAATGAAAATATGCTGTCTGGAACCGTCCGCCAGTCAAAGATTACGGGACAAGAACGAAGAACCTATGGTGCGTTCTAGTGTTGGTCGCTGGGGCTACTAATCTAAGTCACTTACGTATTTCTTGTAGGTACTTTAGAACCCTCAGAAAGGGTGGAACTTGATTCACGCCTGGATGAAAGTCGACCGGAGAGTTCAAACCGCATGCCCCAGTCTCAATCACCCTCAACGGTAGCCCAATCCGATAAACCAAGGAAACCATCCGTTACGCGTCGCATGTCTTCTAAGCGGACGATACCCCATAAAGGCCAGGAGTTCTCTACTGACGATGATGTCCAAGAAGTTGAGGAAGACATCGCTAAGCAACATGCTACGAATCCTCAAAATTCACCAAGGATACGCCCCTTGCGAAAGGAAAGCTCAAGCCTCAGGCGAAGAGTCAATACTCGCATCAGTCCTCTGACACGAGCAGACCCTGAGGATAATAAAGATGAGAATACCGTACTACCAGTACCTAGTTTGGAAGGAGCCGGAAATGATACCTCTTCTCAACACTCTGAGGGTGGAAGCCAAAATGGTAACGATAATAACGACGAGGACGTCAGCGATGCGGAAAGTTTTACATTAAAGGATCGGCAGCAGGCTATCAATGAAACGCATCCTTTTGGAATAAGGCTATGGAAACCTGCCCTATACAAGAAGAGTCGTTCAGTAGAGAAGACCGCCGAAGGTGATATTCATTCATCACCCGGCGGTCGAGTGGGAACAATGCTGTTCCTAACAAATTTATTGTGGACCGTATTCTTCGGGTGGTGGCTTGCTCTGGCTGCGCTTATTGGTTCCGTCGCCTGCTTCATCTTCGCATACTCTCCAAGTGCTGTGGAATATGGGAAGGTCTTCTCCGGCCTCTCTTGGTATCTGATATACCCGTTCGGATCATTTGTCCGTCTTGACACAGATGAAAATTACGCAGAGGAAGATGAAGGTGAAGGCCGCAGCATTAGCGAGTATGAGCAATGGCAAAACGGTGACCTAGAGCATGGAAGGCTGTTCTTCGGCCCTCGCCGCGGCCGATCCCTCGTGGGCAGAAGAAGAAATAGCATTGATTCGGCCAGTGAACAAGATAGTTTGCTGGAGCGGACGCAAAGAGCCAGTTCACACGGTAGTCCTCTAGGCCACCATAAACGACGTTTGTTTGGCCGTGGCGAGTGGACTCTTGGTCGTGTCGTGTTCTTTGTCTTCTTTTATTTCCTCGTAGGACCTTTGATGCTATTGGTATCTCTCCTCTGCTGGCTGCTGGTCTTCTGGATTCCAATGGGACGCGTGACCATCATATTATTTGATCATCTTCGTCGTCATCCCCTCGCTCTTTCATACCATTCCGATACCTCATACACACGGCTGAGCCCAAACTCCTCTTCATCTATTCTTTTATGCACCTATCGTGCCGCCGGATTAAGATACTGGAAATACACGGTTGGCGGTACCAACATCTTTTTGATCAATCTTCTCGGCGTGGTACTGTTTGTGATTTTTGACTACTTCCTTTTGGAAAAAACTCTAGGTGTTCAAAACTCCTTGACTCACCCGGGCTTGATTTTCACCCTAGCCCTTGTTTCCATCATCCCCTTGGCTTATTTCATTGGACAGGCCGTTGCTTCGATCTCTGCACAGTCCTCAATGGGTATGGGTGCTGCTGTTAACGCTTTCTTTTCAACGGTGGTCGAAGTCTACCTATACTGTGTTGCTTTAACCGAGGGTAAAGGCCGACTTGTTGAAGGTAGTATCATAGGTAGTATCTTCGCAGGCATCCTGTTTCTCCCTGGGTTATCTATGTGCTTTGGAGCTATCAAGCGTAAAACACAGAGGTTTAATGTTAAATCCGCCGGTGTTACCTCTACAATGCTGATGTTCGCCGTGATTGCTGCCTTCGGGCCGACACTGTTCTATCAAATTTATGGCAGCGTAAGTTCTCGCCCAACTCGCTCACTTGGATATTGTTTCTCATTTGCCATTCAGCATGAATTAAACTGCCGCTCTTGCTTCAACGCTATAGATGCGAGCAGTAGTGATTGCCGTCGTTGTTACTTCTCTCAGGTCCCTGCTGTCAATGACAGCTTCTTCCGAAAGGCTGTCAAGCCCTACTCATGGTTTGCGGCTTTATTTCTTTTTCTATCGTATATTATTGGCTTATGGTTTACGCTTCGAACCCACGCTGCCCTCATATGGGCTACAGAGATTGAGGAGAAGAAAGCCGCGGCTGTCGTCCAGGAGCACGGCCCTTTCGAGCCAAGGCACCTCCTCCATAGCGGGCCACCAGTGGCTGCTGGTGCAAACGCCGGTTCAGGCCCAAAGGGGTCCGTTAGAGATTCTCAATTGTACAAACGTATTCTAGGACAATCCCTGAAACATATCGGCTTGTCCGAAAATTCGATCGAGTCCGGCGCAGAGCAGCCGGAATCAAGCTCGATGCGTGATACGAGCACGCCCTATCTTGTCCCTCCGCATGGGGAGGGCGATGGGGACTACTCAGGTTTTGGCCGTTTTGGAGGGTTGTCGGGTGAGGAGAATGAACATCTGATGCGCCAGGTAACAGAAGTTGCAGCAACTGCTGCAGCAGTTGCTGCCCGCGATGCAGCTCGAACCCGAAAATTATCCATTCAACAGACCCCAGCACGCCATGGTAACAGGGGATCCACTGACCCAATCAAGGCGGTAGTAGAGGAGCTTGATGATATTGGACTCGAGCACGGCCAAACCAGTGGCGGGCATGATGCCCCAAACTGGAGCAGGGCTAGAAGCTCAATCATTCTTCTAGGAGCCACCATTTTCTATGCAATCATCGCTGAAATTCTTGTGAACACTGTAGATGTGGTACTGGAGAGTGTTGACATTGATGAAAAGTTCCTTGGAATCACGCTATTTGCTCTAGTTCCCAACACGACGGAGTTCTTGGTATGTCTTATCGGTCAATCCCAAACTCAATAAATGCAATGGCTCACTTTCAATATCATAGAATGCTATCTCTTTCGCCATGAATGGCAACATAGCCTTGTCGATGGAGATCGGTTCGGCCTACGCCCTACAGGTTTGCCTTCTGCAGATTCCAGCCCTAGTACTATTCAGCGCTATTTACGAACGCTTAATTGATCCGACAGAACTCCTAACTCACACTTTCAAGTATGTTTAACTCTATCCTTGGAACTGCTAGGAAAGGGTCAAGAAGTCTAACTGGAAATTCTATTGTTTAGCCTTATTTTCCCACAATGGGACATGGTATCAGTTATACTTTGTGTCTTTCTCCTATCGTATGTCTACGGTGAAGGAAAGAGCAACTACTTCAAAGGGTCTATTCTTGTCCTCACATACCTTGTCGTTGTGATTGGTTTTTACTTGTCTGGCTACAGTAACATGGACGTTATGGGTGTTGATCGCCTCGACACGTTGGCACTTGGCACATCCCAAACATTTAAAACGCTCGGTAGGTCAAGGAGTGGCATGGCCTATTGATTGCAAATCCTTCGGGTGAATAAATGCGCTGTTTCGCAGGGCTCTGAGGGCTGCAGGTATCCATTTTATTGAAACGTGGCGCTTGACCTTTGTAAAGTATTTACTTTCAATATAGATGTGCTGTGTTCACAGAAATTAGTACTCAGATATCAAAATACCCATTCTAGTCAAACTACTTTATTAGACCAGGAGGCGTGTACCTATACAAAGCGACTCGAGGGTTCATTTCATTCGCGCTTGATTTGTACATATAACCATACCCTATTCATGTTCATTAATCTAGCAATGCAGTAAGCCACTTGGAGGACCTGTGTACAGTTTGGAAGAAATTAGATTAAGCAGTCGTTTCCGAAAAGTCACCAGGAGAGGTAATAAAGGCAACATAAGTCGTCATATAACTGAATAAAATCAAATTCAAGTAGACTTCCATGAGCTCACAGCGTTGTCAACAAGAGTCCGATACTCTTGTTGTTTGTAACATTGCTCCAGGAATACTTTGTATTTAACATCAAGCAAAGCCTTCTCAGTCGCATTGTCTGTTGGGACTACCTTCTTCCCTGGCTTACTCATCCGATCCATTATCTCCCATAGATCTTCTGTTTTGCCGTCAGCATCTGCACTGGCAGCCTTAGCACCCAACATGGCTGCACCATGGCAGACGGCAGCGTGAATGTACCGGGGAATAAGGACAGGCATGCCGCAGGCGGATGCGATGAGGCCAACCAAGATCTCATTCTGACACTGAGATCCCGACATGAAGATGGAAGTGAGGCTATGGCCAGCCTTGTTCATGGTCTCGATAATGTGTCGTGTCTGCAAAGCGATAAACTCGAGCGTGGCATAATAATAGATAGCGAGCCCATCCACAGACTTATTACTTGAAAGGCCAATCACGGAGCCAGCCATTTCGGAGTCTGCAATCGGAGAGCGGTTACCCCATAGATCACCGTAGAAGAAAAAGTGGCGTGCCAGATAAGCCACACTTGGGGCTTGCTGTTCATGCGCCATTTCCTTTAAGTGTTCGTTTAAGTATTCGTATATATTGGCATTGTACGATTCAGCGATCGAGACCGCCTGATTGAAGGCTGGGTGTGTCTCAATGACGTATTTGAGGAGCTCTCCAGTCGCGGACTGCCCGCCTTCAGCCATCCAATATCCCGGTTGAATAGTGTCTCGATAAGGGCCCCAAACACCAGGGACAAATACAGGATTGGGGGACATTGCAAGATGGCAGGTCGAGGTACCGGCTACAGCTGCTAGACGAGAAAAGGCTTGCGTCTTATCGTTCTTGGCGACATTTGAGCTTAGCTGCTCAGATCCGAGGTCGACTTTGGCACCAACAGTACCAACCCAACCTGCATAAGCGTCGATGACTCCACTTCCTATAGCAATACCAGAAGGTAATCCCAGTTCAGAGGCCGCCTTTTCGCAAAGGGTTCCAGCTAGCTCTCCAGCACTTAGGTAATCGCCGTTCTGGAGCAGTCAGCGGTCAACATTAAAAATAAAATTAAAAAAAAAAAAAAAACATGATCCAGCAGGAACCCGAAGCAAAGAAAAAGGCTCACCACCCCATCAACACCTCCCATCCGCTTAAAGTTCTCTTGAGTGAGGTCCCCAAGGCCTATTTCGGCCAAGAAATCTTCTTGCCAACCTTTGACACTTCCGTCCACCCCGACAGGGACGTAGCCTTGCTTGCAAACAACGCTACAGAAGCTTCTCTTCTCGTTGCCAGTTGCGATATGGGTTAGTGCATCCGCCAGATCGTAGAACTTACACTGGTCGAACAATTCTTTGGGCATGTGATTTTTCAGCCACAGGACCTTGGGAATCTCCATTTCAATAGACATTTTCCCACCAACATAACGAAGCAAGTTATGATTGGTATTGTTGACCTTTTCCGTCTCCTCTATCGGGCGATGATCTAGCCAAAGGATGACATTGCGGTCCGAATCAAAATTGGGCCCCGTGACAGATATAGGTTCGTCGGTAACGTTGGAGAACACCGACAACGAACATGTTGCATCAAAGCCAATCCCTCGTACGGTTTCTGGATCGATGTTGTGTTGGCTAATGGCGCGTTGGACAGCCACACATATACACCGCCATATATCATTTGTAGATTGCTCCTAATGAATATCATCAGTCAAAAGTTCAGCATCGATAGTACAAGGCATGTGGAAAGAGAAATTGAAAGGCAAGGGAGGAGGGAGACAGAATCAATCAATAAACATGAAGTAAGAAAGGGAAAGAGCTGACATAGTATCCCTGTTGTGGCTGCCAAAGGCCAATGTTCTCCGATGCCAAACCAACAATATCACCTTTACTGTCGATGATACAAGCCCGGGCACTGCCGGTCCCAACATCGATACCGATGTAATGATCTATGTGAAAGTGAATGTCGTCTCGGCTATCTCTAGATGCCTGTCTAGAACCCTGTCGCGATGGCCGGCGGTAGGGCATCGAAGGAGCTATGGAGGCCATGGGGAGAGAGGCAAATGACAGTAAATAAAAGAAAAAAATATTGAGTAGGTGGCAAAGGCGAAAGTAAGTCCCTAATCGGAGGTGTCAGATGAATCAGGTGGAGGCCTGTTGGGCTCACTAGGTAAAGCTTCTACCTTTTTCTCTTCAAAAAACAAAGTGGCACTTCAGAGAGTGAAACTAGGAAAGATATAGAGGGTGAAAGTAGTGCTGGATGTCTTTGCTTTGTTTTACTTCACTTTGTTTTCGCTTCTTTTTTTAGTTTGGGGGGTTTCTTCCTTCGGTTTCTGTGATTAGTTTTATATATATGTCATTGTGCGTGGGGGAGCGAAACAGAGAAAGTTGTAAAAGACCGGAGAAGCTTAGACGAGGGATGCTGTACCTAGCCACTGAGTACGGAGAAGTATGACAGCATACCCTGGAGTATACTGGGATCATCCCAAGAATCCAACCAAGCGCACAGTGTGGGGAATGAACCAACACCTCCAGACCAACTTGATGTGGAGAACTAGAACAATAGAGACAATGAAGCTCCGAATCGCTCCGAATTACGACAGGAGGACAACTCGATATCGTCATCGACAGGATATTTCTGATATATACCTAAAGTATATACATACATGTATAGGACATTTGTAGTATGAATACGGAGAGGTAAACATTCTCCCAAAAGACGGACTTGGTTGGGCCTAATTGCAAACGTGCATAGAAAGAAAGCGGTATGTGCTGTGCATACAATACGGTATGTATCTTCTTAAAATTGGTATCACAGTATGTATTGTACCGCCCTTTTTGTATTGTAGATACAGCACATGTATTGGATTTTCCCTGGTCTCTGTATTCTCTGTACAGATTATACCACAGGGGTTAATTTTTGCAGGATCAGATACTACCTCAACCACTTGCACAACCTCCTCTACTTCCACCTCCTGCTATCATTGATCTCCTCAACATGCGCTTATCTACCATCGTATTCTCGGTACTTTCTACCATCAGCTCATATGCTCAGGCTACTACTCCTGATTCTTCTCAACGCATCTCAACAGATATTTTCTATTGGCCCATAATATCCTCTGAACCTTCGGTCTTCGCCCGCATCTCCTACGATCCAAACTCTTTAGAGTCCAATGTGATATCCTACTCACCTCCAATCACGGCGCAAGCTGAGTCATCGAACCTAGTGCGTGTCGGCATATATACATCCAACGGGATTGACCCGAAGCAATGGGCCGGGACTCTCACATCTTGGTCTGCCATCGCAGGAAGCGATGGACAAAGGCCACTGCTTCAGCTTTATCTCGATTCTTCCAATAAAGTTTATTGCGTGGCTCTAACGTTATCACTGCTCGAGTCTACCATTGCATCAAACACAACAAGCCCCATTATGAAACTTATACCCCTCGAAGCTGGACCCCGGCCGCATCTTAATCGCCCTGTTGTTGTCACTCCAGATGGCACAAACCCTGAAGATATCGCTGAGAAAACATTCTTCCAGAAGTAAGCGCTTTGTATATCTTAAATCCACCCTCCTATCGAGAATAGGCTGACATATTTTGCATCCTACCAGGTATTGGTGGGTTTTCCTCATCATCACATTTCTGGCTATGTCTGGCAGCGGAGAAGAGCAATGATTTTTTTTGGCCCGGCCCTTTCGCACTATCCACTCATAATCGCCATTATTTGTCGTGAGAACTTTCCAGCAAGAGATATGAGAGTGGGAATGATCAGACCAGAACTGTCAGAGCATATCAGAGAATGTCACGTAAGGTCCTAAGACACACCCGTGTGCAATCTTCGACACGCGTACTACTTCTATTAGAGATCTACACGGTCTGACACTCCGAGTGGTAAGTTGACTAAGACTAAAATCTATTTCGGAAAATCGAGTTTCTCAAAGCGGTCTCCTTAGTTCATTGCCCTATACTGTAACAGTCTTTGCCGGTATTTTGAGAGTCATCAATCAGTACTGGGAGAAAAGCGAAGATGGAGATGCCATGAATTGATTGTAAGTGGCCTCTTGTGTGCGGGCGATGGACTTTCTTGGGGATCATGTATCCCGATATCGCTTCTTTCGCCTGGGACGCTTACATGTTGAAAGTCTACTTTGTAAAAAAGAGAACATACACCGCAGCCATGGCGGCCTTGCATTATCATGCGGAAGTACCATAGTGTTTAGCAGGCACCGAAGGTTCGATATCTTTCTACCTCTTGAAATAAAGCTGATTGCCAAGTACAGTGCATCGGAGATTGATGTGCGACAGTTGTATTTATCTCAAAGAAACATATATTATAGAACTTCTTTCTACCCCTAATGAATATGCTGGACGATATCGCACCTAATAACTGGTCTTCTTGCTCGTCGGTAGCATAACCCATCCAGATTAGGTGCATATCATATCATAGCATATGATCTGAGAACCCCAAAAGCCGTTCCCACACCTAGCATGACTAAGTCACCCCAAGTCACTCATCTAAGCCGGTAGCTCTTTAGTTATTCTTTGGCCTCTTCCTAACGGGCCAAGATCCCAGTACATCAACCCTCTGTCTGTGATAGCCAACAATTCGTCCTCCACATCTGTAAAACGTAGTTTGAAGCAGACCGCATCTAGTGGGATAACTATCGGCCGCAGTTCGACCATTCCTGAGTCTGGGGACAGCAGCAAGGGCGGGTAATACCCGTTGGAATTTTGTTTGATGAGTGCACTGGGCTGCAGTGCCCAGATGTACAAGACATTCCAGTTAGCGACAGCAATCCGTGTGCCATGTTTCGAAGTAGCAACTTTACAACCGAGGGAATTATTTGAATCCTGAAAGCCCCAAAGTCGTGCAACTACTGTCCAGTCAAAAAAGCGTCGCCCGCGTTCAAGGTTCAGAATATGTCCACAAAGTTGAGATGAGCAGCTTGCTTCGGATTTCAACAAACATGCGACTGTCCAATCTTCCGTGCGATGAGTCGCTATTCCTAAAGCAAGGTATTTCCAGTGACATCTGGAATGCCCGTTTCCCTCCACTCGCGTTACATGTGTTCCATAAAAAGGAATGGCGATTGAGAAGAGAAGACTCAAGGAACCCGAGAACTGTACCAGCGATGAGTTCTCATATAATGTAGGCTGGACCGGGAAAGAAGTCATATTGATCCTTTGAAATGACCCATATAAAGTTTGGGCTCGGTGGTAATAGAGTATTTGGGTTGATCTATCGTTGAATGCAAGGTCTATAACGGGTCCTTTCTGACAGTTGAAACGGGGACCGGCCAACCTTGCATGGAGGTGTACGTCATCATCTTGATGCTGTTTGGTCCAGTCTACAAGGACATAAGAATCATATGCAAGATCTGTAACTTGGTCAAAATCTATCTCTCCATATTTATTAGCAGCAGAACTGGGAAACGAACCTATTGCGCTTGGCAGGCTGTGGACGCTAGATGTGCTCTGTGCATTATAAAGCACTACTTCATAGTCTTCACTTTCACGGCAATGCTGCCAGGAAATTGCAAAAGTATCTCGATTGGCAGCGGCGAGAGCCAAAGGCTCATACTCAGCATGGTCCGGGAATGTACACACGCGAACAGGATCATGGCGAGACTGGAGGGAGTAGCGAATGAGATAGATCTGCCCCCCGATATAACATTTAGATGCTTGTTTAATGAATGGGTGCTCTGAGTCTGGACTTTCTTCAACCGTAGGTGTAAAGCGTTGTAGGACATAGAGGCCATCATCTGCATCAAAGGCTGTCCTTAGAACCTCGACTATGCCTGGCTGAAGTCGGTGTGGTTTCAAGCAAGCTTTAAGTTGAAGTTGGCCATTCTCGGTGCGAAAAAGTCGAATGTCCTCGTGGCCTTTGTAAACAAGTGCCAAGGCCTGGTGTTCTGAGGGGGCTAGCGATGATGCTTTGACATCAAGGACCAATGGCCCAAAGTGGAAATGAGTACAACTTGCGGTGAACTGGGCACCATACAGTTGCCGGGACGCGCGCCTTTGGAGCACCCGGAACAGTTGCTTTGACTCAGCACGTAGAAGATCCTCATTCAGCCCAGGTGTTTGGTACAGGTGATGCAATAGAATCTCCCGGCAGTTAGAGGCAATGTCATAGAGGGTGTGACAAGCAAAAGCTGCCTGCAGGAAGGCTGGCGTGGTTGAATATTGAAGAACAAGTTGTATCAGTTCTGTGGGGAGTTGTAGAAGCATGGCGCTGGCTTCAATGACTCGTTTAGAAGACCTCAAGTAATTGATGATGAGAGAACAAGCAGCAAATATCTAGTTTGAAGCTTGCTAGTGAGATCTGGCACTTGCAATGTACGAGAATCTAATGATTATAAAGATGCAGATATGTTAGACCATTCAGTGAAAGCAGACTCATATGCCACCTAGAAATAAAGTTATGTTTCATTATCAGCACGGATGTGAGCAGGATCGAGTGGGGATTTATCGGTTTGGAAGTTGGCAGGCAGTAGCCGTTAGATATGGTTGCCTGAGCATCCAGTGACGATGGATGAGGAGAGACAGCCATCCAGAAGTTAGTGATGCCTGGATATATCCAGATCCATACCACCTCTTGTGGATACAAAAACCCAGCTTGAACTCTCAGCACCAATTTGCATTAATTTTGATTACGCGCCTTTGGCTTTTCAATTTCGGGGCCGAAGTCCTGAATTTGCTCCTGGGCTTCTCCTTAACCACAGCCTATTTATATCAACATGGTACAGAAGGAACTGATCCCATGCTCTAAAAACAGTTCCTAAATTATGTACCTTTCGTTGTCATACCATCCCACCTCATAAAAACCCCTAGTTTCAACTTGAACGAGTGGGTTGCTGTCTTTCTCTGGCGTACACTGTCACAAGAGACCATAAATTCCCCATCGCCAGAGAGATACAAGTAAATGGCTAATTCATCTAGTTCCAGGATAAACCAAACAAGACTTGTTCCCTAAAGAAATAAGTAGAAAAGCAAATCGAGACGAAGTGCTCTGCCAAACACATAGGAATGCGTCTAAGTATACATGTCATATATGAAGGGAGACCAGACAAGTGTAGATGCTGAACAACGGGCATAACCAATAAGACTGTCCCTGACGAGTCAAAGGTCTGACTCTTGAGTGAGGTGACAAGCTATATTACTAGTACTGTACCAAGCGATTATTTTCCATCCGAGAAACGAACCACTCTAGAACGCTCTCGTAGCACAGGACGAACTGACTCAAGTTCTGGACCATACTAGGTCGTTGTGTGCGAAAGTCAGCTACGGTTTTGGCAATGAGATCCAGTTTTCCATCGAATGAGTCGTGGTAGGAATGATCAATCATTTGTGAGCTCCGCGAGTGTGCTGTGTCTTCTGCGGGTCTTCGCTTTAGCATGTCCAGCACACTATCAACAGTACAGAAGGTCCCCGTACGGCCACACCCCGCACTGCAGTGGACTAAAACTGGCCTCCGCTCAGTTGTCCCTACGTCACGGCTGGGAGATGCATTTCTGACTTTATCACACTGTTCAATCAGCTTAAGTAGATGGGCAGGTTGTGAGGTGGTGCCAAAATCAGGCCAGCATGGATATTGCAACTGCGTCACTTCACGTAGCGGCTGAAATGGAAAAGCCGAATGTGACAAACCAAAATGCCGAACTATGATATAAGGTTTACCGGAATCCTCGCTTGTTTTTAATGAAGGACCGACTTGATGCGAATGTGGAGAATCTATATCGAGGTATTTCTGGGAAAAGTTGTTGACCTGAAGAGGCCCGTATTTTCCAGACTCCCAATATGGGTGACATTTAATCTGGCCTCTTTCGAACTCTGCAGTCAAAGTAACGACGAGCCTGACATCTTGTTCCCAGATTACACGCCAGAAATCCTGGAGATCTCGTAAGCCAAACTAGTATCAGGGCTGATATAAGGGTTTGCAGAGAACGAATCTAGGGCGAACCAGATGCTGAGGAATCGATGGAACTCACAGTAAATGTATCAGGTACAGGGGCTTGAGTAGCTATGTAGCGCTTATTGCCATACTCTGCTTTCATGAAGTTTGCATTTACGTAATCACATTCCCCAGGCGGCACATCCTGCAGCTTCACCCGGGAGTGATCAAAAGGATAAATGTCGTTATATCTGTTTTTTGTGCCTTTCTCGATACCTGCGACACGGAATTTCTCCGGGAAAGCATCGGCTGCTGAAGTATCGGAAGACTTGTCATAAGTCAGTGCTTGTTTCATGCGTTCTAACTCTTTCTTCTCGAGCTCTAGAAATTTCTGTGAAACGCTACGACCTTGGTCTGCTGGATCTGTCGCCTCCCGCAGCCAAGGTGGTAGTGACTGCCTCAACGATTCTGTCAGGTTCTCGGGCAGCCGAAGAGGAATTTGACCGACACCACCAAGAAGATCCATGTGCTGCCGGATGTTCCCAAAAAAGGGGATTGTGGGACGTGAGGAATCAGGCAAAGCACAACCCCCAGCAATAGGGGCAACAGATGGTAGGTCTATGTGCATTGAAGTTGGCTTCTTTGACAGTTTTGCAGGCGAACTTTGCTGTTGCAAGAGAGAGGGAAATCGGTTCGAGAATGAGTCGAACCCACCCCTAAGGATTAGCCCATCCCCATCCCATCCCTCGGTCGTGAACTTGTTCAACACATTTGTCAAAGGCCCTGCATCCTTCATGTCAGAAGTCCCTGAATCATAGACGATGATATAACGACAATGTTTCCACCTGGCAAAGTTCATCCTGTCCACGTGATTTGTGAAAGTATTTGCCAACTTTTGTGTATCAAACGAAGGACGTTTCAATAAAGTCGTTGGTATGCAAAGATTCAACGATCCCTTGATGCTCCCTTTCGCAAAGTGCGCATATGGCCGCACATCTAACAGCATGACATCATTGGGCGAGGATTCGAGTAACTCAGCACAGCGTTCAACTGCAACGGCACGACCATTTCCAGACTTTATACTCGTAGAGGTATCAGACTGGTTAGAAATAAAATCCTTTTTCGGTAAGACACGACTTAGAGAGCGTCTGTAGATCGCAGACGCTCTGCGTTCGTGAACGGATGAGCCTGCTCCTATGTGATTCGCATAATCATCGAGCACAGTCTTCGTAGGTAATAAGTGTGGTTTCGGACTAGGAATTGAAGACTGGGCATAAGAGAGCGTATCACCAGTCTTTCTAGGAGTGGTGGAACTCTCCACGCTGATAGAGAAATAATTAGGACCCGAACGTTCTGGGACTGTATTGTGAGGACTAAGGCTGGAGTTGAGCGGAGACTGGTGAGAGTCACACAACGAAAAAATTGCTGCTGAGGTAGGGTGACCTGTGATTTGTAGGTTTGGTGGCTCCTGAGGCCACGGAGAAGTAGGTGATCTCGGACCCGTCATAGCAGACATATTTCCTTCACATACACAACACAACGTTCTTTCCCTTGCTTTTCAATAGCGCTCGGGTGCTCAAATTAGTTTAAAAGCCCGCTTGCCATCTCGAGATAAATTGAATTTCCAAATGGGAAACGCCCAGCAGCCGAGTACTTCCCTGGGGACTTCTCCAACCGAACTAATCAGCCTATAAGCAATGCACCTTAGCACCCCAAGTGCTATCGCATTTAACTGGCACCGTAGCCGAATGCCGTTGATTTTGACAGTAAAGAGCACGCTAAATTGCACAGCCAGTCTATGCGCAATAACTGGTATTCTCGATGGTCCAGCAAGTCTTAAACGGGGATCGATGGGGGACAAACGTTGGATAAGGCAGGCGATTCTCCAAAAAAAGTCAAGTCACGAGTGAATAAGACCCATCAGTACGGTAAAAAAAAGATAAGGGGAATCTTAGTTTCTGGGGCTTAGTAGTCTACCTCGAACACAAGGCGACAAAACTGGGTACTGGAGGTGGATGAAGTCTGGCCACAGCGGCGGTCGTGGCTCGCGTCTCACATAAGGAGGCCCAAAAAAATGATCGCACGCTCAACTTTCAGGCAGAGTTCCTGAGCCAATCGAAAACCTAGAAAGAAAAAGTGGGGGAGAGGAGGGGTTTGGCTGATGCCAATCACCGATCCACTACCATCATTGAGCACGAAGGGGGAAACGGGTCAATAAGCGAGAAATTCCAGGTAGGGCGAATGAATGGTGAAGAAAATTGAAGGAACCAAGACGTTCTTTGGGTATGACGTATATGGCCCACGGGGGAAAGGGTCAGGAAGCGGCGAAAGTGTGCAGAAAAGCCAAAACTTATGAGGCAGGAGGCCGGTCTGGATCTTCCCATCAAGGAACCTGACGAAGGAAGAAAGCGCGGTGGCAATCTTATTGTTTTTCATCTTAAATCTGCTCCCGTCCCTCAGTTAGTCAACTCGTAATAGTAACCAATATATTGCAAAAAGCATAGGGTAGATACACATATATCTGCTTATTTTTAACTGTGCTATTTATGTAGTTAGAATTAGATCGCGTCGATCTTAGCTGACGTCATTCTTTTCCACAGTGCATAGTTGCAAGTATTATTATAGATATTCTAATCGTGGTCCTTTTACATACTTTAGCGTACTTTGACATACTCCGTTGCTAAAGCCTGTTGCAGTACAAACATCAACAGAGACCATACCAACCATCTAGTGGTTTGGGTTGACTGTCTGTTTGTTCCACATAACTAAATCAATTCGCGGATGATAAATGAAGTTGAAAATATTTGTATTTTTAAATAGTGCCACGTTTAGAGAAAGTCACCTAAAGTGGGAAAAGAAAGAGGTTCGTTCATACAGTAAAAATGTCTTCAAGGCAATTTAACCAAGTAGGTTGGTTCACTTTTGATTGTTTAGTTATGATCTCTTACAACACGGAGAGCAAGACTAGGTACGTAGCTACATTTGGTGGGGGATTCCATTTTCAAATAATGATACGAAGTACATGGTGGAGGGCCTCTCAAACCTATTCGTACAGAGCTTCTTACGGTACTACCGAGGCTGCTGACAGGGGGATTCTATAACAGAAGTGCAAGGCTTTCTATAAATGAAATCACCAAATGAGTGGATTCGAAACAGTTCTTGTGTGTGCATACTCAACAGTTTGGTTCACAAAGGCTGTTTGGCAAGTACAAGTACAAGTGGAAGGGGAAAGGTATATAGAAAAGGACGCAAGCTGATCAGCTGCAGAGCTCTCGTAATGAACAAATACTGAAACAGCCAACAGGCGAGATTATCAGAATGCAAAATATGTGGTATGATAGTACTTAAGTAGTTTTCACAGTTTCCCATCGGGTTCACCCTTAAACCTCTGCACTCTTTTCTGCTCCCAGTTGTCCAAATCTTTTGCCATGAGCCTCTGTAGAAGTTTGTTACTGATGTGCACTTCAACAATGACAAGTTAAATGGTTTGACATACATAGTACTCTTCCCTCTCATCTCCAATTATCCGCCTCCGAGGGTTCCTTCTGATTCCCTCTTCCCCGTCTGGCCCTTTCAGCCCTAAATTCATTGCTTCCTCTTGGCTTAATTGCTGCACCTTGCGGTCGTACCGTTCATATCTCAGGGCAGCAGCAGGGGTCAAAGCAAATGACCCCGCAACGATTATCATAATAAAGGGGAATCCAAAGAGAAGAAACGGATGCTTGGGCAATCTAGCGCGGTAGGTCTCGCCGATCCGTTCCCCGAGCGAAGACGATGCTGTTGTTGCACGACGAAACGTTTTGCTTTGGAACACGGGCATTGCCGAAAGAGATATGAGAATGCAAGGCAGTCTAGGAACAAGAATATAGGAAGTGGTGTACTACTCTGCTCTTAACTAAACCCAGATGGCGTTATTATCAAAAGGGCTTTTCTGTCTTAGTGAGCCTAAGGCAGGCTACTGTGGACTGAGCATTCGGTGAAATAGAAAGTCCGGGATAAGCTAGTTTTGGAAATATATCGCAGCAAAGCGGTCTCACAAACATCAAGTGCGAAGAAGGGGAAGACCTACAACAGAGCTACCAGGCCTGATGTCCACGATTGTCTAGTGTGATCAAACAGTGAGCATCACCTTTCATACACTGCCTTTTTGTATAATCCTATACCACTTGCTTATGGATCAGAATTTATTCACCAACCCAACGCTATTTTGATCGTTAAAGGTCCTTCCCTTCCCACCATTTTCATAGCTCGATGGCATCCACAAGCTCAAATTCTTTATTTGGGGGCGGCGCGCTGGGAGCCACCACACAGTCATCGACCCTCTTCACAACAAATAATCCAATAAATGCTGTAGGGAATACGTTCACTCAGGGTCAATCAACCGGATCACTTTTTGGCGCACAGCCGCAAGCCCAGCAACAGTCTGCCCCATCTTCAAATCTCGAGCATAGCCAGGCACAGGCTAATACAACCCAATCCTCACTGCCTCCAAATCAATCCACGCAGCCCGCATTTTTCAACAGCCTGCTGGAGCGTGGTAAAAAACGACCACTTTCTACAATAGGGCGAAGCAGCAATTACGAAGAGCTACCCAGTCTTCAATTAGGCCTTGATGATATCCGAAGAAAAGCAAGAGAACTTGGTAATGGGGGAACAAAGGGTTCACAACATATACAGGACAGTAAGGCGTACGTATATTCATCAGACTTAATATCCCTTCCGTGGTTTTACAACATAACTAATTTTTAATCGGTAATAGTCACTATCTCCTCGCTGCATCTGGAGTTTCACCAGGGCATACTTTGCGGGATCTTAAAGCTTTAGACCCCCAAGCCTTGGTATTAGGCCCTACAAAAGAACAAGAGACTTTTGACCCCGACAATCAAAAGTTTTTGCGCAATATACAACAACGCGGCCGCCATGCAATGATTGCGGAGAGCCTCACTCGTATTCATAGAGATTTCGATATATTCTTGGAGGAAAAGGTCGACCTTGATTGGGAAGAGCAACGTCGGAGAATTTTTCAGCATTTTGGTCTGGCACAGAAGGATGACAATACCGGTGATGGAAGAGGCGCATTCGGTCATTCTGTGCGACAGTCAAAACAATATGGTGCCACATCAAGCTATACCGCCCCAGGCGTCACCCATAGGAGTGTCTTTGGGCGCTCTGGTATGGAGAAGTCAGTTATTGGTGTACCCAGCACTAGAACGGCGAGTCATAGATTTTTTGACGCCCCAATGGAACGAAGTGACGCATCCAGCACTCAGTCTTCAGATCTTCATTTCTTACGGGAAAAGATGAGCCGCTATGCGGATAAGGTTCAATTGCTGAACTCTGCTAGACTCCAAGCACATACTTTCCCTGTCCTCCACGAATTTTCTGAAGTTGAAAGCCATGTTGGTGGCGATGTAAGTTGACTTGATTGAAAGTTTTATTCTGAGCTGACGGCATAAGGTTCCCCGGCAACTCTTTGACGCTTACCATGCGCTAATAAGCATTGTTCAAGAAACTCCAAATATTGTAAACACGTCAGATCCGGGTGCATTGAAGGAACGCCAATTTTCTGAAGATTACCTGGATGAAGCGCCAGGCTCGCGACGTGCTATTAGCTTGAGAAAGAGGATTGTGGATGGGTCCAGAACGTTTCTTGAGAATCTGTTCTACAATGAGGTTGAAAATGTGGTTGCTAAAAACCCTCGAGAAGCGCAGCTTGGTGGAATACCGACTGTGATCAATAAAATTCGCGCCTATATCCGACTTAGAGCGGCGAGGAAGGATCTCGCTCCTGATGGGACAGAGCTGCAAATGGTTGGTCAGGATTATTGCTGGATCCTCATATTCTATCTTCTCCGATGTGGATTCATTACTGAGGCGGCAGAATATGTTAGCCAAGACCCTGGGTTCCGGTCATTGGATCATAAATTCGTGACTTATATGACAACTTACGCGCAGAATAGACGTTTACCAAGGGATCTACAACAAAAAATCAACGGTGAATATCAACAACGATCGCGCAATGCTCCTGATAATACTGTTGATCCTTATCGGATGGCTTGTTACAAGATTATCGGACGCTGTGACCTCAGTCGCAGACGCTTGGAAGGTGTAAACCAAAGTGTCGAAGACTGGATGTGGTTGCAGTTCAACTTAGCTAGGGAAGATGATCGTACTGAAGAGGTTGCAGGAGATGTTTTTGGGCTGGAGGATATCCAGACAGATATCGCTGAAATCGGGCAGCGAGTTTTCGGGAAGGGCCAAGAGGGACCTGGCGGCTATGGAACTTTCTTTCTCCTACAAATCTTGGGAGGAATGTTTGAGCAAGCCGTCTCCTACCTCAGTTCTTACGCTCCAGTCAGCGCTGTGCACTTTGCAGTTGCTTTGGCCTACTACGGCCTTCTGCGCGTATCTGATTTCTATGCTTCAGGTGAAGAAATCAGTAAGTAACACTAGTCTTAGCTTTTGTTCTGTCTTGACTTAATATGGATACGCTAACAGAAATAGTATCATTCACTGTGAAACAATATCCACAGATCAATTTCGGCTATCTCGTCATACAATACACGAAGGAATTCCGTACGGGGTTGGTGGAGGCAGCAATTGATTACTTCTCCTTGCTTTGCCTTAACGCTGATCTTCCAGGCTCCTTGGGCAAGTCACAAGCCTCAGTGTGTCACGAGGCATTGCGCGAATATATCTTGGAAACCCGGGAATTCGCCAGGTTGTTGGGAGATGTACGTTCCGATGGAACCAGAATCAAGGGGCTAATTGAACAACGGATTGGCTTGATCAAGTTGGTAGATCAAGAGGAGTTTTTGAAAACAATAACTGTACAAGCGGCAGCTGTGGCCGACGACAAGGGCTTAATCACGGATGCCGTCCTATTGTACCATCTCGCTGAAGATTACGACCGCGTTATTGATATCATCAACAGAGCACTATCTGATTCTGTAGCTGTCGAATTGGGCGGCCCTTCCTTGAAACTGCAGCCATTACAACCACGGACAAAACGGCAAGATGCTCAAGTCTCAGAGCAGGAGGCTCTTAGGGAGCCTGGTAGTAGCCTCAGCTTGACAGCAGTGGAAGACCCAGTGGCTCTGGCAAGAAACATTATCAGCATTTACAACATGAATGCCCTATATTACCAGCGAATCCGCCCTGTCAATCGTGACGCATGTGGTTTGTTGCTTCAAATGATGGAAGCCAAAGCTGAAGTTGAAGCAGGAAAATGGACCCCAGCCCTGGATGTAAGTATCATCATCCATAACAAAGTGAAGGACTCATGCTCTTCCTACTTTCTTTCCTTTCCCTCTTGGCTTCTGTCTCTAACAGTGTTTGTTTGCAGGCCATCAATGCCCTGAACATCCTTCCTCTTCGGGCTAGAGGCTCAGTACCCTATATCCGAAGCGCAGCTCAAGCATTCTCGTCCTTCCCCACGATGATCTCTCGCAATATTGGGCATGTGGTAATGTGGAGCATCACATGTATTGGCCATGAAAGAGAACGACTGAACTCTGGGACATACGAAAATCAAATCAGACAAAGCCTAGCTGATGAGTTACTGGTAATGGCCAAAGATCTGATGATCTTTTCTGGTATGGTGAAGTATAAATTGCCACCCAGAGTCTATGAGACGCTCGCCCGTGCTGGCGCAGAAATCGGGGCATATTGAATGTTATTCTACTAGGTAGTTGCTATGGAGTGTATGCTTGATGTTACCTAACTTACTACTACCAGTCCTCGTACAAGCTATAGGCCGATTGATCAGAACTTTGATTGGTGCAATTGTAGGTATGTAGTGTTGGTGCCCGCAGCTAGTATATAGGCATCTACTCTGATGTACCGGTAAACCCATGGGCGGACTTTTTCCGCGCCGGAGGTAAAGGTTGCGCCAAGGATTCTTTGAGCGGATAGGTCAAGGCGATGCAGACCGACACCTAACATTTAACATAGAGAATCGCTGAACGGGGCAATTGCAAACTAAGAAACGTCGAGTCTACTCATACTTCTCCAATCCCTAAACCTACCACCGATGTATGTATCTATACCATCGACTTATCATGAAGTGAAATCATTGCCAACCGATGTGGGGCCCTCCAAACCGAGGTTTTGTACTCCGTACATGCATCTCAGAACAGTCTTTGACTACTAGGAGCCAATTTCTAAGCACCCGACATGGGCCATGACCATTCGGACGTGTCAAACACGAGTACGAAGTCATTATCCTCTGAATCTGATGTATATCCTTTACACAATGAAACTACGGCACCGGCAACGCCTACCCTGGACTCAATATCGGAGAAATCGATGGAGGCGAGCAATCATCACCACACCGCAACGCACAATCCTGATAATCAAACAAGCTCACTAGATTCTGGGAGTAGCTCAAGGTCCCGCGCTACTTTAAGTCTTCATGAATCTGTGGCAGCTGAGAATGAGGCTATTCTGCAAGACTCTGGACCAAGTGAATCGAATGACAACTGTGCCAATGCTGGCAACTTGGAGCACGTGGGCACTCCAGTTAATTACAACCTTATAAATAACCCGCCAAACCTCGCAAGAATACGACAAGTAATGTTTGAATGCAAAGATCCAATTGAGATTAGCCTCGAAGAATTTGAAACATATTGGCCATACATCGATAATGTGTGGGTTAAGCAAAGGTCCAACTCCAGTAAAGAAGGTCACTGCACAACGGACTACTATATGTGTCGTCTACGACGCCCAACGCACCGCACGTCCGAGACTCGGCCTCTACCGGAGGGTAAGCGTCCTCGGAAAAAGAGGGTACGTGAGGGTGGTATCTGCAACTTCCAGATTAAAGTTGTGCGCTTCGAGGGGGCCTATTCAACGGTGACTATCGCAAGGACACCTGGAAGCAGCCCTATACACTCGCATGACCTTGATTACATTGACAGGGTGAAGCGAAATTCGGGGCTCATGGAATTTGCCCGCAAGGAGGCCATTAAGGGGTACTTACCTTCGTCTATATATACGAAGTTCCAGGAAGAACCTGAAAAGCTTATCGAAGCAGGGGGGAAATTCTGTACTGTCACGGACGTTCGCAATGTCTCTGCGAAATGGAGAATACAAAACCCGGAAGTTAAGCTCATACCTCACGATGGGTATGAATATCAGAAGGGCCATGGCATTGTGAGGATAAGGGTTACTAATGGTGACTGTAAAGCATCTACTAATCCACCGCCACCAAAGACGTATTTGGATTCACCCCTACCGCCAGATACGCTCTTGTTCCCTCAGTTTCCTCTAGATTTTCTTGAGCCTTATCTCCCAAGATACGACGAGAGACGCCAGTTTCCACACGTTACTTTGTCGTATGCATCCTCCATGGACTCCAAAATATCTCTGCTCCCAGGAATGCAGACAGTACTTTCTGGGCCGGAGGCAAAACTGATGACGCATTACCTAAGATCACGCCATGATGCTATTTTGATAGGTGTCGGGACTGTGTTGGCTGATAACCCGGGCTTGAACTGTAGGCTGGAGGGTGCAGGAGGATTTGGTGGTCTTGGACGAATGTGGCAACCACGGCCGGTCATAATCGATCCAACAGGGCGATGGCCCGTTCATCCTGGATGCAGAATGCTGCGGACAGCGGTCGAAGGGAAAGGCAAGGCACCATGGGTGGTTGTGTCGCCAGGGGCCCAAATCCACCCCCAGAAATTGATGATGCTGAAAGGGTACGGAGGCGACTTTCTCCGAATTGTGGAGTATAATCAAAATTGGCGTTTGCGCTGGGAAGCCATTCTACGCGCCTTAGCGTCGGAGGGGGTCAAAAGTGTGATGATTGAAGGTGGTGGGACTGTGCTGAGCGAGCTGTTGAATCCCGAATACACGGAATTCATTGACTCTATCATTGTAACAGTTGCGCCGACATATCTGGGCAGTGGCGGGGTGCCAGTAAGTCCAGATTCAAAACGTGATGAACAGGGAAAGCCCAATGCCGCCCTCAACCCAAGAGAGGTGAAATGGATGCCGCTCGGGCAAAATGTTATAATGTGTGGAAGAATCCGTGATCCAGACTAGTGAATCCAATACTCACAGCCCGGGGTCGTGACACCTATGGACCTATGTCTACATGCTTGCATGGGATCAACCTAAAGACTTACCTCGAGAGTTAATCCAACTACTGGCTACCTATATTCAAACGTCTAGAGCGATTATACATGAACAGATGTTAGGAATAGGGTTTCAACCTCGTGTGATTAGTGACCATGATACTAATGATCAACTGGGCTTGTAGGAACCCATCAGCTGCGCATAATCTTCCATGAAACTTGCTATCAATATACAGATGAGACCACACTCCAAGCTTACATAGACTACTTAATAGTTCATCGAGGGCTACTCTCGTCTATATAAGTACATACTACTAGATACAATATTCCTGCTCGGGAAGCCCCCAATGTGTAGACGGTTAGATTGGGCTAGGTCAATGAAGCAGGGATTCTAGTTGGATGTGGCAAATTATATGTAAGCCTGGGAGTGCATGCTAGGTATCGTACTGAGAAAATATTATTAGGACGACTGAAAATCATCACTCCAGATGTTCGCTGGCTGGAATCCGAGAGCTAGTGCAGAGCCGTGAGACTGACTGACTGTATGTATCTCGTAGAAAGTTGTCACTGCCTAGAAACCCAAGAAGCAAATGGTAGTCTGGGCGTGTAGAAAAGGAGAATATCTTAGTCTTAGCGTGGCCCTTATGTAAACCTCGAACTACCTTTTAATTTAGTACATAGAGTCTAGTATGGCACACTATAGCAACTGAGTACTTTACAGAGAGGTATTACCATGTATCCTTTATGTATGTTCTTCTTGCGTTGCTTGTGTGGGTTGAGAGAGACAGTTGCATACAGTCTATCTGAAAAAGTAGTCATTTTTGGACCTGTACTTCTGAAAATCCTATCTGCCGGGTAGCCGATAGCTCAATGGCGATGAAACTTGTACATTAGTGGTAGAGATATTCCCTATTGCAATCTATCAATAAGGTGGGTTTTTGAACTAGCCAAGATCTACTGTGTAGTAGTTCTACTATCTATATTTAAATAGTGCAGGGGAAATATAAATTACTCTAATTCTGTAACATCATTTTACTACATTGAACTTTAAACTACTACAAAGTCCAACATATCCTACAAAGAACATAGTATATTGCAATAGTTAAACATGACGACGCCTCTCTCTCTCCCCCCTTCTCTCTTCTAGGGTTTTCTAGTGTATCCATATAGAAGAAGAAGAAGGTATATATATACAATTGCCTACGGAGTACTATTGCCCAACTTCATTCAGGAGTCTACTAAACTCGAGTAAAATCAAATTCACTGAGTAGACCATCATTAAATGTGAACACTGCCCTTACCATATAAATGGTATGGTATGTAAGTAGCTGTAACTAATACGTAGATGACATTGCTAGTCGTACATACTTGGCATAGTAATAGTATTCGTATCATATACACGGACATATACATATCTCTCTGATATTCCTTAGGTTATTTTCCTTCCAAGGGGAGGGAAGACGAGAAGGTAAAATAGAGTAGAGCAAAGAACATATGGGTATCAGTTCATCGAGGACAATAAAGGGTCAAAGGGTAACAACCTGCTTGAAGCTTTGAACTGCTCCCCCCAACTGTACATAGTTAAGAATCCAGGCTACGTACTGTGCTCCGTAGTATGTATAAGTTAATGGATCTCAATGGCTAACCCCCACAACCAACGAAGTGAGAACCGACCTAAATCCTTCATTAGTGGTGTGGCTCAGAAAAATATTTCCCGATCATCGGAATATCGACAACTTGGGTTTAGCGCATAGATGGCATTTTTCTATTATTTCTTTTTACCTTAAACAACAACAACAACAACAACAACAACAGTAAACTTGGGGTCTTGTCGCGTTTCTATTTTTCTTAGTGTCGGCTCTACTTTTCCAGTATACTTTACCTTCCTTCCCCCCCCCTCCCCAACCCCCAAATAAGATATTTCCTCCTCATTCGCCATCTTATTCCCTTGGTTATATATTCTCCTTTCTTTCCCCTTGCATATTTACCTACTTTCCTCACCTAAACTCAAAGGATGCCGCCTAAAAAGAGCGCGTCCAAGGCTTCTGCGAAGCCGCCCAAAAGCACCACAACTACAAATAGGGTTCCTTCCACAAGAACTCCAGCAAAGGAACGGCCTACGAAAACCAGCGCGGCCAAGTCTAAAGGCGGCGATGCGCGCACAAAGACTACCACAAAAGCTGCCCGCGCAGCACCCCCAAAACGTAAAGCCGAAGCTGTTGAGGAGCCTATTCGCGAAACCAAAAAGGCACGCGTTGTTGAACCTCGTGTTACAAAGCAAAAGCCGAAAGTGGTCATCAACCATGCACCGACAACCAGACTTAACGTTTACGTTTGTGGCGAAGGCAGCTCAGGCGAACTTGGTCTTGGGCCGGAAAGGACTGCTGTTGATGTAAAGCGGCCGCGCCTCAATCCTTACCTGTCAGCAGATAAGGTTGGTGTAGTACAGGTCGCTGTTGGTGGTATGCACTGCGTCGCTCTTACCCACGATAACAAGATCCTTACCTGGGGCGTGAATGACCAAGGTGCGCTTGGAAGGGATACTACATGGGATGGAGGCTACAAGGAGGTTGAGGATAATAAGAGTGATGCCGATTCAGACTCAGATGATGACCCGGCTCTCAACCCATACGAGTCGACCCCAACCGCTATTCCTTCTGATACTTTCCCCGAAAGTACTGTTTTCGTTGAAGTCGCTGCTGGGGATAGCTCGAGTTTCGCCCTCACAGATGATGGCCAAGTATACGGCTGGGGCACGTTTAGAGTAAGTTCTTCGCTCATTTCTATAGGCCTTAGCTGACATGAAGCTTAGAGTAACGATGGCATTTTGGGATTTGATAGTACTCATACAGTTCAAACGATCCCAACACTAATACCCTCACTGAAAAAAATAAAACATCTAGTATGTGGCGATAACCATGCCCTCGCCTTGAATGAGAAGGGTGCTGTTTTCTCCTGGGGATCTGGCCAACAGAACCAGTTGGGACGTCGCATTATCGAGCGGAATAGATTGAACGGCCTCCAACCACGTGAATTTGGCCTGCCCAAGAATATTATACATATCGGGAGTGGCGCCTTCCATTCTTTTGCTGTCCATCAATCCGGGAAAGTTTATGCTTGGGGCCTGAATAGTTTTGGTGAGACAGGTATTCAGGCGGGTGCTGGGGATGACGAGGCTGCTATTGTTCATCCTACTATTGTGGACTCATTGTCAGGGAAACATATTAGTCAAGTTTGTGGTGGTGCTCATCACTCGATTGCTGTTGCTGATGGCGAGCAATGCCTCGTATGGGGTCGGTTAGATGGTTTCCAGACAGGTTTGAAAGTTGATACACTTGCTGAGGAGGCTGTTATCAAAGATGAACGTGGGCGACCCCGGATTTTGATCGAACCTACCCCTGTTCCAGGAATTAAAGCAAGCGCTGTGGCAGCTGGATCTGATCATTCAATTGCCATTGATACCGATGGCCGTCCTTGGTCTTGGGGCTTCTCCGCTACCTATCAAACAGGTCAAGGCACTTCGGATGATATTGAGGTGGCAACCATTGTCGAGAACACCGCTGTTCGTGGCAAAAAGCTAAATTGGGCCGGCGCGGGTGGACAGTTTTCAGTATTCACTGAGCCAGTGGTCGTGTGAAATAGTCAATTGTGCCGCTAGCACCAGACAGGAACTAAACATCTACATATTGCGTCATACGTAGTATATAGAGATATTTGGGAGCTTTGGCGTCTTGCGCAACCAACTTTTCCTCTATATCTTCGTTTATCCCGTCCTCCCTCCCCCTCCCAGCCAAACTCTTTGGTGCCCTCTTTTTCAAGTTGTGTCTAATAAGCTGTCTACTACTGTCAAATGTCAAGTTCTTTATATTCTTTTATTAGGTACTTGTAGCATGTTAAGAATTGTGGCCTATCCTATGTGCGCATTAAATTTACCAGCCTCCATGACACGCAGCGCTATTCCTAGATAGAGATTCAATATTGCTAGGTTCTTGTGCGGTTTATTGCTTGACAACGATTGCAGAACGGCATAGCTCATGTCGGAGTTAAGATATTTAATTCTTCCATGGCTTCGAATCCATCACCGTCGGCGTCCAAATCAGCCAGGGCCAAGGAATTCTTAGTTGTAGCATCATCATACTGCTGCTCTCTCAAAAGGGTTTCCAATTCGTCATCATCCTCAGGAACGTCTCGTGCGATCGCGCGGTGAGTATTGTCATCATCAAGCATGAATAATCCGTGAGCAGGGACATCTGATTTTTCGGCCGATGGTTCCTTATCAACTTTGCTATGGCCAACGCTATGAGATGAAGATATATAAGCATCCATAGCATGATGACTTCTAGTGGTTATCGCAATCGGCAAGTTCGATCGATCTGCTTGTAGATCTTGTGTTGTATCATCTATGTGGGCCTTTGGTTTCTCCTCTTCTATCCACTCTCTGCGCATAGCCTGTAGACGTTTATGATGGCCGAGTTTTTCGATAATAGTTAGTCCATCAGCGAACTTTGCACGAGGGAAGAGATCATCAAGCCACAACTGATAGAACTGTAATAAGCGTGCCGCATCAGAAAACTAGTAGTAAGAATATCAGCCCCTGAAAGTATGACAGCAAGAGCTGATAAGTATCAAACCTCATGTCCCTTTCCTTTGAATTTCAACTTCTGTTTGGCTGTGCGGCGTAGCCTAGGTATACCAGCTTGGGACAGCAACCTTATAGTAGAGTGAGGTTAGATCACTTCTGGTTGCCATCGTTAACCGAGTGGCTCAACTCACCGTGCTTCATCTAATTTAGCAACGGGCTGTCGTTTTCTAGTAACCTTGACTTCTTCATCAAGTCCAAGACCTAACCCGGTATCGCCGGGTATAGTGGACGGCCTGGGTGCATTTATGTTTGACTCGGTTGGGGTGTGCTGCAGTATCTCATCCAAACCGACATCGTAGTCAAAGAGATCGTTCGCAGTTTGCGACGGTAAGCCCTGTTGTATATCCAAATGACCTTCTTGTTCCATTGTCTAAGTTTAGTGGAGACAATTGTCTTTTCAATGGAGGACGTAGTAGGCATCCGGACGTGTTCACTGAATGGCCGGGCTGTACAACAGGTGTCTAGGCTCTACCGTATGTAGCTATGTGAACAATACTGTACGGTACAAAGGGTATTGAAAATAACACCTTCATAGATGGTTCGCCCCAATGGCGGTCTTTGATTAATAAGCCAAAACAGTACCTTACTAGTCTCCAGCCGGAAAGGTTCCACTCTTGGCACAACTTGTGCTCTCCGAGTTCACTTCCGTCGCTACGAAAGCCGTCTTTAACAGTACGACCACTACAAACTTGCTTCAGACTCGACTTGGTCACAATGGCCACTGATCCCAAGACAGTTCTTGCCCCCCCTAAACGGGCTAATTCCGACTATCCGGTGCGAGAGACCCCTCAACTTAGGATGAATGAACGATTGCTAACTACGGTTTGCAGTTGATTGATTCCGACCCGTATGGATTGCTGAAATCATAGAATTATTAACAAGTGCTCACTGCTTCCAGGCACCTGAAACGAGTTTTTGGGTATGCGAGACCTTCTGATTATGCTTTTGCTGGTGGAGCAGCTGCCGCATCGCCACTAGCATTCTGGGCTATGGAAAGGGTAAGCCCATCTCATGTTGGGAGAGGAGGCTTCGCCCCTGTGATGCGGCTAGCAACAGCAATCGGCCTTATTGGAGGTCTCCATGTGCTCTATCAAAGATCTTGCAGTATGTCAATTGCCACGTTCATCTACGGTGAGAAGCATTGGCTTACATGACTATCAGATCGCTTCTATGGTTTCACCGAGAATTCGAGAGAAGTTGAGATGGATACAAGAGAGATGGTTGACAAGGTCAAGAGAGGTGAATCTCTGTATGGCACCTCCAAGGTGTCTGCTTATCTGCAAGGAGTTGCAGCCAGGAACTCGCGATATTCAGAGTTATTCATTCATGTTCTTCCTTGGTTCAACATTGTGAACCATGATCAGGTCGGACTCTTCCCCTTTCCTGATCTGCCGTCTGCCTTTTATTCACGGGCTAACTTCTATAAAGCATGGTGTGGACACAGCTAAGTACTATCAGCAAGCTGAGCGTGAGCTCGAAGCGGAACGTTTGGCGAAGGCTGGTTCTGCGTGAAAATATGATTGGTATGGATAATCAAGTTGAGCCGTAACTTGCGCGGTCTGGTATATTTATTTATAGGTTTGGTGGATAACACAAGCATACGAGAACGTTCTCATTTTACCTCTTGACCATGGCCCTCCTAAGCTACATGGTAGCGATAGTTTTTTCAGTAGCGCTGGTGGCATTCCTATAGTGACTTCGCTGGTGTTCGAGTAGCTGCCTCTTAAGGCCGTAAGGTTGTAGCTCTTAGGTTATCCTCAAAATCTTGTATTTAGCTCTCTGCTTTTCTTGGGGCGAGGTTTGGGTGCTACCATATAGTCAATAAATGCTCCGAGTCCTTCATAATGGCAGATGATCACTTACCTTTCTCGTTCTCTTGAATATAAAACCTGCGAAGTAGCATTACGGCCTCCTTACTAAACAACCCACCATACACTGGGTAAGGTGGGTCTATTGAGAAACTAATGTGTGTTAGGATTTCAGGAGAGTCAAGACTGGAGAGTGACGAACTCGGTGTGTAGTGAGAGAATGCTTCCCGTGCCTCCAAAACGTTCATTACCGCAGCCAAAATACACTGCCTGTATTCGATACTGCCTCAAAGCAGAAGCACACATAACGCAGGGTTCGACCGTGACATAGAGCTTTGTTGAACGAAGTAAGGACTTGGGGTGACTTTGGAGCATCTGCTCGATCGCAATAAACTCAGCGTGTTTTGTACCCTGATGAAATAAGTCAGGGCACTTAATTTTCTACAACTGACTTTCACAATAATGCTGGAAGACGTGTCTCCTTATGGTTGCAAAGAAAGGTGAGGTTCGCTTTGCTAGTATAGTGCACGCTCAAATTCGCTTTCTCGCACAGATACAATTCCATGAGAGTTGGGCAACATACATTCATTGACCTATTTGTGTCGTTCATTCCAGAACCGACTATTTGGTTGTCATATACTAAGACACACCCGACTGGAGTTTCGCCTGTCTCAAGAGCTTTTTCTCCCTAAACAATGTGAGCTCTCTTGATTTGCTTAATATCATGTATAAATCCCAGGCCGGAATTACCATCAATAAAGCTTGCTTCATAAAGTAAGCGTGTCTTGAGTCTTCCTCCATAGCCGGCAGATTATTATTCGCCTTTAGACTCGATGAAGCGGGTTTTCAAAGTTGTCGTGAGTACCTGGGATCCCAACTCACGAGCACCTGATTCAATGATTTCTGCTCTAGCAACTGGAATAATATATTGATTCAATATTTATCGTACAGGACCGTTCCCTGATAGACAACGTCAGTCTAAGCGAACATATACAAAATATCAATTAATGTATGGTTAACATTGTCAACGATGTGACTCTAACCTATTTCCAGGATAACATTGAGAAATTCTGTACCTTCTTGTACTCGAAGTTGCTTTCGAGGTAGATCAGTATATAGAAGGAGGCGTAAGTGCATCGACGTTAAGAGGTCCGTTCCAAGGTTGTCGGGAATTTTTTGCAATACATGTATTACAGATTAAATACAATGATCGTAAGTTGCAGCTCAGATGTCGGCCGCACCTGGAGCACGACCCGCGAAGCTCGTTCCTTAGCGCCCAAGTTCAACATTAACTCGGGGTTCTCTAGTAGCCTAAAAAGATGATTAGGCATGCCCCAGATGGCGACTGATGAAATCGAGACGTCTCGATATCTAGCTCCAGGGAATGGCAGCTGGAAACCCCCAATTACCTTGGCAGCACAGTTAGCACCGCGCCTCCCCTCCCAAGGGAACCAGCCACATAGCCTGAGCAAAGAGACATTTTCCCTGCTCCGTCAAGAACTTGCAGGAGGGAAACAGAACCAACTTCATTTCGATGACAAGGTTACAGATATCAGCAAATTGATATGCATCGTTTTGAAAGCAGGCTTGGAACCGTGCACCAAGGATCCAAAGCCTGACTCTCAAGGTCAAGTCTTGGATTGTCTGGATATTGTATTGGTATCAATTGAGAAGGCACCTCAAACCCTAACAGAATATCCTGATCCAGCTGTTTTGGGGGAAAGTACATATGCGCCGCTGTACGCCTGGTTGGTTGTACGATTACTCCAATTGCTCGGTATTTGGAACAATGAAGTTATCAGTTCCAAAGCTAGGGGTATCCTTACAAGCATACTCTGCGCCCAAAATAGGCATTCTAGACTATGGCCCTCTTGTCATTCCACAGCCGGACTTTTACGAGCGTGCACAACGGGTACGTTGGGGACCGCCGGTACGGATGTTGGGCTAACGAACCTCAGAGATCTTGCTTTCTCTCGAGAATCTCAATAACCTCAATCTGCGAGCTAACTCGGAAGTTAAAATGATTCTACCGACCCCCAAAGGAAATCTCCCTGTAGATCTAGACAGACTCGGCCTACCTCGCAGTCTTTTCGAGAAGAGATTCAAGCTTGTATCATTATCGCACGCTTTCAATCTAACTTTTCGCCTCCTCGATTCATTCAGAGCAGACAATGACAACCCTCCTTTTGTGGCAAGCAAGAACTCCGTTATTCGACAGAATGTAGCCTGGGTTTTGAATGGCTACCAACGCCTCTGGACCCTCATCTTTCACTGGCTCCAGAGTCCGCAGCCAGATCTCATAGAAAACAAGATAAGCGCAAGTTTGCAGTTCGTGATATGTATTCGATCATGCTGCAGCCAGGACGTATCCTCACCATCGGAAGTCGAACTAATGTACGGCTTGCTGCGAATCTTGGAGGACATTTTTGCAATGGACAAACTTTGCCAATTCTCCACTCTGCAGAGTGAGTTAAGCCAGCTTTTGGACACCTTCACTAACCGCATCAAGTATACCAGAGCGCTTCTCCAGTGCCTCAGAACTACCATTTTCCCAGCTCTTAGTGGTCTTACTAAGATGCCGCATCGTTTCCAGACTCTCGAGACACAGCTTCAGGTAATTGTCCCGCTGTAGTTAGACCCATTATAGTGTGAGTTAAGCTTATTGTACGGAAGGTTTCGATTCATGGGTTTATCAATACTATTTCCCGTATAAGTCTAGAATGTGGTGGCGCAAAAATCGTGTCCATCGATCCATTCAAAGTCTTTGTATCGAAATCGGACTCCCGTTTTCAGCAACATGAACTCTCGAGCTCAGCGGTTCAGGATGATGAGACTCTTCAGGCGTCAAAACGCCGCTTTATTCCTCAACTCAACCCACACTCAGAGTCTGGAAATACAGTCCAGCATCTTATAGCAGATTCACTTGCACTGATAGGTTTCACATCCCCCGGCGGCTTGTGTGACCTCTATCCGGCTGTTGTGTAAGTTCGCATATCAAGTGATAGCACTCGACAGGTGAGCTGATATTGCAGCAGGGATGTCTTTGCTAGCCTCGATGAACAAAGGAAATGCGATCTTCTTAGCACACTCGGCAAAATACCTTGTGCTATGGCTGGGGAACTAGAACAATTGAGTGACATAGCACCGAATGGTGCCCTACTTTGCCATGTGTGCGATGGCGAAAACGGTGTAAGGCTGAGCAGAGAATGTCCTAACATTGAAGAACTCTGCAAAATCTTGGCCTACATTATTCCTAGACTCACACGTACCACAAGCCTCAGGATCGCCGCAATGGTCACGCTAAGACGAACACTGCTGCATACGTCGGATCCAACTTATTCGCAGCTATCCTCTTCTATGTTCGGCGAATTCTGCCTCCATTCTCTTCGGAGCTCCATCAGAGAACTGCGGATTGTCACTGGGTACGGTTTGTTTCCTGCTGTTCTGATCATGCGGTACTGACGTATCACTAGGCACTCAATAGTCGCTTTTATTTGCAATGGCCTTGATAATAAAACCCGTCGCGGCAATTTTGTTGTCATTCTAGAATGGCTAAAAAGTCTCTCAGAAAAACAAGAACCGTCATTACAGGAAACATGTATACTAACACTTTGTCGCCTTGCAACGTATGTACAAAACTTCTCCGCAATTTTGTCACATAGGCTAACATCTATGTGTTACTAAGACTTTCCAATGACGAAGAGATGAACATTATCCTTCTTCGCCTGGTTGAATACCTGGGCCATCCGAATCCTTTCATTTGTGCGGTAGCGTATACTGAAGTACGTAAATCTGATCCACATCCCC